AATTTCATAGGTTCAATTACCAGTTCGTGCCACATTTGAATTTTTACATTTAATGATAGAGAATACATTTAATCAGGACAATAATTATGTGTTTTGCTTTTATGTATCAAGAAGAAACAGGTATGTCAATTGAACCAGACGCATCACCATTCTGACCATTATTGTTGAAAATTTGGAAGGTCCTCTTCCTGTTCAGAATGTGAACTTTTTGTCACTTGAAGTCAACGACTTACACTGTATTAAATAGAGTTCAATAGACGTATAGATTTCAATTTTGAAATCTTTTAAATTCTTTTAAAAGGAAGTGTATACTATAAAGCAAGGTAAGATATTGGTTTGTCTTTAAACGATAAAAAATACAAAATCGAGGACGTCGTAAAGCGTCATGTCCCCAGGTAACTGGTCCTCGACCAGTACACCTCAAAATTTACTTTTAGTGCAGACAAACCTGTACATCCGGAATAGTTTTAAGGCAAAGCATGACCTTGATAAATAAAAATCAAAAGTATTTTATGTTTAAGAAAATCAAAAACTTAACTGGATTTTGCTGTGCCCTTTTTAGCTCACCGAAGGGCCCCATGTGAGCTTATGCCATCACTTGGTGTCCGTCGTCTGTCGTCGTAAACTATTTCAAAAATCTTCTCCTCTGAAACTACTGGGCCAAATACCTTCAAACTTTAACTAAATGTTCCTTAGGGTATCTAGTTTATAAATTGTATCCGAAGTTTTGATCCATTGACAAACATGGCCACCATGGCTAAAAATAGAACATAGGGGTCAAATGCAGTTTTTGGCTTATATCTTAAAAACTAAAGCTTTTAGAGCAAATCTGACAGGGGGTAAAATTGTTCAATTGGTCAAGATCTATCAGCCCTGAAATTTCAGATGAATCGAACAACCCATTGTTGGGTTGCTGCCACTAAATTGGTAGTTTTAAGGATATTTTGCAGTTTTTTGTTATCTTGAATATTATTATAGATAGATATACAATGTAAATTGTAAACAGCAATAATGTTCAGCAAAGTAAGATCTACAAAAAAGTTAATAAGACCATAATTGTCAATTGACCCCTTAAGGAGTTATTGCCCTTTAAAGACAATTTTACACAATTTGTTCATCAAGTTTGCTAACATTTAAAAATCTTCTCCTCTGAAACTACTGGGCCAATTACCTTCAAACTTTAACTAAATGTTCCTTAGGGTATCTTGTTTATAATATGTATCTGAAGTTTTGATCCATTGACAAACATGGCCGCCATGGCTAAAAATAGAACATAAGGGTCAAATGCAGTTTTTGGCTTATATATAATATATCTCAAAAATTAAAGCTTTAAGAGCAAATCTGACAGGGGGTAAAATTGTTCAATTGGTCAAGATCTATCGGTCCTTAAATTATCAGAATAATCGAACAACCCATTATTGGGTTTCTGCCACCAAATTGGTAGTTTTAACAAAATTTTGCAGTTTTTTGTTATTATCTTGAATATTATTATAGATAGATATAAACTGTAAGCTGCAATAATGTTCAGCAAAGTAAGATCTACAAAAAAGTTAGTCTGACCAAAATTGTCCATTGACCCCTTAAGGAGTTATTGCCCTTTAAAGACAATTTTACACAATTTGTTCATCAAGTTTGCTTACATTTAAAAATCTTCTCCTCTGAAATACAGGTGAGCGATTCAGGCTCTTGAGAGCCTCTTGTTTTCATTCATACAGAAGGTGCCAGAATAAAGTTGGGAAAGAGGTTTGAGAACTTCCCCATATATAATACTGTAAATTCAGAAATGATTGCGAGGTTTTTATAATTGCGAATAATGCAACTGGGTGCGTATCGCAATAATAAGAACTAACATTCTGATATCTGATACATATATCTATAAGCAGATTTTCCTGAAATTGCAAAAATTAATCTTGCATTTTATGTCCATTCTCCAAAAATCGCAATAATAAATGCATGCAATAATTTCTGAATTTACAGTAATTGAAGTGAACTGTATTATTATATTATTAGGTGATATAAACTGTATCACTGATTGGACCATATCAAGTGAAACTCAAGTGTTTTGTTAATTTTATACGAAAAAATATACAGCAAAATCCAGTTAAGCTTTAAATTTTTAAACACATAAACTGCATTTGAAATTTATTTATCTAGGTCATGCAAAAAGGTCAAAATGAAGCTTTAAACCAACTTGGATGATAGACATTATTATTGCTATTTGTGAATCTGCTACACTTGAACTGAGAATTTGTGACACTAGAACTATTTATGTCATACAGCAATAACTTTCTCTTTTGTCCAGTCAAAAATTTTCTCTTGTAAAATTAATGGGACGAATGAATAATTTTTGGGATTCTGTATCCAGAGCGATTTTCTAATTTGGCCAATATGATGATAATTTACATGTATGGCCAACAAATTGGACTGTCATGGGACAAACAGGTCTGGTTGCTGTACAGTTAACTGACAGTGTCTGGCAACAGTAGACCTTTAAAGAATATATAATACAAGAGACAAAACAAGTTCTCCAGAAGGATAACTTAAGCAGTCAAGAAAACACTAGTTTTGAACAAGTAAATGCTTGCAAAAATTATCATGTGTCTCTTTTTTTCTCTTTATTTCTTGTACTTCATGAATATGTGCATACAAGGATATTACCACATGCTGATTCAGGCAGTATACCGGTAGTCCTTATATAAATTGATACAAACTGCCTTTGTAATAACAATTTTCCAGCGAAACGTTATATTTGCATAAGGCCCCAGACCACAATTAATGATCCCGCTTTTCTTTGTCCACGAATATAGTTCCTTTTAATTAGAGTGTATTTTTTCTTAATTTTTTTTCTTTCCCTTCCTCACTCATTTCTTAGTTTTTTTAGATGGAAATGAAAGAAGAGAGGTGAAATAAACTTTTGGATGTTGTATTTTAACTGATTTTGATATGGAAAGAGTGATTAGGCCAGGTGCATAAAGGTGATATTTACAGTTTTCGGAACATCTCTTGACTTGTCCATAGGGGTATGGATGTGTATTGGCTGAATTTGTAAGATACTGGGAAGCAATCTTTCTGAATGTTGGATATATGTTTGGACTAGTACTGTAATTTACACACACAAAATATTTGACAAAAAGATTCGGTGCATTTTTTTATGAAACAAAACGTTATAAAGAACTAATAGAGAATTTAATTGTGGTCTGTGGCCATAAGGATTGAAAACATGATTTGAATGATTGAACTGCCAAATGTCATCAACTTATGTATCACAAAAAGATTAAATGTTTAATGGTAGAATCATATAAAATTAATTAATCACCAAGTCTGTTAGAACATTCATAAATAACATGATTTATCTCCCTTTCACTGAATAGATTTCTGAAATTGATGTGATCAAAGTTGATAACTGTTGCATGCTATGCTTGATTGGTGTTATCATTTAGTGTTGTAGGGATACAGCTATATTAAATTGGCCTATATTTATTTTGTGAAGTATGATTCCTGTTGTAGGAATGTAATAAAAAGTGGTATGTCACACCCAGCTTTTTGCTCACTAGTGGCCCTAAGGCCAGTGTTAGCTGTTGCCATCCTTTAGTTTAGTATCTGCCTTTTCCCTTGTCCATCTATTTACTTAACTCTTAAAATACTTTGTAGGAATAAATCATGCCTTTATAAAAAATTTTGTTTTATAATAATTGGATGAAAAATGTGGACGTCAGAGGAATTAATGTTTAAATTGAGCAATTTTCAAATGTATGTGTATTTAGGTGTGGATAAAAAATTAATACATAAATAAAACAGGTGTATGTGTTTTTATTTAGTATCATCTATTTTATTTAATATGTTTAATGAAAGTGTTTACTTCACTTTCATGCTTTGTATGTTGTGATGTAATTTAATTTCGGTCTCCTGTTGTTGTCTGTGAGTCAAATGGGTGGATGTGCATCCTTGCATGGCCTGTGTTAACTTTAAATCTCTCACCTGTGAAATATTAAATTATGTTCAAATTTTTAAAACATAAAACTTAAAATTATGAAATTACTGTTTAACCATATAATGACTCTGTAAAACTTTTACGACAACTGTGTCCTACATATATATATACTAAATAGTTTTTTAAATGAAAAAAAACTCTCACAGTAGGATAATCTTACACAATATTATAACTGAGTATGTTATCTGTTTTAGTATAAAAATCAATGGACATTTAAGGGTATTTAAAAATGTCTTGGGATGGTTTTGATATGCTGAGTGGGTGGCCGGTAACAAAGTATTAGAGATATTATCCTAACAAACGTTATATGAACAGACATCGTAAAGTAAATATAGGTAAGAATTTCTACAATAATTATACACATGCTGTTGAATAAAACGTTAATTACTAAAACAGAAAAAAGGGATTCATGTGTCAAGTGCCTGTGGTCCTATAATAAATTTATGAAAATGTTGGTAATCATGGTAATAATCTACTGTTCTTGTTGTTTAACTTTATAAAGTTTAAAATAGTAATTTTTTTTTTTTCCACTTCCATGAAAATACTGGTTTTCAAATAACACACATTAGCCTAGCAAATTAAATTCGTATCTAGCATAAACTACTATATATATTGTATCCATAGACAGTCAACTGTAATAAAACTAGAATTAAGGTAAGAATGTTGACAATTAAGTCAATTTTTATGCCTAACTTTCAGTACATAGTAAACATTTTTCAAGCTGAACAACCAGAAATCGACAAGATAATTTTGTATTAGTGATAACAAGCATGAATCAGAAAAGCTGAGAGGTAGACATTTGTACATTCAGACAGGGCTTCAGGCCCTACGTTAAAAATGAAATATATCTAAATACAAAAGATTAATAACTTTCCAACTTCAGAGGCAAACATTAATGGACAAGTCCATCTATTTGAGGGGTAAGGAAAGGGTCTACCGGTATACCAATTATATTTTGGTAGTTAATGTTTGGAAGATGATTCTTAAATCTTTAATCAAAGCTATGAATTGAGTTTATTTAAAAGTGTTGAAACATTTAAAGATATTAAGTAATTTTTTGCATGTTATTTTGAAAGTTTATGAGATAATCCCGAGGAGATAATCTTTATGATTGACAAGCCAGGCGTATATTTCTCCTATCATCACTTACAGGGATGAGAAATCACGAATAGTTTAGTCAGTATCAAGGATAGCCATCACGATTATCGGATTATCTCCTAATATTTCATTCATGGATAATTTGACAAGTGTAAAAAATTAACTTATTTGTTTTTGAAATGGCTGACAAGAGAGATGAAGATATTAATGCTACTCTCAATGGAAAGTAAGTTTTCATTTATGATCAGATGATTTTCCTCATGTTGTCCTGAACTGTCAAACTTAATTCAGAAAATCATTATAAAGTGAATGATGATGTAATTATGTCCTGATCATCTTTAACGAGAAATAACTGTATATTTGCAAATCATACAAAATGACTTTGTGTTCAAAAGTCCTATTTAAACGGTGAGATGAATTTGCTTGAATCTTCACAAAAGTGTTGGACACCATATTAAAAAAAATGTGCATGTCGATGATGTAGCAAAACAAATCTTGTTTCTCATACATGGAAGGGGAGATAAAAAAGATTTTATGTCTTTATTTTATACAACATGATTTTGACCTTGTAATTTGACAGGATTTAAATGTAACTTCACTGAAAATAAGTATACAGCACGAAGGTGTGTAATAAAGTCATATGAAACAAGTTTGTAATTTAAATGTTATCAACATTATTGAACCAATGCATGCATATATACTAAACAAAGTCCTGCATGCATGTTTTTTTTGTATTTAATACGAGTCTATAACACTGTATAACGTATTATTGACAAATAATATTTCATTCAGTGATTGTTGTTCTTAATCTAATTGACTTTCAAGTTAGTTACCAAAGTTTACCAGATCATGACATTGATAAACAATTAGCACAGAGCAAGTGGATCCAGCACGTAACAAATAAGTGAATTAATAGATATTTTTTTTATAATTTCACATTCATGCCCATTTGTTAATTAGACATTTATTTAACAGTTGTTAAATGATTTGTTGTATTTAATTTGTTCTTTAAGAATTCAGTGGCGGATCCAGAACTTTTCATAAGGGGGGACCTGCTCCAGTCATGCTTCAGTGATTCCCTATATAATCAACCAAATTTTTCCCACAAAAGGGGGGCCCCCCTGGATCCGCCTATGGAATTAGTTATTACTGTTTACCTCCAGTGCACATTTGTTTACATTCTTTCATCACGGTTTTCCCCTCGCACTTCCGCTGTGCGGTGGATGAGGTTCTAACGAGAGGTTGTTGTTAAGGCCACTGCATACGGGAAAATATCGGCAAAAAATTAGTGTACAGTAAGACAATAAGTTGATAGCATTGTATATATGATTATTTTAATGATTTTAATGATTTAAAAGATTTTCTTTTTACTAGAAAGTTCACATACACTTGTTTTAGAGTAAAACTTAGCCATTCAAATATATATAAAACATATTCATCTTTTTTTTTGAATTTGAAGTTTCATATGACTTTAAACTTTTTTGGTTTGATATCTTGAAGGTTAATTGAAAGTGGAAGGGGATGTCTCATTTTAGACCAGAATTAAATTTCTTATTTTTATGATGTATTCAATGTGTAAAATGTTTGACTAAATAACTAAACATGTATTGCTATCCAGTCCTACATCCTGTGGATACTCATTATATATTGGCATTGCACAAAGTCATACTTTTCTCAGACTACTAATGATAGCTATACACTAAATCTGTTGAAGGTGTACTGATTGACATTTTAGTCTGGGAAAACAAGGTTTATTTATTAGTTCTTTTAACTGGCTAGTAGCTTTCAGCAACTGCCAGTACTCTCAGATCAGCAATTTTGTCTTTTTGTTTGTTGTTTTGTGCTTAGTGCTGGTCTGAGGAGTTTAGCCTTTCCTTCTGATTTTTGACAGTTGACTAATGCAGAAAATAGACATTTTATTTTTTAGGCTTCTGCTTATATTATTTAACATGTTAGATAAATAAATTTTAAATTCTAAATAGATAAACTTAAGGTAACGTTTTAAATTGACATATTTCTCATTTACATTTCCCAAAAGGTTTGGTTTGCTGCAAATTCAGGTGGGGCATCCCCTCGGATTAGAAAACTATGATTTTTTATCAGCTGCTGTGTTTAGGGATATCTACAGGGACATCTAAGTCCAAAGAACATGCAGTATTAGAAATCAGCTTTGAATAAAAATGGATATTAATGTTTTCCTCTCAGTAAATACTTTAGCATAAGATCATGCATATATGGTCCAAGATATGTTTGGGATGAAATCAGATCTTTAACAATACAGTAATAACGTAGCATTATATTGTATGATATTTTGTGATAGCACTCGTGGCTAGATTAAGTACTGAGGAAAACAGTGTTCTGCCTTTTACTGAATCATTTAACATATAAACATCAATAACTTATCCTGTTACATCAAACTATTATGTAACACTTAATGATGACCTACTGTCACCGTACAGATGTTATAAGGTGTGGCCAGCTTCAGGGGTATTACATGGTAAACAATTATATCATTACAAACTGTGTTTGTAACTTAGATGTATGCACATTGTTTTTTTACAAACAATGGCTTTAGGTTTCTGGAAGACATATATGATATATTATGAGAGCAAGCAACAAAGTTGTAGAGGTTACAATGTTTCTAACCCTTCAAAAACATCTTACATCACTTTGTTTTAACCAGGTTACCTTTTCATTTCCTCTCTGGGCTTCATTTATTTGTAATGAAACAATGAAGATATTATTTTTTAATTCACCTAGTCAATAGGGCTTGTCAAAATATTCAAAATTTATTATTTTTTTGATAAACACTAACCATGGTTGTTTGAATCATAAGAATATTAAATATACAGGTAAATTCATTCAAACTGAAATTAAAAAAAAAAATAACAAACCACTCTGCTGCATTAATCAATATATATTTAAAGTGTATTTCACACCTTTGCAGGCTATTCTCAAGTCTTTACTAAAAACGTTAAGAATTTAAAAAATATTAATAACAATGAAACATGAACATTAATGAAAGGAAAAAATCAGAAAAATTCTGCTTCCAATTTTAAGGAAACAAACTTGTATGTCTCTCCATATACAATATATATATCCATCAATGAGTTTAAAGGTTCCCATTTACCATGTTCATCCTATCTGAATCAAATTAAGTACATGTACATGGTTTTAACAGAGAATTGGGTGTAACCTAAACAATATCAAGGTCAGGGTCAAGGCTGAAGTTCACCTGGTTTTATCATGAAAATGATTTATAAGTATAGAGCCTGACTCTTGTGTTCTATTTCTTTCAACTTTATACAGTAGTTGTCCAAAATAAAGGATAACCCTATATAATATCAAGATACAGGGTCAAAGACTCAAAAGGTCAAGATCTCTTGATAGTACTATGAGTAAACAGGCATTCAAGTTATGTCAGAAAGTGATGACGTTGTTAAAAGAATATCTTGGAGCTTATTTAAAACAATGATTATAGTTATTATAATTCTACAAATATTTAGAAGTTCTGAAATAGAAGAAAAAAGTGAGCAATCCTGAGTATCAATTTGCCTCATTAGAAAGTATACTTTATTCAGAAGTCAATTTATATTCAGCTGTATTGTTCAAAATTACTTACACTGTGTACTACAGTTTTTGTAATTAGAATTATTAATTAAGTTTCTTTTCTTTTTCAGACATGATGAACCAGTAGGCAGTTCAGCTAAAGATTCTAAGGTCAAGAAAGAGAAAAAGCCAACAAAAGCCAGGTCTTACATTGAACAGATTAAGAAAAATTTCTTGCTTCCAACAAAAAGTAGTTCTAGTAAAACTAAGGACGGTCAGAGTTCACCAAAATCACCCACTGACGTAAAACCAAAGTCCAAATCAAAAACAAAAACTGCTCCTAAACCACCGAGTCCTAAACCAGCAGTGAAGTCAAAAGGCCAAGCACCTAGTATACCTAAAGAGAAAGTAGATACAACTAGTCATCAGGCGGCAGAAATTCACAAAAAAGAAAAAGCACCATTACCACCTGAGAATAAACAAGAACTATGTCAGCTTAAAGAAAAACCACCATTGCCAAATAAGAAATCTGAACCTAAAACACAACCTAGTAATTCAGTAGTAAGTGGAGATAACTCTGTTTATACCACAGACAGTAATACTTCTACTTCTGGTCCAAGGCGTCGGCTGTTTAAATCCGATTCTAATTCTTCAAAGGACTCTGTAGATTCTGTAGCACAAATAAATGGTTCGGCAGATCGTAAAACATCGGATAGAGGTTTAAGGAGGTCTGATTCAATAGAACAAGAACGAGTGAAAAAATTAGATATCCCAGAAAACAAGTGCATTTTAGACTTAGCCATGGCAACCAGTGCAGATCAGAACAGTGAAGGTCAAGGACAGTTAGAATATATCTATGTCACAAATAATAAACTCAAATACATGAACCAAAACTTTCAGAAAGTCAATGCTAAAATGTATGACTATAAGTGTGATGTCAAATTGAAAGTTGGTGATCAGAATTACAAAGCTCACCGTCATGTACTGTCAAATGCTAGCGATTACTTTGCAGCCATGTTCTCATGTGACATGAAAGAAAAAGACCAGGATGTTATTGAATTAAAAGAGATAAGTCCAAAAGGGTTCGCTGCTATGATGGATTATTTCTATCACGGTTATGTTACTATTGATCATGACAACATCGAGGATGTCATCGAGGCTGCCAGGTTCTTTCACAATGATTGGCTGTTAGAATGCTGTTGTGACTTTCTGATTCGGCATTTAAGTTTAGAAAATTATACTGCAGTCATAACCCTGGCTGATAAATATTGGCTTGGAGACTTGAGATGGGATATTTTTCGATTTATTGGAGAAAACCTACCAAATTTAACTCAGCAAGAAATGTTTTATCCAAACTTATCATTGGAGCTTTTGCTGCAGTTTTTGATAGAAAATATATATGCTGAAACTTCAGAGAGATTTCTACTTGATGTAATTCTTAACTGGGTCAATGCTAACCCTGAAGAAAGAAAGGAGCATTTACTTTCACTCTTACGACAAATTCGTTTTCCACTCATGGAAATTGAAGAATTGGAAACTTTGCCTGAGGAAGTAGTCCAAAGTACGGAAATAAAAGATGTGGTTGAAGATGCACTGAATTACAATTTAAATTTGATGGGACAATGTCTAAAAAAAGGGGAAATCTACACGCAGAGAGGTGCAAGGACAGTTATAACAGTTCTCTCATTTAGTGAAGAAGGCAATGTTCTTGTGTATCGTGATCCAGAAAAGCCAGGATTTTTTGTTGAGCAGCTTGGTCCAGTAGGACTAGATACTGTGGACTACCAAGCTTTAAGTCAATCTAAACTAGGTAACTTCCTGTATGCTGCCGGGGGATATGACGGAACCTATTCCAGTACAAACCGTGTTTTCCGATTTGATCCACGGTATAGAGATTGGACAGAAGTAGCATGTATGAATCAACCCAGAGTCTCGTTTTCAATCTGCAGTTCTGATACACAGTTGTTTGTAGCCGGTGGTGTTAATCGAGTGGAAGAAGATGAGTCCATCTTGAATTCTGTTGAAGTTTACACTGCTGAAGATAATTCCTGGACAGAACTTCAGCCTGTACCAGTCAAGTGTTGTGATGCTGCCATTGTATTCCATAAGAATTGTCTGTACATGACTGGAGGTATAAGTATTGATCCAGAAGATCCTATTCCATTAAATAGCACATGGTGTCTCAATCTTGGGGACGACAGTGGTTGGGTACCGAAGCAAAATTTGTTGACAGGAAGACAAGGTCACAGTATGATACCATACAATGACAAGTTATTGGCAATAGGTGGATACACATCAAAAGATGACCTTATGACCTTCAAAGACTGTATAACTAATGAGATGTATGATATTGAAACCAATCAGTGGACTGAAATAGCACCAACACCAGAACATTTTGGACATTTATATCGTCACAATGCTCTCTATGGTAACAAGATTTTCGTTGTTGGTTCTTCCACAGTTGTGGCCAATCTGTATGTTTATGATATTGAAAGTGATACTTGGGAAGAATGTGAATCTATAGGCCCTAACATGCAGAAGTTAGCTATTCTAGATGTAGCGTATCCATATTCATAAACAAGCTTTAAAATTGTTTGTGTATGGCAGTTGGAGCTTCGATATTTATGCAGTGCAAACAAAAAGTGTTCAGACTTGTAAATCCTGTTACTTGAGGAAAGTGATTTTAAAGTTGTCTGTATGTCTCACTTTATTAAATTGGAATGTAATGTAAGATATGTTTTTCCAGCTTGGCTTGGCCTTTAAGTTATTTTTTTTTAATATTTTGCCGTGGTAAGTACTGAAATTATACAATGATGGATCCAGGACTTTCAGAAAGTTGGAGCAGAGGTGCCCACTGAAAATATGGGGTCTTGCAGGCAAAAATCAGAAAAATGCACTGAAAGCACAAATTTACCTCCACCGAGATCCATCTCTTTTATCATATTCTCATTTATCAAAGTCATTTTTTTTTTTAAACTGGAAATTATATTTAATTATGACTGAAAAAAAAGAAAAAAAGTATGAAATGAAATGTTGGTTTTGACAGATAGAATTTCATTTATTTTAAAGAATATTTAAACTTAAACTGTAAAATCAATAATGCTCTATGAAACTTTGCTAGTCAGTTATCGGACCAAAATTCAAATGTAAAATTTATATTTTTAAAGGCGTTAGTTAAGTGTAGTAAATTTGATATATATATATCCTTTGTAAGGACAATTTTACTGATATTTAAGGAGTACTCTATGAATTTATAGTTTTGATAATTTTTGTTACTGCTTTTGATATAATACACATTTATGATAATGTTTGGTTGTATGATAAAAGATAATGGTTGTTTTAAACGTGATCATGATTGTTCTGTTTATTGTTTCTTGTTGTTCATAGCAGATTGTTTTTAATTAGCGAAATATAAACAGCATGAATAAATGCATTTTTGTTCAAATAAATAACCTAAATAACAATTTAGATATAGTAATTGGCAACTAATGCTTATTAAAAGTGTTCATGTTATTCCAAGTACCTATTTTAAAAAAAATTTAAACTCTAAATTTAGTGAATTATTAAATTAAACACACTGTTACCATTTTTTCCCTTATAGTTATTCCATGTCAGCTTATAAGTACAAAGTATGTGGTAATAATAATTGTTTAAAATCTTCAGCTATTAATGTTGTCTTTTTTATAAAAAAAAGATATGCTTTAGTATGTTTCTATTTTTTATCAATGTTACAAGAGAATGTATTTGTAATTGTGATTGTATATTGTGTGACTTTTAAGACAAATTTATAGCTTTTAAAGCTTTTAGTTAGTTAGTTATGTTTGTTTGTTAGAGCTTCCATATTTACAATTGTTAATTCTTTATACTTGATGAAATTTTATGTTGATAATGTTTCAGCAGACAAATAGTCTGTATCAATGATCATCATTTTTATATATTATCTTGAAAACTATATTTTTTTTGAAAATAGACAAACTGTAAAAAGAAAATGATCAGTAATATACAAAATCTACAAAAATGCCAAATTACTGAAGCCATTAATCAATTCCTTATAGAAACGTCAATTGTTATGTCACTTTGAGATGATATATTTGTGGAAGTTGACATATTTAACCAAAAATGACAATTTTTCACATAGTTTTTTGGCAAATTTAGATATGAGCAACAGACTAACCCAAAAAATATTTTACTCACATTAACATCTTTGTAAAAAGAAGTCCTATTTTGGCAGTTTTAGAAAAAGATGTTAAGCACACAAGGCTTATGGTAGGATAAATACAGCATCTTCAATATTATTACTAATAAAATATCATGATTGAATAAATTTAAGAGAAACAATATTGCTGTGTTAACATACTGTTAGTCTATTTAACTTTAACATTCATTTTGTTGCTTGTACATGTATTTACTTGTACATGTATTTACTTGTACATGTAATTACTTGTATTTTTTACACTTTTTTTGCATAATCTGATGATACTTATATTTTCATGTTTTCAAATCACTTTCTTTTAAACTTGTTTTTTAACTTAAATCTTTTATTTAGCTGATGGAGACTAAATGCTACATGGTGGTTTGCATTTTAAATGTCTTACATGCCTCTAAACAAATAATGTCACTATTATAGACAAGATTACATGTGGTGAAAAATTGAAAAGTCTTAGTAATTCAATGAACAAAAACCCTATTTAGAGTTTAGTACATGTGTATTAACCGGATATCCAGCCTGATATCAAAGATGGTAGCCATCATGAAACAACGAATCAAGTTAGAATAGGAAAGAACAGCTTCATGTAAATAATTCATTAATTGAGTCAGTATTAAGTGGGGCGGAAGGACCTTTTTTTTCAGGAATTTGGGATTGAACCATTAATGGGAATTTGGGAATATCCAGTTAAATCGTCAGGAATTCAGGATTTGATTAAATCATGATACAGGAACAGGCACATTATTTTTACGGGAATTTGGGATTTGGCATTTATCTTCTCAGGAATTTAGGTTGAGACCACCTCCTACACCCCCTATACTAAGCATGGATAAAAGAAAGATAATTCTTCATAAAATGAATGAACCAAATTCCCAGATCTTGTGAAAAAGCATTACATAAGACTTAAAAAATATCTTAAGGATCTAAGTGTTCATTGTTTGAGCCAATATATATAAATACGATGTGCAAAAAAGAGAAAAACATGATTAGTTGAGTCATTGAGGTTTTTTTTACATATACAGTTTATACATAAAAGAAAATGTTTAAGTTGATTTTTTTTTTGAATTTCATTGCGTTTGAAAAAAAAAAAGCTAGTTTAAGGCAAATATTGGGCATTACCATATTTTTTTAAGTAATTGTAAAATACTGTTCAATCCTCTTAAGACATGGGCATCATTTATATTTTGTCGTAAAATATTAGATATTAATAAAGTCCAGTAAAATTTGCATTCTTGAACACTAAAGGGACCATTAAATTCTGTTCTAGTTATTGAGGTGTATATATTACTTTTAAGTGTTTATTAGGGAATACTACATGCATTATACTTTATAAAACAATTCACTGCATTTAGTTGTTTGGGAGACTAATTGTGTTTGCTCCGTTTCTTTAAGTTATTTGTTGTTAATTCTTGCTTGTCCCTCACTTTAAAGTTGATATGAGGGTACCAGTTAACTTTTGATGTATATCTTACTGCATGTAAAGGAGTTTTTTTGATTATGAAAATGTTACTTTTTTGGAACAACAAACAATTGTGATCAGTCTTGGGACAGTAGTTAATAGACATATTTTAAAGTGGCCTTACAGTTTATCTTGTTACTCATTGGTATGCAAATTTATTTTAAAAAATGTCATGTTTACTTATGTTTTCTTAATTATGTTCTCTTTTACATTCCAATGATCTTTATATTTACATATATACATTAAATTTTTCATTTTATTATAGTTTAGCTGAGCGCTTGCCACAATAAAAATTATAACTGTCACTGTTTTAATTTATTCTTCCTGACACACGGCTAAAGTTAGAATGTGAGATATAGGGATTACCATCCTGCAGTGGGGACGGCATAAAGTATTTGTATAAAGCTTTATATTTCATACCTTGTATGCAGATGCCTCATGTTACAGAATTTCCATCTGTCATATGTCCATAGTCCTTGACCTCATTTTCATGGTTCAGTGAAAAAAAATTACCCCGGTATAGTTTTTTTGTCATGTGAAATACTTATTATGAGTAATAGGATAACTATATTTGGTATATGGGTTCCTTGCAAGGTCAACATTTCTGTCAGACAGGGTTCACTTGACCTCAACCTCATTTTCATGGATCAGTGATCAAGGTTAAGTTTTCGTGGTCAAGTCAGTATATCAGATACTACAAGCAATAGGCTAACTATATTTGGTGAATGGTCTGATTGTAAGGTGTACATGTCGGTCTGGCAAGGTCCATTTGACTGTGATATAGATCATTGGTGTAATACTTCTAGTAAAACCTTAATATTGCAGGCTTTTAACATAAATTCAATTGCTTTAAGTGAAGCAGGTGAGACATTTTAGCGTGTGCACTCTTGTTTTTCCACCTTGAGTTTTAAAAAGGTTAGCAGTATTATGGTTTGGTAAAACAACGAGGTAATCTTGTGCTCAACTGGAGTTTGAGAGTCTAGCAATTATCAGTTTTATTTATTATAAAACCACATGGAGGTCTTGTGGTACTGCACTCACCTGGAGTTTGAGATTTTATATAGGTTTATTCCATTGTTGGGCCAAACCAGACTTAAAAATTGGTATTCACTACCTCTCCACCAATCATGTGGCATTTAGTAAAGGCAGACTAGTCTAGGTGTCCGAATAATATGCTTAAATACAGCAAATGACATGTTTCTTGTGTACTGTTATCAGCTAAATTAGCACTTTCAAAATTCTCAGCATATCAAGTCTAGTACATGGTATCTTTTTATCACATTTACATCCTGAATATGCATATGATACTAGTTGCTTGATATTAAACTGTTATCAACCACTCATGCAATTTGATAGATTTTCAGTTGTTTAATTTGGCATATCTTGTATACAGATGCATTATGGTCTCCAGTTTCGGGACCAATAAATAAAGTTAAGATGTATTAGTTCCTGGCTGCTATAAGTGTTCATACTCTAGGCCAATATATAAAGTTAAGATGTATTAGTTCCTGACTGCTATAAGTGTTCATACTCTAGACCAATATATAAAGAGAAGATGTATTAATCCCTGGCTGCTATAAGTGTTCATACTCTGGACCAATATATAAAGAGAAGATGTATTAATCCCTGGCTGCTATAAGTGTTCATACTCTGGACCAATATATAAAGAGAAGATGTATTAATCCCTGGCTGCTGTAAGTATTCATACTATTGTTAATTCATTGTTATAATTTGAACACAAATTTTCATGTATTTCGTGGTAAGGTGAACCACAAATTTCAATGTTCATTGAAGTACTAATTTTGGCAAAGCTACAAAATCAAATATCCACAAAAATGCAATTTTTCCTTGATCCATAAATAAAACTGTTATCACAGAGATATGTCTCGCCTTTTTATACGACCGCAAAACAATTTTTGTGGTCGTATATTGGTATGACGTTGGCGTCGTCGTCGTTGTCGTCGTCCGAAGACACATGAGTTTTCGCACTCTAACTTTAGTTTAAGTGAATGGATCTCTATGAAATTTTACCATAAGGTTCAATACCACAAAAGGAAGGTGGGGTGTTTGGGGGTTATGGTACCAACAGTTAAGGAATTAGGGGCCAAAAATAAGCATTTTTGTAACTTCCAGACATAACTTGTGTGTAAGTGTATGGATCTCTCTGACATTGTCCCACAAGGTTCCATATCACAAAGGGAATGCTGGGATTGATTTTGGGGGTAATTGCCTCCAAATTTTAGGAATTAGGGGCCAAAAAGGGGCAAAAAACAAGCATTTTTCTAGTTTCATGACAATAACTTGTGTGAGTGTATGGATCTCTCTGACATTGTATCACAAGGTTCATTATCACAAAGGGAATTCTGGGATTGATTTTGGGGGTAATTGCCTCCAAATTTTAGGAATTAGGGGCCAAAAAAGGGGAAAAAAACAAGCATTTTTCTAGTTTCATGACAATAACTTGTGTGTAAGTGTATGGATCTTTATGAAATTGTACCACAAGGTTCCATATCACAAAGGGAAAGCTGGAATTGAGTTTGGGGGTAATTGCCCAAAAAGTTTAGGAATTAGGGGCCACAAATAAGCATTTTTCTAGTTTCCAGACAATAACTTGTGTTCAGGTGTATGGATCTCTCTGAAATTGTACTGCAAGGTACCATACCACAAAGGGAAGGCTGGGATTGATTTTGGGGGTAATTCCCTCAAAATTTTAGGAATTAGGGGCCATAAAAGGGCAAAAAAACAAGCATTTTTCTAGTTTCAGGACAATAACTTGTGTGTAAGTGTAAGGATCTTTATGAAATTGTACTGCAAGGTTCCATATCACAAAGGGAAAGCTGGGTTTGAGTTTGGGGGTAATTGCCCTAAACGTTTAGGAATTTGGGGCCAAAAAGGGGCCCAAAAACAAGCATTTTTCTAGTTTCCAGACAATAACTTGTGTTCAAGTGTATGGATCTCTCTGAAATTGTACTGCAAAGTACCATACCACAAAGGGAAGGCTGGGATTGAGTTTGGGGTGATAAATCATAAGGGGGTTCAAAAAATTTGTGGGGGATTTTTTTTTTTCCTTTTTTTTTTCTTTAAAATTTTCCATTTTAAATTGGTTATTTCTGATTTATATATAAAAGCAAATAATAATGATATGGTTTGAATAGGTAAATAAATTTTTTTTAAGTTCTTAGACCACTTTCATTCTGTGTCAGAAACCTATGCTGTGTCAAATATTTAATTACAATCCAAATTCAGTGCTGTATCAAGCTTGAATGTTGTGTCCATACTTGCCCCAACTGTTCAGGGATCGACCTCTGCGGTTGTATCAAGCTGCGCCCCAGCGGAGCATTTTATTTTATTCTAGTCAGTCAACAAACATGGCCATCATGGCTTAAAATAGTACACTCTGGGTAATATGCAGTTTATATCTCAAAAACTTTCAAAAGTTTCAAAGTCAATGAACCATGATCAGGGGTGGGGCTATATAATCTCCATGGAAACAATACTTGCAAATGCCAATACATTTGCATACCAAATATCATTGACTTAACATTAGCAGTTCATCTTAAACTGATCTAATCACAAACTAATACATGTAAACTAAGCAAAAGTTTCAAAGTAAATAGACCATGACTGAGGGGCGGGACCAAATATTCTCCATGGAAATGAGATGTGCTAATGCTTATACAACTGTACACAAATTAACATTGGCCTTCCACTAATGGTTCCCCTTGAACTGACCTAATCACAAACTAATACATGTTAACTTAGCAAAATTTTCAAAGTCTATAGACCAAGACTAAGGGGGCGGAGCCAAATAATCTCCATGGAAATGAGATATGCCAATGCTTATACAACTGCATACCAAATATCATTGACCTACCACCAGTGGTTCCCCATAAATTAACCTAATCACAAACTAATACATGTAAACTATGAAAAGTTTCAAAGTCAATAGACCTTGACTGAGGGGGCGGGGCCAAATAATCTCCAAGGTAATGAGATGTGCCAATGCTTATACAACTGCATACCAAATATCATTGACCTACCACTAGTGGTTCACCATGAACTAGACCTAATCACAAACTAATACATTGTTGACGCCGCCGGAAACAGCATACCTATGTCTCGCTTTTTGACTCCGTCAAGGCGAGACAAAAATTAGTACCCCAAAAAATAAATGAATCGACAGTATTGTATTTGATTTATAGACTGATTGTTAGTTGTTTTTGTATGACTGGTTTGTTACGGCCTTGACTGTATTTTCATCAACCTTATATTTCAGTTTCTGATTTTATGTAAGTGATAGATATAAAAGGAGATGTGGTATGATTGACAATGAGACAACTATCCACCAGAGAACATATCAAATACATCATCAATAGAATGCTTGAAATGAGACAAATATGCACCAGAGAACATGTCAAATACATCATCTAAAGATCGCTTGAAATGAGACAACTATCCATCAGCGAACATGTAAAATACATCATCTAAAGAACGCTTGAAATGAGACGACTATCCATCTAAGAACATGTCAAATACATCATCTAAAGAACACCTGAAATGAGACAACTATCCACCAGAGAACATATCAAATACATCATCTATAGAATGCTTGAAATGAGACAATTATGCACCAGAGAACATGTCAAATACATCATCTAAAGATCGCTTGAAATGAGACAACTATCCATCAGCGAACATGTAAAATACATCATCTTAAGAACGCTTGAAATGAGACGACTATCCATCTAAGAACATGTCAAATACATCATCTAAAGAACACCTGAAATGAGACAACTATCCATCAGAGAACATGTCAAATACATCATCTAAAGAACGCTTGAAATGAGACAACTATCCATCAGAGAACATGTCAAATACATTATCTAAAGAACGCTTGAAATGAGAGGACTATCCATCAGAGAACATGTCAAATACATTATCTATAGAACGCCTGAAACGAGACGACTATCCATCAGAGAACATGTCAAATACATTATCTAAAGAATGCTTGAAATGAGACGACTATCCATCAGAGAACATGTCAAATACATTATCTAAAGAACGCTTGAAATGAGACGACTATCCATCAGAGAACATGTCAAATACAACATCTATAGAACGCTTGAAATGAGACAACTATCCACCAGAGATCATGTCAAATACATCATCTATAGAACGCTTGAAATGAGACGACTATCCACCAGAGATCATGTCATATACATCATCTATAGTATGCCTGAAATGAGACGACTATCCATCAGAGAAAATGTCAAATACATTATCTAAAGAACGCTTGAAATGAGACGACTATCCATCAGAGAACATGTCAAATACATCATCTATAGAACGCTTGAAATGAGACAACTATCCATCAGAGAACATGACAAATACATCATCTATAGAACGCTTGAAATGAGACAACTATCCATCAGAGAACATGACAAATACATCATCTATAGAACGCTTGAAATGAGACAACTATCCATCAGAGAACATGACAAATACATCATCTATAGAACGCTTGAAATGAGACAACTATCCATCAGAGAACATGTCAAATACATCATCTATAGAACGCTTGAAATGAGACAACTATCCATCAGAGAACATGACAAATACATCATCTATAGAACGCTTGAAATGAGACAACTATCCATCAGAGAACATGACAAATACATCATCTATAGAACGCTTGAAATGAGACAACTATCCATCAGAGAACATGACAAATACATCATCTATAGAACGCTTGAAATGAGACAACTATCCATCAGAGAACATGTCAAATACATCATCTATAGAACGCTTGAAATGAGACAACTATCCATCAGAGAACATGACAAATACATCATCTATAGAATGCTTGAAATGAGACATCCATCAGAGAACATGACAAATACATCATCTATAGAACGCTAGAAATGAGACAACTATCCATCAGAGAACATGACAAATACATCATCTATAGAACGCTTGAAATGAGACAACTATCCATCAGAGAACATGTCAAATACATTATCTAAAGAACGCTTGAAATGAGAGGACTATCCATCAGAGAACATGTCAAATACATTATCTATAGAACGCCTGAAATGAGACGACTATCCATCAGAGAACATGTCAAATACATTATCTAAAGAATGCTTGAAATGAGACGACTATGCATCAGAGAACATGTCAAATACATTATCTAAAGAACGCTTGAAATGAGACGACTATCCATCAGAGAACATGTCAAATACAACATCTATAGAACGCTTGAAATGAGACAACTATCCACCAGAGATCATGTCAAATACATCATCTATAGAACGCTTGAAATGAGACAACTATCCACCAGAGATCATGTCATATACATCATCTATAGTATGCCTGAAATGAGACGACTATCCATCAGAGAAAATGTCAAATACATTATCTAAAGAACGCTTGAAATGAGACGACTATCCATCAGAGAACATGTCAAATACATCATCTATAGAACGCTTGAAATGAGACAACTATCCATCAGAGAACATGACAAATACATCATCTATAGAACGCTTGAAATGAGACAACTATCCATCAGAGAACATGACAAATACATCATCTATAGAACGCTTGAAATGAGACAACTATCCATCAGAGAACATGACAAATACATCATCTATAGAACGCTTGAAATGAGACAACTATCCATCAGAGAACATGTCAAATACATCATCTATAGAATGCTTGAAATGAGACAACTATCCATCAGAGAACATGACAAATACATCATCTATAGAATGCTTGAAATGAGACATCCATCAGAGAACATGACAAATACATCATCTATAGAACGCTTGAAATGAGACAACTATCCATCAGAGAACATGTCAAATACATCATCTATAGAACGCTTGAGATGAGACAACTATCCATCAGAGAACATGACAAATACATCATCTATAGAACGCTTGAAATGAGACAACTATCCATCAGAGAACATGACAAATACATCATCTATAGAACGCTTGAAATGAGACAACTATCCATCAGAGAACATGTCAAATACAATGAAGCAGAAGTAATCAAAGGGATATTTAAATTGATGATAAACTAACAAAACCATGGCAAAAACCAAAACTTTCAACATTAAATTGAGACTATCAGCAGAGCAGATGAAACATTTCAGCTTTTCTATTTGTCACTTGTTTTTAGGAAGAAGTACTTTGCTTAAATCAAAGGATTGTGATAGCTGCTGCCAACAATTGGTGTCTGTAAACATCTCTCCCAAGTCCACTGGGCTGATTGAAATCGAACATACTTGTAGCTTAAAAGCGTGGTTGAAGCAGAGACAATATTGAAGTTTTCAAAGGTCCAGGCAATATACAGAATATCTTTATAACATTTATTGTAAAGTAAAGTTCTTAAACAATATACAATGTACTAAATTCTAAGAAATTCAACCTATTTTGTCTACACATTTTATTTTATCAAATGCATTATTGAACATTCACTGTAAATACAATCAACAGAATGTTTAAGTGGAGCTTGAACAATATTTTTTTTTTTCATTTTAAAGTGAAATGTTTGGAGTTGAATGTACATTTTTTGGTTATGAAACTTCTGTCTTTGAATGTATCAGCACTATAATATTTCTGTGACTTGTTCTGATAAAAAATACTTAGCGATAAGAAGTAAATTTTGAAGGAACAAGATCTCCATATGAAGTAAAATTTACATGTATTATTTTAAGCCTTACAACAGGAAATTTTCAATTTTTTCATTCATATTTCCCTGAAGTTCATTTTTTCATTTTAATTTCCCAGCCATAAAAAAAGGTACACAATTTGTTGAATGTTTACATTGATTAAAATACGAGCTTGGATGAAACATGTTAAAAGTATAAGTTTCAAGGAATGCTTAAATGTCAGCTAGAAATCAAACATAAACATTTATCAATGTTATTCACTAAAACCCTCAGCACGTCTTTAAATAATTATAAAATTAAGTAGATGTGGTATAATTGCCAATGAAACAATTATCCAACCGAGTCCAAATGATTTAGATTTAAGGGATATATAGGTCACTGTGCATCCTTCAACAATGAGCAAAACCCATATCATTTAATCAGCTATAAATGGGTGTAACATGAGGAAATGTGAAAAGGTTCAAAGAAAAAACCAAGGGACTGATTTATGATTAAACAATCAAGGAAAAAACAAATGTGACAGACAGCAACCAATGACAACCACTGAATTACAGGCTCGTGACTTGGTTGTTTATAAAATAAAGAATAAAACCGCAAATTTACCCTCATTAAAATTGACTTTTTCAATAAATTAAGTCCTGTTTCTAAAAAATTAACAATAATTTTCCTAGTAAAATTTTTCTTACTTTAATTTCTCCAATAATCTGGAGAGAGTCAGAGAGACAGAAGTACCACTTTGAATATTACATTATCATACCAATATATCATTAATTTTTGTACCTCAATTTTATGTTAATTTATATGGATAACTACTATCATATAAGTACTTTCCTTGCAAGTGATAAATTCTTTGTAATTGTTGCTGGTGCTGTAAACAACTGACAGCTATTGTAATCAAAATTGGTCAGGTTGAATTCTGGAAAATTTATGGTTTAATAAAAAAAAAAGGTGTTTCATCTTAACAGTTTAAATTTTCAATAGCTGTTTATTTTTCAACAGCTCCTATTATCTTATCAGAAATGATAATATGCAAAAAATATGCGTCATGCTATATCAATTTGCTAAAAATAAATTTGACCATCATACATGTTATGAGAATATATTCCTCAATCAAGTATAAAATTCATTTCATAGTATTCTAAGACATGCAATACAACATTCATATCAAGACAAAAATATTAACAACATGTAAAAATATGTAAAAAAAGTGTAATCACATAACATAATGTAGGTCAAGGTTCAATGACACATAAATCTATTGTTTCTGGAAATACAGACAGCTATGACGAGATTTTCATCTCCTGTATGTTGGCGTACTATGAAGTCATTATTCCAGTGATTCAATATTGTTGATGACATAAAATAAAGTTGTTGGCTTTTGGTATACCATGTATAAACAAATAACATGTTTTTTTATGCAGATTAACATTCATACACAATGTATTTTATAACATTCATACACAATGTATTTTATTATAACATTCATACACAATGTATTTTATTATAACATTCATACACAATGTATTTTATTATAACATTCATACACAATGTATTTTATTATAACATTCATACACAATGTATTTTATTATAACATTCATACACAATGTATTTTATTATTACTACTACATCTAATTGGATACAATATTTCTCCTTTGAGAAAGATAAATCTGGTAATTATTCTACCCAGTGATAAAAATTATCATACCACACAGTGGCATAATTTGTTTCATGACTTTTCAGACATTGACTTTTTCATGGGAAAGGAAAAAATCTGTGAAGAGTTAGGAAATACATATAATTTACATATGAATTACATATGGCACATGGAAATATTTGAAGATCACTGTCTTACGGAACCATGTCATCTTCATATTATTGAATACTAGGGCATACAAGATAGTGACAATAGAAATCATGTACCCTGTTCATAATACATTATTTTGTTATATTTAATTACTATCTTTGGTAAAGTACTAGAAATACATTGTAAGTGTTAGAAAAATGATTTTTATAATGTGATTAGCAGTTTCAACATTTCAGTCTGTTAGCTTTTATCTGCTTTTTACCACCTCACAGTATATCATGATCATATGAAGCCTGATACAACATTTCAGGAAGCTCTTATTTGTAGTTCCTGAGAAAAATATGACGGAAATTTCATGGGACAGATTGACAGACTGGTAAAACAACTTACCCCCTCCTTCAGAGCAGGGTTAAATTACTGCTGCATTAAATTATAATATTCATAATATTACACATACTTGCACAACAACATTTTACAAAATCTGTATATTATAAATTATTGTTTCAACACCCAGAAAGGTAGTATGTAAAACTGGTTTAATAACCCCACAAAGTTTTGTGTCTGTACCAAAGATAACGAACTATTACCAGATCAATAAAACTCCCCTTTAACTCTATATAAGTTAAGGTTACTTCTTATACAAGATATAAGTTAAGGTTACTTCTTAAACAAGATAACTGTGGAAAAAATGAAATTTGAATGATTTCCTTTCATACAAATGATTTTAAGTGTTTTGATTTAGTGATACTGTTAACCTATGCATAGTAAATAAATTCTTTATAAAGTAAATTGTTTAATCTTTGTAAAAGTTTTCTTTTGGCACTATCAAAAACCAAAATACAATAGTGAAAAACCTAAAGGCCATACTAAAATATTTTGCTGTTTTTAGAATTTGTTTTGCTTTTAAAAAAAAATAAGTGAAAGTATTCATGGTATTTTCTAAAAAAAAATGATTCTGTACCAGAAACTCAAAATGCAATAATAAAATTAGATTTCATTTTAGGAAACAATCAATCAAATTCTTAATATTTCTGAACTTTATTTATTTATTGCAATGTGGTTAAAAAATTGAAAGCACAAAAAAGAGAGCTTTTATTGTATTTTTTAGACGAATTTTCAAATTTTTCATCTCAAAATTTTAAGAGCATGCAAATATGAAGAACAAAAAACCAATTTGGTATGGCTTAAACCCATATTTGCATTTATATCAAGCACTGATTTTTTTCTTATCAATTGGTTTGTCAAGTTTATGTGTATATTGAGCATACAAGCTATAGTTGATAGTAAATAGTTATAAACACTACAAAAACAAGCATCGTGCTCATAAAATGAGACTTGCTGCAGTTGTAATACAAATACATTTTCATTTCATTTACAATCAAATACTTTTAAAATGGAATAACATATTCCCATTTTCTTGGAACTATTTTTTTAATTTTATTCTACAAAGTCCTGTGCCCTTGAAATTGTTTGTTATAACTTCTGTTTAACTTTATATAAAACTGACGAAAAATCAAATTTTAAATTTCTGTCCTAGAGTTGCTATAGAACATTTCTTATCTTTTCAAGAGAATCTAGCATTTTCTTTTGTAGGTATTATAGTAGTATACAGTGTTTCTTGTTTAAAATTAGTTGACCACTTTTTTTAAATTTTGATTGCAGAGTCTGAATAATATGATAGAAAAAACCCAATATCATTGGCTGTGTAATGATAAATAGAAAATGATAAATGATCTGACACTGTGCAAATTGAGATCTAAAAAAACATTTACATAAAATATCAAAAATGTCTAATATATAAAGATCAACACATAAAATAGTATTCAAGTGGTTTTGTCCAGGGTTTGCTGTTGTTGTTGTTGACCCACATTAGCACTGTTAGGTGGTGGCATCATGCCACCTTGATGTCCGTACGGGGGTGGCATACCCATTGCCATGTACGGATTGGGCATTCCTCCCATCATGTATGGTGCTGGCATTGGAAAGGAATAGGGGCTGAATGGAAATCCCATTATGGGACTGGATCCCATCTGGGACATACTTTGTATAGGAGACATGTAATCACTTTGTGTTGTGTTGGTAACAGATCCATTGTTAGTTGAGGTCGGCTGTGACTGATGGGAATTCTGGGGGAATAATACTGGATATGGCGTGTACATAGGATTGTATCCCATCTGTGGCGAACCTTGGTTAAATCCAGACATCGGATTAAACATATGAGGCATAGGATTATTGTGTTGTGGATAATTGCTTCTCGTGTTTGGAGCGATCCGTGGATACCGTGACATGAAAGAGTCCATATTGTCATTACCCTCCTCGTGATATTTGTCACTGTCTTCTCGAAGGTCTATATGACCCATGTTTGATGATATTGATGCTGATGAGTCTACTCTACTCATTGACTGATTGGCGTCCTGTCTTGACGGCTGATATGGAGTAATTTCTGACATGTCAAACAATGATTCCAAGAATCCTTGTTGACGATCAACTCTTTGGTTATCAAATTCGAAGATTTGACTGTTACTATTGCTATTGTCTGATTGATCAAATGTTCCTATGTCTGATCCAAACTGACTGTCATTATTGTCAAACTGAACCTGTCCTTCATCGGCAGAACTCATCTGACTACTAGAACTATTCTGTCTCTCTATACCTACGACACTATTGTTTTCAGTACTTGATTCTGTTTGGCTTTCCAGTCCCGTTTGACTGTTTGATTGAGGCAGGCCCTTAACAACCAAGTTATTAGACCCTGATAAGCTGTCAATTCCCATTTGACTATTTGTCCTGGCTAGCATTTCTATACTATCTAATCCACCAATAATTGGCTCACTGCCAGATTTAGTCAAAGTGTCCTTTTCATTGTCTAATGAAAGCATACTGCCAATTGCAGCAACACTAGCAGATCTAGGATCAATATCCATTTCTGTAGGAATATTTACAGAAGAGTCTATGTCTGTTCCAGAGTTTTTCAATATGTTCAGATCCATCATACTACTTGGTCCACTTTTGTTCAATTCAGATTTTATTTCAGAATTTAAATTCATTTTAATTTTCGCATCAACTTTACTTTTTGATTGATTTGGTTTAATAGCCCTTGGTTGTCGTGAAGTTGGTTTCCTGTTGATGACAGCCGAACCAGTCTTGGGGTATACTATAATTGGCTGTGCTGTTCCAATCTTTGGTGCCACTGTAAAAAGAATAAATATAATTTATTAAGTATAAATAATTACGTTAATTTTTTGATAACTGTAAGGACAAAGAGGCTTTGTCTTCACCACACATGTTTTATTACCTTCCAATCACCTGATTAAATCACCACACATGTTTTATTAACCTTCAAATCATCTGATCAAAGACAGTCATTCTGTATGTGCCTGTCCCAAGTCAGGAGCCTGTAATTCAGTGGTTTTCGTTTGTTGCTGTGTTACATATTTGTTTTTCGTTCATTATTTTATACATAAATTAGGCTGTTAGTTTTCTCGTTTGAATTGTTTTACATTTGTCATTTCAGGGCCTTTTATAGCTGACAATGCGGTATGGGCTTTGCTCATTGTTGATGGCCGTACGGTGACCTATAGTTTTTAATTTCTGTGTCATTTGGTCTCTTGTGAAGAGTTGTCTCATTGGCAATCATACCACATCTTCTTTTTTTAAATTAAAATCAATACTTGACTGCAACACCCAAAAACAGGTGTCAGATGTTTTTAATTCAGTGGTTGTCATTGTTCATGTCGGTCATATTTGTTTTTTTCGTAAATTATTGTGTTATGAATTAAGGCGTTGGTATTCTCGTTTGAATTGTTTCCACCTTTTCATGTCAGGGCCTTTTACGGTATGGGTGTTTCTCATTGTTGAAGGCCCTACTGTTGTCTATAATTTCTTACATCCACTTCATTTGAACTCAATGGCAATCATACCACATCTCCTTATTTTCCTATAAAAATGTCACTTGGGAGAAATAAAACTAGAGGCTCTCAAGAGCCTGTGTCGCTCACCTGTATTTACTGATGCTTTGGGAATCATGTAAAATAAGGTTAAAATCATAATTAATAGTATTAGATATTAGATATTATAATGATATCTAAGATCATAACAAAAAACTGCAAAATTTTTGTAAAATTACTAACTCAGGGGCAGCAACCCAACAACGGGTCAGAGATATAAACCAATAAACTGCTTCGCTGAGCGCAGCTAGATACGCCCTTAGAGGTCCAACCCTGAACAGTTGGGGCAAAAATGTACACAATATTCAAGCTTGATTCAGGTCTGAATTTGGATTGTAATAAAATATTTGACATATTGTAGGTTTCTGAATAAATGTAGTCAAAGAACTTGAAATTGGTTATATGAATTGAATTTATATTCAATTAAAGATTTCTTGCTGTTGGGCAATACTTAGTAAATCTGTTGTCAGACTATAAACAAATAAAGTTCAATTAATTCTCAATGTCATATTAGAAATTTATGAAAATAAAAAGGGAGCTTACATCAATAGATATAAATTATTCACCAAAGTTTCATGAGAATTGGTGACAGCATTTTTGAGTTATTGTCCGAAAACTGGAAAATCACCCCTTTTTTTAATGAATAAAACCCCATAACTCAGAAATGTAAAATGTAAAATTTATAAAATTCTAAAGGAGCTTACATCAATACATACAAACAATTCACCAAAGTTTCATAAGAATTGCTGAAAGCATTTTTGAGTTTTTGTCCGAAAACTGGAAAATCCCCCCTTTTTTTATGTATAAAACCCTGTAACTCGGAAACGTAAAATCTTATAAATTTATAAAAATCGAAAGGGAGCTCATGTCAATAGATATAAACAATTCACCACAATTTCTTGCAAGTTGGTGAAAGCATTCTTGACTTATTGTCCGAAAACTGGAAAATCCCCCTTTTTTTAATGAATAAAACCCCATAACTCGGAAACGTAAAATCTAAATTTTATAAAAAACGAAAGGGAGCTCACGTCAATAGATATAAACAATTATCAAAAGTTTTATGCAAATTGGTTAAAGCATTTTTGAGTTAATGTCCGACATGTTGACGACGGACAGACGGATGGACGGACAGAGGTATACCATAATACGTCCCGTAAACGGACGTATAAAAACTGCATTATACCCCTATGTTCTATTTTTAACCAAGTCAGCCATGATGGTTGGAAGGCGGGGTCATCGGACAAATTTTTTAAACTAGATACCCTAATAATGATTATGGTCACATATGGTTAAATTTGTCTCAGTAGTTTCAGAGAAGAAGATTTTTGTAAAAGATTACAAAAATTTACAAAAAATTGTTAAAAATTTACTATTAAGGGCAATAACTCCTAAAGGGGTCGACTGACAATTTTGGTCATGACAACGTATTTGTAGATCTTACTTTGCTGAACATTATTGCTGTTTACAGTTTATCTCTATTTATAATAATATTCAAGATAATAACCAAAAACTGCAAAATTTCCTTAAAATTACCAATTCAGAGGCAGCAACCCAACAACAGGTTGTCAGATTTGTCTGAAAATTTCAGGGCAGATAGATCTTGACCTGATAATCAGTTTTACCCTGTGTCAGATTTACTCTAAATGCTTTGGTTTCAGAGATATAAGCCAAAATCTACGCTTTGGTTTCAGAGATATAAGCCAAAATCTACAATTTACCCCTATGTTCTATTTTTAGCCATGGCGGCCATCTTGGTTGGTAGGCGGGGTCATCGGACACATTTTTTAAACTATATACCCTATTGATGATTGTGGCCAAGTTTGGTTAAATTTGGCCCAGTGGTTTCAGAGGAGAAGATTTTTGTAAAAAGCTAACGATGATGGACGACGAGGATGGACAACGGACGCCAAGTGATGAGAAAAGCTTCGGGCCAGGTGAGCTAAAAATTGTTATAAGCCTGATTTCTTTATTATACCTGCAATTTAACATTGTTTTGATCACCTTGGGACTGGGGATTTTAAATATATTTGTCGTAAGACATTGTTATAAATGAATACTACTGTACATGTATGTAAATATTCTGGTGATACTGAACAGAAAATAATCATCAATGACTGTACATGTATGTAAATATTCTGGTGATACTGAACAGAAAATAATCATCAATGACTGTACATGTATGTAAATATTCTGGTGATTCTGAACAGAACATAATCATCAATGACTGTACATGTATGTAAATATTCTGGTGATACTGAACAGAACATAATCATCAATGACTGTACATGTATGTAAATATTCTGATGATACTGAACAGAAAATAATCATCAATGACTGTACATGTATGTAAATATTCTGGTGATACTGAACAGAAAATAATCATCAATGAATACTGTTTTTTGGTTGTTGGAAAGACATTAAAACACCAAACTATACCTGTTGCTGTGGAGTTTTTGATAGTAACAGTAGTTACAGATGAGGTTGATGCAGTAGATATACCGCTAAGTAGTGGAGTCTTTGCTCTGACAGCAAATATCTTTCCTTCCTTTGTTCGTATATAAACTCCTTTTGGTGTCTTGATAACAAAAACTTGCTGTCCTGCAGGTATCTTGTTTACCAAAGTACCACCGCTGGCAGTTACACCTGATTGGGTGTTGGTAGTGGTCCCTGGCAACGTAATGTCTGTTGTAGTTACTATTTTGTGGACAGTAACACCAGGTTTTGTTTGAGGTATAATAGAAACTCCATCTTTTGGTTTCATAGGAACAGGTGTAGTCATCATTGGTTTTACACTAGCTACTGGCCGATTGAATGGTGTTGGCTGATTCCTGTAAAAAATGGACAAAACATGTAAAAATTTAAGACCCTTAAATGAGCAAGCTCTCATAAGCCAATTATATAAAAGGGAAGAGCTTATAAAATTAAAGACCTAATTGGAAATTCTTTTATCTAAAAGTTGATCTAATTCAAATCTGCTTCGTGATCATGTGCCTGTTTTTTTAAAGTCAGAAACCTTTTGAGTGGTTGTCATGTAAAACTGTGAAATAATGTTTTTTTAACTACATATTGAATGCATTAATAATTTGTGTCATTATCCCATTTTCAATAAAAAAAAGGGAATTACTAATAAATATTACCTTATTGTTTCCAGGTTTTTGTACACAATAGAAGTTTATGTACTAATTATATCTGTGTGTCAACTCTTTGCTTGAAATAGGTGTATTTCTAATTCCCAGATTTTTTCAATGATGGTCTTTCAAAAAGAAACCCTAAAAATAAGGGCAAACTGAACAGTATTTAATACAATGATAATTAAGGAAGTAAACAATTACCATGGTGGGTGATGTGTAGGTCTAGGAACTCCTCCTGCCTTAGGATAGAAGGCAGCATAGGAGGGTCTGGAGTAAGTCAAGTTCAGCTTCTTCTCCATTACATAACTCTGTTTGGCTAGTCTCTTCTCCTTCTTACTTAATCTCAGCTCTTTCTTGTCTATCAGCAGTGATTCATGGGTAAATGGCTTCTGAAAGAAAAAAAAACCAACAAGATTTATATGCTGTAGCCAAATGTCCCCCACAGCTATGTTCTGTGCGATAGTCACAAGGTGTCAAAACAATTTTATTCTAAAGCATGAAAGCTTTCTGTCTGACAGTCTCTGAGTGTAGTTGTGATTTGTAAGAAGTGGCATTTTGTGACAGATCTGGGGAAAAGAGGCTGCAAGAGTGCCTGATGCATTGAAATTTTTACACTTTGTTTTTTCTATTCCATCTCACACTTTTTCCATAAAAAAAGAACAAAACTACCAGTTAAGGATATATATAGATTGTGAAGCTTATCATTATTTTTTTCTTTCTCATTACTCTAACTAAAATGCAGGAATTGATTTCTAACTTTCAAAATTTGAACTTTGCGTCTATGGCATTTATTATAATTCACATTGTAATCAGCAAGAAAGAGCATTGTCCATCATTAGATGTTTAATTCTCATTAATGTTTACCCCATATCACCAAATTATTGGTCACAATACAATTTACCTTAATCAACCAATGACCCTGTCTTTTAACAATATAATTTACCTTAGTTAACCAATGACCCTGTCTTCTGAGAACATTATTTAATGCTTGATCTCCATAGTTACAGTTACTAGAATATAATTTACCTTAGTTAACCAATGACCCTGTCTTCTGAGAACATTATTTAATGCTTGATCTCCATAGTTACAGTTACTAGAATATAATTTACCTTAGTTAACCAATGACCCTGTCTTCTGAGAACATTATTTAATGCTTGATCTCCATAGTTACAGTTACTAGAATATAATTTTCCTTAGTTAACCAATGACCCTGTCTTCTGAGGACATTATTCAATGTTTGATCTCCATAGTTACAGTTACTAGAATATAATTTACCTTAGTTAACCAATGACCCTGTCTTCTGAGGACATTATTAAATGCTTGATCCCCATAGTTACAGTCAGAAAAATCTAAAGGATCCGTCTCTACATCCTGAAATAATAAATAGTCAGCATTAAGGTAGATGGGGTGTCTAAATTATAATCCATAGAACTTTTTAATAATTTGCCAAAATGTAATTTATGTCATGCTTTTTTGAAAAAAATAATAAAAAGAATGGGTCACAGGGCTTATTTTCACGCTACAGGTTGTGCAAAATTGACAGATTTTGTATAGATTATGCATGGAAAACACAATTTTCTGCCATAAAACGAAAACTACACCATAGAATTTTGAGATAAAATATGAGAAGATAGCTCTAATATTATACTTTCAGATAACAAAAAGACAAAATGGGGTCACAGGACCCGTTTTCTTGCTACATAATAAAATAGGTAAATTCCTAACACATTCTATTGTAAAAGTAAATTTATCTGAATTATCTGCCCTTACATTTGAGTTGCCTCCCCTTATGTGGCAAAGTTAGAAAAAATTGAATCAAACAAAAGTATTCTGTTTTTTGTAAAATACAACCATAAATATAATAAAGCATGTCATTTTCTATATTAAAATGAAAATTCTTACACATGAATTACCCACTACTCTCAAAATTTGCACATTTTATTAAAGATCTAGACCGATTATTTTCTGGTATTTCAAAATCCAAGATGGAGGAAGACACCCTATCTACCTTAAAGAAGTCACATAAACTAAATTATGATTTCTAACAATTCTGGTATATAATGTATATTTATCTTGTTTTGAATAAATCTATCTATATAGAGAAAAAAGAGCTAATGGTTTCCGTTTCATATTTAACTAGTTTTGTATTTTTACTGATTAAGGGGAGGTAGTCCAAGAATATTTCAAGTTTGTCTAGATGTGAATAAGGCATGCATTACTTGTTCTTCTTTCATGGCATTAATTTCTTCCATTATTGACTTATTCTTTTTCTACAATGCTTTGTTTAAAATTAGCCATTTTTACATGGATATATGCATAGAAATCAAAGCTTTAATTGTCTAGGAATCTTGTTATTTTGGAACTCACTAGCAAACTTCATTAAAATAAGTGTTATATTATATTATCCAAACTACTTTTAACAACATACTTCATAATGGAGTAAATTATCTACATGTCTCTTGGAGAAATTATTCTGTGGCTGTAATTCATCAACTACTCGATCTGAAATACACAACAACAGTTACCATATTTACATTTCTAATTCATAATTATAGAAATATAACTAATAATGTGTCTGAGATATGATGGAACAGTGGCTAATCAGTAATAGCTAGATGACAGCAGTGTTTTGTACTGGTAAAATAAGAGTACTATATTTTTAACAGTTAAAAACCTTTTGTTGTGAAATTACATTCTTATGCCTATTTAGCAACAATTGATTCTGTATGCTCACATTCATATTTCCACTTGTTATCAAGAAAAAAAAGTCACCATGTTTTTAAGATTTTCTTTGTCTACCTGCATGTCATATACTAATGTAAATGATTGGTTTCAGCACTCTTAGCTATTTCATGGTGACAATTTTTTAATTGTTTGAGGAAACCAGAGTACCTGGAAAGAAGCACCAACCTTCGGCATGGCAAGGTGCATCGACTCATCTTAATTGACAATTATTGCGAGATTTCCAGAGTGGATGCACCTTGACATGAGTGGGATTTGATCTCACAACCTTTATCAATGTAAGAGATGTCATATATAAATGTAAGAGGTTTTTTTTATACCTGACATTCCCTGCTTATTGACTTGTCTGTCGTAGATCTTCTTTTCCATAGTATTATCTGTCACCAGTCTGTATATGTAACTTGGCTTGACCTGTCCAAATCTGTACACACGACATACAGCTTGACAATCGTGACAAGGATTCCAAGAGGCATCCATTACAACAACTCTGTTTGCTCCTATCAAGTTTATACCAAGAGAACCAGCTCTGGGAAATAGAATTATATACTAAAATACTATATACTAAATCCTACAAATGTGTATTACAGTATAATGTGACTGTTGTTTAAAACTAGGCAAATAACTTAGTAAGGGGCATTTACATAACTTGAATATGTTGAACATAAAGTTACACTAGAACTTAATTGTTATTTATTTTGTCATAAATCAGGCTTTGATTTTCTCATTTGAATTGTTTCAGATATTGTAATGTCATGGCCTTTTATAGCTCACCATATGTTATGGGTTTTGCTCATTGTTGAAGATCACCATGTGATGCTTACATCAACGTCTCTGGTAAATAGTTGTCTCTCTGGCAATCATACTACATATCCCTGTTTATATACTCATCATGATTTAGTGGTTTAATACTTTCTCTTATATCAAATCTACAATGATATTTTACTACTGAATTATCTTTACCTTGTTGAAAGTAGAAACAGCCAGACTCTGTTGTTATCAGGGGCATTAAACTGACCAATCAGCTTCTCTCTTTCTTGTGCTAAGGTACTACCATCAAGTCCTGTAAAAATAGTTGATTGGTTTATGAGTTTGTTTTCATTGATTTCAGCACTGTGAGAGTGCTTCCATCTACAAATTGTGAACTGTGAGAACTTGATGATAAATTGATTCCTACACAAATCAATTGTCATTTCAAATAATGTGGATTATTGCATTACGTCTTACCTGTTATTACATGAGGGCATGTCACTTTGAGAGTTAGTGTTGACAAAAGATTGATCTCAATTTATGGTTCAATTATCACAAATAAATTTATTTGATTGGTAGAACAATTATTAAATGTCCTTTGACAGACATAATTTCTTCTGCATTGATATTCTGTGCAAATTTACTCTGGGGATTGCACAAGATCGTGTCTTCCAGCACAGTTCATGTCATTGCTCCATGAAATCTATTTCTAAATACAGTCCCCAAAATAAGAGTGTAGGACAGCATGATTTTATTTCAGTAGGTAAATACTTTAAACTTTACAGACACCATCCTGATTTGGTTGACCGTTATGGAATATCTGTGTGACAGATGACCACAGATATATTCCCACTGTCTTAGCCACAATCCCATCCTTTTTCCTTGATTGTGACATTACTGAATGAAGATTTTTACAGAATTTGCACTTGCCATGAGTATCACGACATTTGCCACATGTAAAACAGGATCTGCCTACCCAACTGAAGCACCTAAGTTTCAGGAGATTGGATGCAACATGCAGACAATAAAGCTCTTTCCAGGTGATCTTTGACCTTGATGTTTAAAAATATTCATATTTTCATTATAAGGTGAACTGCACCTACTTTACTGAACATGGGAAGAAATCATTTTTTTTCAAAACATTATCTGGTGAACCTGACTTATGTTTTTCATCTATGAGCTACTTCTTAAATTGAACTCCTGATTGGGAACCATAGTTAAAGGAACATTGAATATATAACCTCTACTATGCCTACAATATGTTATGGACAAACAACTGATGACTGTATCTGTGAAATTCCTTGTTTTTGCTATGTTACGATATCAATAATACAATTAGGGAATATCATAAAAAGTAGCTAATCCTGCAAGAAGATTTATCTTCTCTTTAAAAATCAACACCAAGAAAAGAAAAGTGTTTGCTAAATCACAGCTAAATAGACTGTCAAATGAAAAAACACAACATTTTAGTCAAAACAGATCACTTAATTACACACATTTATACATACCGGTAAGTTGATTATATAACATGAATACTCACTGAAATAACTCTTGTTTTTAGACCAATACTCGTCCATAATACTCACTGAAATAACTCTTGTTTTTAGACCAATACTCGTCCATGAATACTCACTGAAATAACTCTTGTTTTTAGACCAATACTCGTCCATGAATACTCACTGAAATAACTCTTGTTTTTAGACCAATACTCGTCCATGAATACTCACTGAAATAACTCTTGTTTTTAGACCAATACTAGTCCATGAATACTCACTGAAATAACTCTTGTTTTTAGACCAATACTCGTCCATAATACTCACTGAAATAACTCTTGTTTTTAGACCAATACTCGTCCATAATACTCACTGAAATAACTCTCGTTTTAGACCAATACTTGTCCATAATACTCACTGAAATAACTCTTGTTTTTAGACCAATACTCGTCCATAATACTCACTGAAATAGCTCTTGTTTTTAGACCAATACTCATCCATTTCTGGTCTAGGTACCTTCATTTTTGACAACAGCTCTTCAAGTAAACTTAATGTGTACAAACTTTGACTGTAGAAAAAAAAATATAAACAATAGTTCAAAATGTCCATTTCAACTGAACTATCTACTATCCATACTTGTTATTAGAAAATAGTTTGAATTGTGGAAAAATTCAAGCAGGAGTGACTAGCATGAAAATGGAAAAAAGTATTAAATAAGATCATCAGCTCATAGTTTGCCATCATATAGTTATTTTCCAATGTATATGAATACCTTACATATTTTTTAAGCCAGTTTAATATTTGAACAATTTTTCACTGAATAGCGATTTATTCCTGGAATCAAACTTCTGAATGTTTGCAATTTTTTTGTTTCCTGTTGGAAAATGCAACCATTTTTTTAATCCACTGCACCACTTCAGTAACTGTCTCCTTTGAATCAATAGTACCATAACATAATAGTTTTTGCTTACTGTAAATTCAAAAATTACTGCAAAAATGAAACAAGAGGAACATCCCAATAGTTAAAAGTCCCTTTTTTATGTTCTTAATACATTTTTAATATTCTACTAAGTACTAATCTTTACCTGATGAATACTAACCTAAATATCAACAATTTGTCTCCGACAGCAAGCGTTTCATTGATCAGTTCAAACAACAGCATCATTTTCCCTCCCATCTCTAACTGACCTGGTGTATAATTTTTCAGTAATTTCTCTGCCTATGTAAATAATAAATGAATGCACTATGAAATAATATCTTTTCTGAACTATATATAGCAAATATTTATAAAAAATTTCTTCAAAATACAAATTTCCAATAGATTTGTATATAGTATCTGTTAAAACTATAAAATCAAATATCCAAAAAAAATCAATTTTCCTCAATCCACAAAATCTTGACAAGTAATATAAATGAATCTAAAGTAGGAGTTGTAATTCATATAACATATTATCTTTAATTACAATTTTTAAATTGGATTGAGTCAAACAGACTTCTTAATGTGTTATTACAACAGATAATAAAATGCTCCGCAGGGCGCAGCTTGATACGACCGCAGAGGTCGAACCCTGAACAGTTGGGGCAAGTATGGACACAACATTCAAGCTTGATACAGCTTTGCATTTGGATTGTGATTAAATATTTGACACATCATAGGTTTCTGACACAGAATGAATGTGGTCTAAGAACTTAAAATTTTAAATTGGACATTCACCTATTATGGTCCAATATCCAAAATCTAAATACATGGTTAGATTCAGCATATCAAAGAACCCCAAGAATTCAATTTTTGATGAAATCAAACAAAGTTTAATTTTGGACCCTTTTGACCTCAATGTGGACAAAGTTGATAACAGGGCCCAAAAATCAATAAAATGCTTCGCTGGGCGCAGCTTGATACGACCGCAGAGGTCGAGCCCTGAACAGTTGGGGCAAGTATGGACACAACATTCAAGCTTGATACAGCTCTGAATTTGGATTGTGATTAAATATTTGACACAGCATAGGTTTCTGACACAGAAAGAATGTGGTCTAATAACTTCAATTTTTTTTTTAATTTACCTATTATGGTCCAATATCCAAAATCAAAATACATGGTTAGATTCAGCATATCAAAGTACCCCAAGAATTCAATTTTTGTTAAAATCAAACTAAGTTTAATTTTGGACCCTTTGGACCTTAATGTAGACCAATTTAAAAAACGGGACCCAAAATTAAAAATCTAAAAACACGGTTAGATTTGGCATATCAAAGAACCCCAATAATTCAATTTTTGATGAAATCAAACAAAGTTTAATTTTGGACCCTTTTGACCTCAATATGAACCAATTTGATAGCGGGCCCACAAATAAAAAATCTATATACATGGTAAGATTCAGCATATCAAAGAACCCCATATATTCAATTTTTGTTGAAATCAAACAAAGTTTAATTTTGGACCAACTTGAAAACTGGGCCACAAATAAAAAATCTAAATACATGGTAAGATTCAGCATATCAAAGAACCCCATATATTCAATTTTTGCTGAAATCAAACAAAGTTTAATTTTGGACCCCAGTTTGGACCAACTTGAAAACTGGGCCAAAAATCTAAATACATGTTTAGATTCAGCATATCAAAGAACCCCATATATTCAATTTTTGTTGAAATCAAACAAAGTTTTATTTTGGACCCCAACTTGGACCAACTTGAAAACTGGGCCCATAATCAAAAATCTAAACACATGTTTAGATTCAGCATATCAAAGAACCCCAAGAATTCAATTTTTGTTAAAATCAAACAAAGTTTTATTTTGGACCCAACTTGGACCAACTTGAAAACCGGGCCCATAATCAAAAATCTAAACACATGTTTAGATTCAGCATATCAAAGAACCCCAAGAATTCAATTTTTGTTAAAATCAAACAAAGTTTAATTTTGGACCCTTTGGACCTTAATGTAGACCAATTTGAAAACTGGATCCAAAATTAAAAATCTAAATACACGGTTAGATTCGGCATAACAAATAAATAAATGTGGTCAAAGATTTTACAAATCTAATGCGCCATACTGTTCAATTAAAGATTACTTCTTGAAATTTTTCAATATTTGAAATTTGAAAAAAAAATAATATTTGAAGGATAATTCTTTTTAATTTCTGAAATCTGAAATGAGAAAAAATTGACCCCCCACAATTTCTTTTTACCCCCCCCCCCCCCTTTTTTTCCCCAAACCATAATTACCCATTTAAATTTACCATAATGCTAACTTAATCTATTTTATAATAGAATTTAAAATATAGTGTCAAATCTTTCATATGGATTTTTTTGTAAAAAAAAAAGATGCAACATTTGCAGATATTTTTACTGGTCTTCCTTTATAAATATGCATTTCTTTAAACATAATTTAAAAGCAGTGTAAGGGAAGTAACCAAAACATTGTATTTGGATTACCTTTCTTACACTGTTTTAAATTATCTTAATTGTTCATTAACCATTACTTTATACATAATTTAAAAGCAGTGTAAGGGAGATAATTTCAATGATGTATTTGATTTATCTCCCTTACACTGCTTTAAATTATGTTTTGTACTAAAGTATTTGTCCATTAACCAGGACAACCTTGTTTTTCCCCCTTTTTTGCCCCTAATTCTTAAACGGTTTGAGCCATAACCCCCCAAAGCAAATCCTAACCATCCCTTTGTGGTATGGAAACTTGTAGTATAATTTCAGAGAGATCCATACACCGTTCCACAGTTATTGTCTGGAAACTAGAAAAGCTTATTTTTGGCCCCTTTTTGGCCCCTAATTCCTTAACTGTTGGTACCATAACCCCCAAAATCAATCCCCACCTTCCTTTTGTTGTATTGAACCTTATGGTGAAATTTCATAGAGATCCATTCACTTAAACTAAAGTTAGAGTGCGAAAACTAATGTGTATTCGGACGACGACGCCGGACGACGACGACGACACCAACGTCATACCAATATACGACCACAAAAATTTTTTTGCGGTCGTATAAAAATCTAAATACATGGTTAGATTCAGCATATCAAAGAACCCCGTATGTTCAATTTTTGTTGAAATCAAACAAAGTTTAATTTTGGACCCCGATTTGGACCAACTTGAAAACTGGGCCCATAATCAAAAATCTAAATACATGTTTAGATTCAGCATATCAAAGAACCCTAAGAATTCAATTTTTGTTAAAATCAAACTAAGTTTAATTTTGGACCCTTTGGACCTTAATGTAGACCAATTTGAAAACAGAACCAAAAATTAAGAATCTAAATACACGGTTAGATTGGCATATCAAAGAACCCCAATAATTCAATTTTTGATGAAATCAAACAAAGTTTAATTTTGGACCCTTTGGACCTCAATGTGGACCAATTTTAAAACGGGGCCCAAAATACAAAAACTAAATACACGGTTAGATTCAGCATATTAAAGAACCCCAAGAATTCAAGAATAAAACCCCATTGAAATTGGTCAAGAAATAAGCAATTTATACGAAGTATCTTCTTTTGCACAATACTGTGCAATTAAATATTTCTTGCTATTGCGCAATACTGTACAATTGACAATTTCTTGCTATTGCGCAATATTGTGCTATTGGATATTTCTTGCTATTGTGCAATACTGTGCAATTGAAGATTTCTTGCTATTGCGCAATACTGTGCAATTGAAGATTTCTTGCTATTGTGCAATACTGTGCAATTGAAAATTTCTTGCTATTGCACAATACTTATTATATAATAATTTACACATCCTGTTTGGTGTGTATCTCCTATCATATCATTATTATTTGCTTTTAAATATAAATCAGAAATAACCAACTTAAAATGGAAAATTTTAAAAGAAAAAAAAAAGGAAAAAAAAAAAAATCCCCCCCCCCCAAATTTTTTGAACCCCCTTATGATTCATCACCCCCAAACTCAATCCCAGCCTTCCCTTTGTGGTATGGTACCTTGCAGTACAATTTCAGAGAGATCCATACACTTGAACACAAGTTATTGTCTGGAAACTAGAAAAATGTGTTTTTTGGCCCCTTTTTGGCCCCCAATTCCTAAACGTTTAGGGCAATTACCCCCAAACTCAAACCCAGCTTTCCCTTTGTGATATGGAACCTTGTAGTACAATTTCAGAAAGATCCATACACTTACACACAAGTTATTGTCCTGAAACAAGAAAAATGCTTGTTTTTTGCCCCTTTTTGGCCCCTAATTCCTAAAATATAAAGGCAATTACCCCCATCATCAATCCCAGCCTTCCCTTTGTGGTATGGTACCTTGCAGTACAATTTCAGAGAGATCCATACACTTGAACACAAGTTATTGTCTGGAAACTAGAAAAATGTGTTTTTTTGGCCCCTTTTTGGCCAATTCCTAAACGTTTCGGCAATTACCCCCAAACTCAATTCCAGCTTTCCCTTTGTGATATGGAACCTTGTAGTACAATTTCAGAAAGATCCATACACTTACACACAAGTTATTGTCATGAAACTAGAAAAATGCTTGTTTTTTGCCCCTTTTTTGGCCCCTAATTCCTAAAATTTTGAGGCAACTACCCCCAAAATCAATACCAGCATTCCTTTTGTGATATGGAACCTTGTGGTACAATGTCAGAGAGATCCATACACTTACACACAAGTTATGTCTGGAAGTTACAAAAATGCTTATTTTTGGCCCCTTTTTCCTTTAATGTTGGTACCATAACCCCCAAAATCAATCCCAACCTTCCTTTTGTGGTATTGAACCTTGTGGTAAAATTTCATAGAGATCCATTCACTTAAACTAAAGTTAGAGTGCGAAAACCAATGTGTCTTCGGACGACGACGACAACGCCAACGTCATACCAATAAACGACCACAAAATTTTTTTTGCGGTCGTATAAAAAAGATATGATCATTCAGTTTTACCATTGTACAGCAATCCTTGTTTGTCTTAACTGTAATATATACCCCGGTATATATATGTCAGAATAAAAAAAAAGAATGTGTCCATAGTACATTGATGCCCCACTTGCACTATCATTTTCTATGTTCAGTGGACCGTGAAATTGGGGTCAAAACTCTAATTTGGCATTACAATTAGAAAGATCATATCATAGGGAACATGTGTACTAAGTTTCAAGTTGATTGGACTTCAACTTCATCATAAACTACCTTGATCAAAAACTTTAACCTGAAGTGGGACAGACGGACGGACGAACGGACACACAGACCATAACATAATGCCCCTACTACTATCGTAGGTGGGGCATAAAAAGAAATTTGGGGTATACTTCATTGAAACAGCAACCAAATGAATATTCAGAGCAAGCTGGGAAGTTATCTTTCATAGCGCAAAATCCAAAACAGAAAATATTTAGCATGTATTCTTTCAATTAAACAAGATAAAAAACTTTAAGAAATGTACAATGTTTACTTTGTATACAAATTTTGGTAGATTGCATAACAATATGTAAATCATAGAAATGACAAATCCAAAAATTTACATTACCATCAACATTTTTTTCTCTAAAATCACTTAGTTTTTTAAATAAAAAAGTATGTACCCATTCATAAGTAATAGCTTGGTCACTTTTCTTGTCCATGAACGGTGAGATACCAGCTGGACTACCTGTTGCACCTTGTTTCTTCTTTTTCTTGACACCAGATGAATCAGTTTCAATGTCAAGGTCATTATCCTCTAAATCAATCTTTTTCTGTCTTACTATTTTGTACAAGATATCTGGATGGTTCCAAATCTAGTATATAAACATTAAACATAAAGTTTGACATTAATCTTGGGTAATAATATCTCATACAAAAGTATCTTAGGGTAATGATATTACATAAAAATGTATCAGCACAAACATTCCATTGAATTTAAGAATTCTTTTCATTAGTTTTCCCCCAATATTTTGTGAACAAGTTTAATTCTGTATCAGACATCTATTGTTTTTATAACGTCATTGATTACACAAAATAATTTAGCCCCAATATAGCCTTTTTGTTAAAGCTGTGTAAAGCAAACATCAATCAATCAATAAAAATATTTATCAAAGACTCAAATGGCAGGGTTGAACATAATGTTACTGAAACGACAGAGAATGCTCTATACAGCACATCTAAATATTTAAAAAATTAATAAGTTTCCAAATCTAAAAAAATAAGTAAAAATTTCTCAAACAATTCCATAATAGCAGGTGCACGTGAACATTTGTACAATCTTCCTGTGAAGTTCCAGGGATCTGGTACAAAACTGTAGGAGTTGATTACACAAGTTATGTACCCTTATATTTTATACTCCCCTTTTTCCTTACCTTACAACAGACAGAGAAAGCTTTGATAGGATTGGTTGTTGCCCAAGTATTAAGACTTGTCTCTGCTAAGTTGTCCATGAATTCTTTGTAAAGCATCTTTTGTATTTGAGACATAGTTATCAAGATGATGAATTCTTGTTTTGGAGGTAGAGCTGCTTGTAAAACTGTATGTCCTCTCCTGTAATTAAACACAAGATATTTTATTTTAGAATTGATAACCCCTTTCTAAACAGTTCTCTCCTGAAAATCCTTTAGGGTCTACCATTAGAAAAGGTCTTGAAAAGGAAACGTGGTAAATTTATTTTGTAATTCTAATGCAAATCATTAAAGGATGACTGTCTTGCTCACCATCCTTATGTTCACATTGTTCTATTTTCTTCTCAAACATTATAAAGAAGGCAATTTCTCACCTTTGTACAAAACCCTCTAACAGACTATGTAACACATGGGCCCTGTATCTCATCAGCTTGGTGTCTGCTTCAGTACTATCAGCACACTGTCCATTCATAATAGGTCTTTCAAACATATTACAGAATTCTGTTTTGTTGCCGAGGTAATTAGGTCGTACAAAGTCCACCATACACCAGTATTCTATCAGATTGTTTTGTAATGGATAGCCTGTTAGTACAACTCTTCTCCTGTAATAGTATTCATATAACTGAGGTCAGTATTCATACGACTGAGGTCAAATACATGTTATAGATACAATGTATGTTGAAATGGCTTTAACAACTAAGTAGTCTAATTGCTTTACCAAATCAGTAGTCTAATTGTTTTACACTTGTCATTTTTGGGCCCTTTATAGCTTGCTGTTAGGTGTGAGCCAAGGCTCCGTGTTGAAGACCGTACTTTGACCTATAATTGTTTACTTTATACACATTGTGACTTGGATGGAGAGTTGTCTCATTGGCACCTCATACCACAACTTCTTATTTCTCTTGAAAGGACTAATGAAAATATTGGAACACTTTATGGAAATTAATATCACCTCAATTAGAGTTTTTTTTTATGCTGGGGCATAAAAAACCAACAATCAATCAATAGAAACAATCATTCATTAAATTAATCAATAGTTTTCATCTTGGTTTATTTGATCAAGGCATTTAAGTTTTGATTAACATAAGTGTGCCTGATAAAATATAATATTCAATTATGTTCATTTTGTTGTTATCATTTCTTCACAATATAATATTTCATGTAAAACTGATGAAATATGATGGGTGCCACTCGTGAAGCAGGAATTGTTTTTCCTTCCAGAGTTTATAAAGCCACTTTAAATTATCAGTTGGTTCCTGTTGCTAAATGTTTAGTTTTCTGAGAACTCTTTTATGAACTGTTTCTCTTTCTTAAGAAACTTTGAGTTCTGGTCATTCTTTGACTTTTGGTTTCAATTGGCCCTTGGTATCTTTTCTTCTATTTTTTACTGTTTCATTAATTCACATTATATTGATAAAGAATAATAATCTTTGCATATGGTGATATTTTAATGGCATGATTTTTTTAGTTTACCGTGTTCAAATGGTTGAAAGCAAATGAGATATTCCAGCCTGATTTTTGCACATGGTGATATTTTAAAAGCATCATTTTTTTTAAACCATGTTCTAATTGTTGAAAGCGACTAAGATATTCCAGCCTGATTTTTGTATATGGTGATATTTTCAACATAACTTTTTTTAGTTTACCTTGTTTTATTTGTTTTAAGAAACTGTGATATTCAAGCATGATCTTTGTATATACGGTGATATTTTAAAGCAGGATTTTTTTTCTTTTTACCTTGTTCTAATTGTTTTAAGAGACTGAGATATTCCAGCATGACTGTTTTTGATCCTATGTCCTTCGTCACATACAACCATGTCAGGTCCTGGATTCTGTAAAGCTTCATGAACATCTATGAACAGAAATACAATTCAGTTAACAAGTACTGAGCAACAAAAACAATATTAATAAAACAGACTTAATTTTGCAACAAAAATAAATAGAGCAGAGCTCACAACTGCACACCCTTTAATGCCTTTAATCAATAAGAGATTAAAAAGGGGACAAATTAAAATTTCCTGCTCACTTAATATTTTTTTGGAAAAAAATTACTGTTCCACTGAGATGCAGTCTGACAGAAGTTTCCAGTGTTCTAGCTACAAAGTTTGAACAGGGTGCAGTGCCTGCCCTTTTTTATTGATGCCTGTGTCTTTTTTCTGCCGTTTCTCGGGTGCCCTGCCGTTTTTTTATCGCGAAATTTGCTTTTTCTCGGATGAGTTTTGTCAAAATGTTCGCTGCCATTTTTCTTCCTTGTTGACAATGCATAACGCGCCACCTATAAATTATTAGCATAAAAAGTGTTTTTACCTTGACTATCAATCCGTTTCGTGATTAGAATTAAACTGAGAACTTAATTAAGTACAAATAAATTTTAAATCATTATTTTCACAATGCCGACTCGAGATAGACGCTAAGATTGACTGAGCTCTATCCAAAAATTTTGAAACTTATGAGTGTGGCAGCAGTTTTGCCACTGAGCACAGCTGAGGTTGAGAGAGTGTTTTCTCAAGTAAAGCTGATCATATGTGATCATAGAAATGAAGCAATCAACACTTGAGAACTTGCTACATATCAAAATTAACTGTCATAATGACATGTTCTGTTCAATTTTAGACAATGTTGTAACAAAGTTTTTTAAAGTCAAACAGAGAAGACTGTGCCAAAAGTATTGAATTTTATTACTCCATTTTAACTGAAACTTGATTTTACCATAGTGCCTGAGTTATATAGAGTATTTTGTTTGTAATGTTATGTACATATGTATTTTATGATATATGCTAATAAATTATGAGGCTTAAATAATTGCCCTTTTTTCAATGACATTTACGCGTAAAATTGCCCTTTTTCTTACTAGCACCCTGCCTTTTTCAAATCCTGGCTAGAACACTGGTTTCAGAAGAATTACAGAAACAAAAATGCCAACCCCTTTTGCAGATTTTGTGCTGCGGGGGAAAGCCCCAAAACGTTTTAGATAAAAAACTAGAGGCTCAAAAGAGCCTGTGTCGCTCACCTTGGTCTATGTGCATATTAAACAAAGGACACAGATGGATTCATGACAAAATTGTGTTTTGGTGATGGTGATGTGTTTGTAGATCTTACTTTACTGAACATTTTTGCTGCTTACAATTATCTCTATCTATAATGAACTTGGCCCAGTAGTTACAGTGGAAAATATTTTGTAAAAATTTACAAAAATTTACAAAATTTATGAAAATTGTAAAAAATTGACTATAAAGGGCAATAACTCCTTAAGGGGTCAATTGATAATTTTGGTCATGTTGACTTATTTGTAGATCTTACTTTGCTGTACATTATTGCTGTTTACAGTTTATCTCTATCTATAATAATATTCAAGATAATAACCAAAAGCTGCAAAATTTTCTTAAAATTACCAATTCAGGGGCAGCAACCCAACAACGTGTTGCCTGATTGGTCTGAAAATTTCAGGGCAGATAGATCTTGACCTAATGAACAATTTTATCCCGTCAGATTTGCTCTAAAGTCTTTGGTTTCAGAGATATGAGCCAAAAACTGCCTTTTTCCCTATGTACTATTTTTTAGCCATGTCGGCCATCTTGTTTCGTGGGCGGGATCATCGGACACATTTTTTAAACTAGATACCCTAATGATGATTGTGGACAAGTTTGGTTAAATTTGTCTTAGTAGTTTCAGAGGAGAAGATTTTTGTAAAAGATTACAAAAATTTACGAAAAATGGTTAAAAATTGACTATAAAGGGCAATAACTCCTTAAAGGGTCAACTGACCATTTTGGTCATGTTGACTTATTTGTAGATCTTACTTTGCTGAACATTATTGCTGTTTACAGTTTACCTCTATCTATAATAATATTCAAGATAATAACCAAAAACGCAAAATTCCCTTAAAATTACCAATTCAGGGGCAGCAACCCAACAACGGGTTGTCAGATTCATCTGAAAAATTCAGGGCAGATAGATCTTGACCTGATAAACAATTATACCCCATGTCAGATTTGCTCTAAATGCTTTGGTTTCAGAGATATAAGCCAAAATCTACATTTTACCCCTATGTTCTATTTTTAGCCATAGCGGCCATCTTGGTTGGTTGGCCAGGTCACCGGACACATTTTTCAAACTAGATACCCCAATGATGATTGTGGCCAAGTTTGGTTTAATTTGGCCATGTAGTTTCAGAGAAGATTTTTGTAAAAGTTAACGACGACGGACGACGGCGACGGACGACAAACGCCAAGTGATGAGAAAAGCTCACTTGCCCCTTTGGGCCAGGTGAGCTAATTAAACATGCAACGAAAAATGTCATTATGATGGATTTTGCAAAATTATTCATAAAAATTTCATTGTCACCAATTTTTTTTTTAATCAATGTCTGTTTTGTAACACATGATCTTTTGTAAATTCTGTCATACTTAGAAATATAATAACGGGGCTTACCAACAAACAAATCTTTAGTTTTATCTTCTTCATCAACATCAATAATTGTCTCCCTTCCGGCTGCCTTCCTTCCTGGTTTCTTTGGCTGTGCTATATGACCTTTACGACTTGTCATCAGTCGATACATCTCATAACCCATCAACAACACTCCTCCTGTTTTGTGCCATTCAACTAGAAAAATAAAACTTTAGAAATTACACTAAAATACAGATTTTACCATACACCAATGTTCTTATCTATTTTACTGAATATCTATCAAGTACAGCATCTCCCTTTAGTGACAAAATTGTATTTCAATTACTCTCAATACTTTCATGACATTAGCTATATTGATCAACTATAACATGACCAAACTGATGTATTTCAATTACTCTCAAGCTTCTCTTTTACATGTACTTTCATTACATCAGCTCTATTTTAGAACTCTCACAAGGTCTAACTGAATGAATTTTCATATCTATGTGTTTATTTGTTTTTTATCTTTTAAACTTTGATAGCTATCCAGTGTTTAAAATCATGAAGTTCACAATATTTGCCCATCACTTGTAAAGAAAAAATCTTTATTAAGTCTTGTCTTTTATCACTAAGGCTTTTCAATAATATACATATTTTTTTCATGAGGATTGTGATGAATGCACAAAAATCTGAGGAATTAAAGACACATAATAAAACTTGGTGAAATTAGGAAATTTATAATTACCTATGACCTTAGCCCTGGAATATGGTGTCTTGTAGTTATCATTGAGAATATAAACTTTGAAGTTTCTTAACTGCACATCTGGATATCCCTCTGGTACAGATTCCGGACACCACATGTTGATTTCAGCCATCCAATTTTGTAAAGTGTTTATTGGTACAATAAGTAATACAGATTTGGCTGCTGTATGTCGCAGTAAAACATCAATGAGAGCTATCATCTGAATGGTTTTACCAAGACCCATACTGTGTGCCAGGATACAACCAAAACCGGGACTACTTTTAAATCTGGACAGAGATTCAATCAGATTGTCATACAGAAATCTAACACCACCAATCTGAAATAAAGGACTCAGGATTATAAAAAAATAAAATAAGAAAACAAAATGGTTAACACAGATATATGACATGTATGTGTTGCCTGTATAAACTTATCACAAACTTTAACAATTGTTTAAACTGCATATGCCAGAAACAGCACAGCTTAGTCTCACTTTTGAAACATTGAAAGAAAAAAGAAAGCTATGTGTGAACAAAAAATATATAACTTATCTTTATGCATATATTGAAATACAAATTTCCCATGAAATCTAGTTAAAAGTGAGGGAAATTATGAGAAATATTGCAGCTGCCTTGACAGTTGGAAATGCAAAAGAATTTAGTATAGTACACCAAATTGCTTTCTGACATTGTTTAAACAAGGAAAGATGATTCTGAAATTTTTTTTGTATATATCATAAATTGATTTCCTTCTCATTTAATATGGGAACAATTCAACATTTCTATTACCTGATGCCTTTTAATGTATTTTGCAATTTGTGGAACAAGAAAAATATCTTGTTCATCTGGTGGGTGACCAATATTGACCAATACTCTGCCTTGTTCATCTGGATGGTTCAATGAATCGTCAATATGACTACCGCTATTGTTCGGGTCTTCTGACTCGACAGAGTTGTCTTCCATGTCATTGGTAATCATTATATCATCTTCATCACTACTTATGTCTATCACATCACCTAAACATAAAACATAAACAATCACATCACCTAAACATAAAACATAAACAATCACATCACCTTAACATAAAACATAAACAATCACATCACCTAAACATAAAACATAAACTATCACATCACCTATTCATAAAACATAAACTATCACATCACCTATTCATAAAACATAAACTATCACATCACCTATTCATAAAACATAAACTATCACATCACCTATTCATAAAACATAAACTATCACATCACATAAACTATCTCATCCCCTAATTATAAATCATAAACTATCACATCAGACTAGGGAAAAATGATTGTTCGTTTCCCCTAACCTGACCGGGTCTACTTTAAACTGCCGGGTTGTTTTTTTTTTCTTTTCGACTGAACAAAAAAGAAAACAGCCATGTCTAGTTTCGATCCCGCATTGTTGACAAATACTTTTTCATATACGTTTCAGTTTTTTGTTTAGAAGCATAACAATGTCAAGGTAATTTTTTGCCGCCTTGATTACAAGATCACAGAAGCGCTTAACTTATCGGAAAGATAACAATGATTTAAAGCATTTCGCTCCCCTGTCATGCCTGTTGTCCAAAATGGCCAACTTGGCACCAAGCTCCAGTATTCTATCAAGATTGATTGCGTGGACACCAGTTCTTTATGTCATTAAAGTCACCTAATAAAATTGAGAATGGAAATGGGGAATATGTCAAAGAGGCAACAACCCGACCAAAGAGCAGACAACAGCGGAAGGCCACCAATGGGTCTTCAACGCAGCGAGAAAATCCCGCACCCGGAGGTGGTCCTCAGCTGGCCCTTAAATAAAATTGTGTACTAGTTCAGGGAAAATTGACGTCACACTAAACTCCAAAACATATAAATGAACTAAAATTAAAATAAAATGCTCCGCAGGGCGCAGCTTGATACGACCGCAGAGGTCGAACCCTGAACAGTTGGGGCAAGTATGGACACAACATTCAAGCTTGATACAGCTCTGAATTTGGATTGTGATTAAATATTTGACACAGCATAGGTTTCTGACACAGAATGAATGTGGTCTAAGAACTTAAAAATTTTAAATTGGACATTCACCTATTATGGTCCAATATCCAAAATCTAAATACATGGTTAGATTCAGCATATCAAAGAACCCCATATATTCAGTTTTTGTTGAAATCAAACAAAGTTTAATTTTGGACCCCGATTTGGACCAACTTGAAAACTGGGCCCATAATCAAAAATCTAAATACATGTTTAGATTCAGCATATCAAAGAACCCTAAAAATTCAATTTTTGTTAAAATCAAACTAAGTTTAATTTTGGACCCTTTGGACCTTAATGTAGACCAATTTGAAAACGGAAACAAAAATTAAGAATCTAAATACACGGTTAGATTCAGCATATCAAAGAACCCCAATAATTCAATTTTTGATGAAATCAAACAAAGTTAAATTTTGGACCCTTTGGACCTCAATGTGGACCAATTTAAAAACGGGGCCCAAAATCCAAAAACTTAATACACGGTTAGATTCAGCATATTAAAGAACCCCAAGAATTCAAGAATAAAACCCCATTGAAATTGATCAAGAAATAAGCAATTTATACGAAGTATCTTCTTTTGCACAATACTGTGCAATTGAATATTTCTTGCTATTGCGCAATACTGTACAATTGACAATTTCTTGCTATTGCGCAATATTGTGCTATTGGATATTTCTTGCTATTGCGCAATACTGAGCAATTGAAGATTTCTTGCTATTGCGCAATACTGTGCAATTGAAGATTTCTTGCTATTGTGCAATACTGTGCAATTGAAAATTTCTTGCTATTGCACAATACTTATTAGATAATAATTTACACATCCTGTTTGGTGTGTATCTCCTACCATATCATTATTATTTGCTTTTAAATATTAATCAGAAATAACCAACTTAAAATGGAAAATTTTAAAAGAAAAAAAAAAGGAAAAAAAGAAAAAAAAAGAAAAAAAAAAAATCCCCCCCAAATTTTTTGAACCCCCTTATGATTCATCACCCCCAAACTCAATCCCAGCCTTCCCTTTGTGGTATGGTACCTTGCAGTACAATTTCAGAGAGATCCATACACTTGAACACAAGTTATTGTCTGGAAACTAGAAAAATGCTTATTTTTGGCCCCCAATTCCTAAACGTTTCGGGCAATTACCCCCAAACTCAATTCCAGCTTTCCCTTTGTGATATGGAACCTTGTAGTACAATTTCAGAAATATCCAAACACTTACACACAAGTTATTGTCATGAAACTAGAAAAATGCTTGTTTTTTGCCCCTTTTTTGGCCCCTAATTCCTAAAATTTTGAGGCAATTACCCCCAAAATCAATTACAGCCTTTCCTTTGTGATATGGAACCTTGTGGTACAATGTCAGAGAGATCCATACACTTATACACAAGTTATTGTCTGGAAGTTACAAAAATGCTTATTTTTGGCCCCTTTTTGGCCCCTAATTCCTTAACTGTTGGTACCATAACCCCCAAAATCAATCCCAACCTTTCGTTCGTGGTATTGAACCTTATGGTAAAATTTCATGGAGATCCATTCACTTAAACTAAAGTTAGAGTGCGAAAACCAATGTGTCTTCGGACGACGCCGGACGACGACGACGACGATGCCGGACGACGATGACGACGACACCAACGTCATACCAATATACGACCAAAAAATTTTTAATTTTTGCGGTCGTATAAAAAAAATACAAGACTAACAAAGGCCAGAGGCTCCTGACTTGGGACAGGCGCAAAAATGCGGCAGGGTTAAACATGTTAAAACCTAAGTTTAATACCAGTTGTCAAGTAAATAAATATTTTGTTTTAAACGCAGTCTATAGCAACACTATTTGATACAAAAAACAAAAAAAAACTCCTGCCGTCCGGGCCTTGAAAAGTTTCCAATGTTAAGGGAAACCAACAATCATTTTTCCCTGGCCTCACACAAACTATCACATCCCCTTAACATAAATCATAACTATCATATCACATAAACTTTCAGCGACCTGTTCACATACTTGTTCTTTGGTCTTTAGTGGACAGTTGTCTATTTTGGCAGTCATACCATGTCTCCTTATTTTTATGATTTTTGAGGATAGAGGGAAGGGGCAAGGAAATATAAATCGGTATTCTTACCATCTTTTTTCTTATTTTTTCCTTCATCACTACTGTCTAGGAGTATCACATCATTACTCTTTTCTTCTTCATCATCTGAAATTACAACTCTTATATATAAGTATTTCAGTTTTCTGAAGTAAACAAATTAAACTTTTCTATTGCAGTTGTTAAAAGTTGTAATACTATTTATCAAAAGAGAAAGAATCAAAGTGCCTGATAGCGCTAATGGAAAGATTATTTAATCATGTTAATTGTATCAAATGTGAATACCAAATGGGATGAAGACAAGTCCTCTAAATTTATATACAAAACACATAAGTATGGTAAATTGAAATAAATGTAATTAAGTTATAAAGATTATATAAAGGATTCCCTGAAGTTTTGGGGTAGTGACCAACCAAGTGACAAAATGTTTGGTTAAATATTAGAATTATTGTGTAGAGGTTGTTTCAGATACATTTGTAGAAAAGATTTAATCCATGTTCTTACTTCTGCAATATGACCATCCCCAACCCCATAAACAATCTTTTGGTTTAAACACTTAAACACAATTAGATAATTTCAAAATGAGGTGGTTTTTTTTATCAAAAACATTTCTCTGTTAGTATAAATTTAATTTCACATTTTTGCTACAGAAAACCCCCAAAAAACAGCTCTGATGCCAAAAACTAAATGTTTTACTAACTTTTTATTGGTATTGCATTAGGCGACTGAACTCTGCAAAAAAGCCCTGCAACTGAATGTCTCTGTTTAAAAGAAACCCCTACAAATGTATGTCAGAAGAAAAAACATTTTATTTTTTTTAATTGATCTATATCCCACATGAGTGATTTAAAGTGGTTTAGTTAAAATGAAATTTATATCAGCAGTTAGAAGTTGCCTGTTGCTTAAAATGAAATTTATTTCTGCTGTTTAAGTTGCCTAATGGTTAAAAGAAAGTCAGCTGCCTTTTTTGCTGGTTTATAATATGTTGTCTGCTCTATGGTCAGGTTATTGTCTCTTTGACACATTCCCCATTTCCATTCTCAATTTTAATTCAAATTTAATTTTTTTCAAAATACTAAGAAAACAGATTGATGATTGATTGATGGTGTTTAGCACCACTTTCAGCACTATAGGCTTTATTGTGGCGACCAGTGGTGGTAGAAGCCAGAGTTTCTGGAAAGAACCACTGAACTTCGGCAGGAAAACTGACAATCCTAGTCAATTGGAAGGAAACTAACCTGCCATGCGTTGGGTTAGAACTCACAACCTGAGTGTTGACAGGCTAGTAATACAGTAAATAATCTACCTAGACAACTAGGCCACCGATGCACCATTGCTGTCTCTGTTATGTTATAACACTTTAACATTTATTCAAAACTTACATAAATATATCATAAATAAAGTGAACAACACATACAGGTTTTATAGGAATAAAGGTGTCAATCAAATAATGCAACACTTACTAGCACAAGGGTTTAAAGCAAGACAGGTGTTCAGTTTTTGACCTTTAATTCATAAATGGTGAAAATTTCGTTTTTAAAATTTAAATGTCAAAAACTTTCATACTCTGAATATAATGTGTAACATCTGATCTTTCACTAACAATGTCAACCTTAAATTTGTTCATCTATCATGTCTAGAATCTTTCACTAACAATGTCGACCTTAAATTTGTTCATCTAGCATTTCTAGAATCTGTCACATTAGAAAATAAGTTAAAACCCCTGTTGTACTTCTTAATACAAAGTTGACAATAGGAATGTAATAAACGTTATCTATTTCATGTACAAAATGTACCAAAAATTTAGTTTTGGTCTAGATGTCTATTTACAGTGACCAGAGGAGCAATTAATAATTCTGACTTTATAAAAATATGAATCTGCATTTGCTGGACTGTTTCAAAGCTAAAAATAGTACTTGGTTACTATGAAAATATTTGGACAGTTTTTTTTTTGAGGTATCAACTCTAAAGACATGAAAGAATCACCATTTATATATTTTTTTATTTATCAGTGTGATTCAAAGTTTTCTCAGTTCAACAGATAATTTTTTTTAAATGATCTAAATTGCAAAAGCCAACCTTCTAAAAGTGATTTTAGTTGGGAATCCTTTTCCTTTTCTTTTTCCATAAGTTGTTTCTTCAGCTCCTGAAGTCTTTTCTTTCTTTCTAATTCTTCAGTCTGTGCTTCAATGGTAGTTGACTCAAGAGCTGTGTTATCAATTAATTCTCTAAAATTATAGAAAGTAGAATCATGGGCTTATGGTGTTGCTGAACTATACCAGTATAACATATTAATTCTATAAGTTGTTGCTAGTGTACATGTTACACTTTCTGTTATTTGTCTTTCGATGTACAATGTACCATGTATACTGTTTTCATCTTTTTTCAGTTTCACTTAAAATATTACTACCAGTAGAATGAAGGACCAAAAGCGGTCAGACTAAGAATTAATCATCACCAGGTGTTGTTAATTATGTGTTTTTGGTATTACCTTCTTTTTATTACTCTCAGTATAATTTACTAAATATCATGAATATATCATTTATGGCTTAATTTAACAAACATTTTAAATATTGATGTAATGCTTTGTATAAATGAAGCATTGTTGTGGTATTAATGGTTTTTACATCCTCTTCCTTTAGTCTCTAGTAGATAGTTGTCTCATTGGCGATCATACCACATATCTTTATTTTCATATTTTGAATTCTGTATATATCACTACTGATCATGACTGTGTAATTAATAATAGAATATATATAAGGACATAGAAATAAGGAATATGAAAGAAAATAAACCATCTGATATTAAAACTGTTAAAGAATTTATGCTGACATCCTGCAAATAATTAAATACCTGATATTTTTTCTCATATTAGTTGTTTTAACTTTTCTCTTTTTCTTTTCTTTTTTCTTATCATCAGCATTCTTTTTCCTTTTTCGAGTCTTCTTTGGTTTTGTTTCTACTTCACCTTCCTGTTGTAGAGGAGCACCTCCAAAGTCAACACTGCCTGTTACATTTTTTGCTACCTCATCTATAACACGGTTAACATTGTCCATAATTTTTTCTTTTTCTGTTTTTTCAGGTTCAAAAACTTTTTCAATGACATTCTCCATTACAATTTCATCACTCTTCTCATCTGATTCTTCTTCATCTTCACTTCCTTCCTCTTCATTGTCATCATCTATTTCATCTTCATCCTCATCATCTATTGCTTCATTGTCATCATTCGAATCAACTTCTTCATTGCCATCTTCATCATCATCATCAAAGTCTAGATCATGATCATTTTCTCCATCCAAGACCATATTAATGTCTGCATTGTTTTGAATGTTTTGAAAACTACTTCCAGTGAAATTCAAAGAATTATTTCCGGTAAATTGACTATTGTTTATTTGATTTACAAAATTGTTTGAATCTTCTTCTAGAAAATGACTTATACTATTGTCCTGATAAATAGGATTTGGTTGAAAAGACTCCATATTTTGACCATTCTGTACATCACTTGATATACTCCCTGATAAATATGCTTCTAGAGACATTTTCAATGCTTAGAAAACGGTTAATTTTCCTGGTTTCAGCCCTGAAAATGACAGAAAGAAAACTTTCAGTTGAAATTAAATATAAACAAACATGTTAACATTTGAAAAGTATAAGAATTTATACATTTAACACTAACAGAAACACAAAACTACACCATGTAAAGAGAAGTACAGCAAAACCTTTAAAATAAATATTGCTAAAAAGGTCTGTCAGGAAACCATTAACAATCAGTTGTTTTGGCCAAATTATATATTAGCCAGTCAGACTCCTGTTTCGAAATTATTTTAAGCTAAAAATTTTACTTGCCTCAGACATGGGACCACTAGCTAATTATTTCATAGACTGAAAGTTGAGTTTATATGTAAGCATTTGGAATTAACCAATAAATTTTATTTTCTATTAGAAACATTATTTCCCAAACTGATTTGGTGACTGGTCCAATCTTTCTTTTTGACTGTGTAGTGGCACTATGTAAAAGTCAACTTACAAATGTAGTCGTAAATCAAGTTGTTACTTTTCTCAATTAAATTGCTTCATGTTTTCATGTTGGAGCCTTCTATAGCCAACTATGCGGCATGGGTTTTTCTCATTGTTGAAGGTTGAACGTTGCCTATAATTGGTTACATTCACTTCAATAGTTAGTAAATGATTTATAATTTATTAATTTTCTTTTGAGTTAACATATTTTTAGCATGAGAATTTCACAATTAGCCAAATATAGGGGGAGTAACTCTTTATGAATTTATTATGAAAACATATTTTGCTGTTTAAAAAATACTCATTATACCACTTTACAGAACCTTTACAAAGGTACCCAGGCTGTGACTGTCAATAGTAGTCAATTTAGGGTCCAAATAAATTTTGGCAGATATGTAAATAAAGGCAACAGTAGTATACAGCTGTTCAATAGTCATAAATCGATTTAACTGAAACAAATCCGGGTCACAAACCAAAACCGAGGGAAACACATCAACTATAAGAGGAAAACAAAAGAACAACATAAACACTGAACTGCTACAAAAACAAACGCCAACATACATAGAAACGGACTATTTGATAACAACTGGCACTGCCATATTCCTGTCTTGGTACAGGACATTTTAAGAACAAATGGTGGGTTGAACCTGGTTTTATGGCTAGCAAAATAGAAAATTTTAGCACCGCGGACCAAAAATATACCACCTCGCTAAAACTGATAGAACCACGCTCATAAATTGTACCACCGCGGATCCTGTGGTCCTTTAAGGGCCTGGGGAGAACACTGGGTAATCATAGTACTTTATTTACGAACAGTCAACAATTAACATAAAAGAAAAAGAGCAAGGAACAGAATCTTCTCAATATTTCTTTCAAGTGATATCATTCAAACAGAAAGGCTACAAGGGTACTGTAAACACATTACATTCAGATGGAAGATTGAAGAAAAAGCACTTTAAAAGACGATTTTTACATCAGACCGTTACATTTACGACAAAATTTATATCGATAAAAAACCTCCTGATCTGAGGTCTAAACTCCTGACCAAAATTTCCCAATCTCCTGAAGCATAATACAAAGTGTTTTGACATTCTAACTAGCAAACCACCTCAATTATCAAATTTATTCAGTGTAAAAGCAGTGATCAATTGGAACAATCTAGAAAACATTGTAGTACATGCACTAAGCGATGAGAGCTTTAACACTGCTCTCACACAAGGTCAATAAATCTAAAGAGCTCTCTCCAGCGTTGTTATAAAGCCAATATTGGTACATTGTACCAACAACCTACTCATACAGATATTTTAGGGAACAAATCATTGCAGAACAAAACTATAAACTATGAAATACATTTCTATTAAGATTATTGATATTTACCTTCATTCATCAATACATTTCCAGTATTGGTAAATCCTATTGTTAAAGTATGTTGTTATAAATAGTTTTACTATAACAATGCATCATTATATAAACTGATAAATTATTCATTTTCAGACTGTCCGAGTAAAATAATGTCACAAAATTCATCATAATTTATGACCCATGAATGGAAAGATGGGAACTCTACTTACCATGACGTAAAGAAATTATGACGGATCCATTATTTACAAAGTTAAAGATTGTTTTTACATGATTCAATTCTTAAAATTGTCTGGATGCAATTTGTGCTTTTCGGGGTATGGGATTCCCCTTGTTGTAGGCCTTATTTGGGGTCATTTCCGGTCATTGTGTCTAAACAATAAAACAGGAAAATCAATAATCATAGAAGACTTTATAATATAATGAAATACCCTATCAAATTTAAATATTGTGTTTTATTTTATCGAAAGTGATAATTTTCAAAAAGAAATAATCTCCTTTAAATTTTAAAATTGAAATTTCCTGCAAGTGCCCTTTACAAATTGTACGAAAACAACAGTTTATTTTTTTATTTTTTGGACAAATAGAGTTTTAAATCAATAAGAAAAATTGGTAATCAATTTTGGTGTTTTAAGATTGGATAATTTCAATTATTATATTTTTTTTAATCTACGAAAATACGATATAATCGGAAGTGTTTGTACGCATGCACCGCTTCATTGCCCACCGACAAATTCCAAAACATGAGCGATTCCACACAATAAGAAATCATAGATTTTGCACTTTAAAGAAAGATGAGAGCAATTCCAACATGGGTAGATAAAGTACACGACAGGGATAAAGTAGAACAATGGTGAATTCCTACACTTATCTAACTCTAGTATATATAACATGTATAACCCTAACAATTTTTAAATGCATTTTTTGAGGAAAAACTCAGTTTCCCACAGTGACAGTGCTACTTCAGTAAATCTACTTTCACTGATAGTCATGGGTATAAAAAAAAGATCCCATTCAGTTGAGACAGTACTGTAGTAAATAACAGTTGAGGTAGTTGGATGAAGTTGTTTATTTTTTGTGTGCAATAAATTATCTTTAAGGTTCATCATAACAAATGGACAAATATGGCCGTATTTTCACCTCAAAAACTACTCTGTGTACAGACTTACCTGAGCAGTTTGGAAAGTTTTAAGGCCTGGCATCCACTAGATATATAAAAGTTAAATGTATTTTGTATATCAGAAAGGTAAAATCTTTTTTGGATTTTAATGGGCATTTTTTTTCATTCCTGCAGAAGGTGTAAAAATAAACTAAGTTGGGATACAACTTTGAGATGCTCCCTCTCAGGTAACAACTGGTTTGTAGTGTATTGATTGTACTTGATTGGCATGGGCAATAGATATCTACACATCTATAGGTGAGTTAAAGGTAGTAACTGAGTGGACAGTATCAAATGCAATTCAGGTGTATGTTTATTTTTACACCTTCTGCAGGAAGGAAAAAAAATGCCCATCAAAATCCAAAAACGATTTTATCTTTCTGAAACACAAAATGCATTTAACTTTTATATATCTAGTGGATGCCAGACCTTAAAACTTTCCAAACTGCACAGGTAAGTCTGTACACAGAGTAGTTTTTGATGTGAAAATACGGCCATATTTGTCCATTTGTTATGATGAACCTTAAATTAGATTGAGTTAGAAGTATGTGCAGCATTTCAAATGTTTTAAACTTTTTGGGGTGTTATCCCTTTTGGATTCAGTGTCTGGAGTGATTTTCTGATTGGCACTGGCTACGGTTACATTGAAATGTAACAATAATAAAAAAATTATTGTTACATTGGAGACTAATTGCCGGAATGCAGGGTTGGGTAAGGAGCCAATTAATTACGAATGTAACAATAATATTTGTGTCTACGGTTACATTGCGTTATTGTTACATTAATGCACTTCAATGTACACTGGGATTAGTAATATGTATTAAAATAAAACTTGAAAGCTTTTATTTGAATTTTACAATTTTTTAAATGTTTATTTACAATGGCAGTGTGTACTAATTCAGTATGTTGTTTTGGGAGCATGTTTCAGTATGACTCATTTTTAGTAAAACCACTCTAACATGTCAAAGCAGCCATCCCGAATAAGTTATGCAGCAATGTGCATGTCTGTATTGCATACTGTACAATTCCATTCTGCACTATACCTTTGTGAAGTTAAAGAAACTTTCAATGTCTGCCATGCTTCAGGTGAAAAATATTTTTTTTACTCTTGCGATGTTTGTATTTTCGTACAATATTTTTGTTGGAAACACGTGAGGTTGTTTCATGTTGTCTTATAAAATAATGTCATTGAAGTATCTTGAAGAACATCAAAACAATTATTATTTAAAACTATTTAAACGCTATTTGTTGAATAATAATAATCATAATAATATTGAATAATAATAATAATATTATTATTATTACTATTATTCTCTTGTACATATTGAAGAATTTTTGTTTTTCTATCAACGCTCATTTATTTGCATTCAGGAACTTGAATGTAACTTTGACAACCCATGCATATGGCTTAAGACAATATTTAAAAAAATTTCAATTTATTTAATTCTACACAATTTTGATAGTTTCTTACCTCATACTGTTCCTTATAGATTTTCCAGAATTCAAAATTATTCCAAAATTCAAATAATTCCTCGTTTATATTTCATTCAGATAAGTTTTATAGATTTTTTAAAGACATTGTATTAATGGATAAATAACATTTTGGATTTTTTTTAATTTTCTTTGGTAAATTGTTTGAAGAATTTTGTGGTAGGTTTGTTTGTTATTCTGTATAAACTAATTTTCTGAATGCTATATATATTTTTTTTTTGATGAAGTGAACTCATTTAAAAACTAAGCTTATATTGTCTATTAATAAACATATATTTAGATTTCTGATTTTGGTTTAATTTCATCAAAAATTGAATTCTTGGGGTTCTTTGATATGCTGATTCTAACAATGTTTTAGTGGTTAAATCATATCTAATTTTATTGATTATAATTTGAAAATATATAACATCATATCTAATTTTAGAGAACTATTTGTTTATCATTTATTCAGTTTGAGTTATTTCCCTTTGAACAGAAAATTAATAAGTATATGGATAACATTAAACTGTGTTTCATTTCAAAATAAATTAAATAAAGAGGGTTCTTTCAAATAATGAATCTTAACCTGTATTTTAATATTGGATTTTTGGGCCCAGTTTTTAAGTTGGTCCAAATCAGGGTCCAAAATTAAACTTTGTTTGATTTCAACAAAAATTGAATTTATGGGTTTTTTTGAAATGCTGAATCTAACCATGTATTTAGAGATTTTGGATGTTGGGCTCCTTTATCAAATTGATGCACATTGAGGTCCAAAGGGTCCTAAATTGATTTCATCAAAAATTGAATTCTTGGGGTTCTTTGATATGCTGATTCTAACAATATACTTAGATTTTGGATATTTGACCATAATAGGTAAATGTCCAATTTCAAATTTTTCTGTTCTTTGACTACATTCATTTTGTGTCACAAACCTATGCTGTGTCAAATATTCAATCACAATCCAAATTCAGAGCTGTTTTAAGCTTAAATGTAGTGTCCATACTTGCTCAACTGTTAAGGGTTCGACCTCTGCAGGAAATCCGGTTTGCTGTCACTCTGACAGCCTCTTGTTACAGTTTGTTCTAATGTTGGACTGTTACACCCCTGTCCCATGTCAGTGGAGGGTTGGACCCCTGAAAACATGTTTTACCCTGCTACATTCTGTATGTGCGAGTCCCAATTCAGGAGTCTGTAATTCAGTGGTTGTCTTTTGTTGCTGCATATCATATTTGTTTGTCGTATGTTGTTTTGTACAAAAATCAGGCCGTTGGGTTTTTTCATTGTTAAAGGCCATATGGTGACTTATATTTGCTAACATCTACATCATTTGGTCTCTGGTGGATAGTTGTCTTATTGGCATCATACCAAATCTCCTTATTTTATATTAATAAACTTCTAAAGAGTGTACATCACCTCCAAAATTTTTGAAAAAGAATTTAAAGTAATAAATACAAAAATCAATAAATATTTTAGAAAACAAATATCTTTCATGAGTATGAGAAATATAGATTCCACCACTACATCAAGTTTGTTACGATATTTTTCCACTCAAGACATATAGTTTTAAAGTTTAAAACGCGAGGCTTGCAGAGCTTTTTACATTTTTAAAATTTAACTGTTGAGAGTGGAGAAATATCGTAAGACATGAGATATAGTGGTGGAATCTCTTTCTCTAATGATTTTTAGATGATATCTAAACAAAGTTTATTCTTCCTTTTCGAAGATTTGCAGAAAGTTGTGTTCTTTATAATATTATGTAACGGCATCAGGCATGGTCGCCTTTATCATGACGTCACAATAGGAACTTCAGAAGAAATCAAGAAAATTTGACGTCATAATTAAATTTCAACCAATCATTTGCTGAGAACAAAGTTTTCTCTTAGAGATGAGAACTATTTTTCTCACACCGATCGAAAAATGTGAAAATATCATGAAAAATTAGAGAAGCCTGGTTTAAAATGGTGTCTTATTCTGTTCTATTCTGTTTTTTTTTTATCTTTAGAAATCTTGAATGTTATACAAATTACAACCAGAACATCATTACAAGTTTCTTAAAAAATTATTTGGTGTTTAATTCTGTTCTATTCTATTCTGTTTTTTTTTTTTTTATCTTTAGAAATCTTGAATGTTATACAAATTACAACCAGAACATCATTACAAGTTTCTTAAAAAATTATTTGGTCTTGAAATTTATACAAATTAAGTATTTACAATAGAAGGGAATGCATCTCACATGTAACAACACATCCAGTTTGTGTGGTTAACTCCTGCCTTGAGATTTTGGTCCATCAGTGAGTCCATCACTAGTTTGGGTTATAGAGGATAAAAATGATACCACTTATCTTTTACTGTTCAAGAGTTATGTCCCTTTATTACCTTATTTATTGGTATTTCTTTGGTTTCCTGATGATTATCATTACATTTTTTTGTACCACCTGACCTAATCTTTAAAAATTTGAGCACAATGTCATGGATCATAAAATACAGGTCAAGATTGATTTTGATGATGTTGATAATTACTGGTATTCCTCTGAGTTACATTAAAATTTAGATGTTTCCAGGTGATAATAAAAGTACGGTTTGACAAAATCTTTTTATATGTCATGAATGTTATGAAAAATAAAATACATTAACAGGTCACCTTCAATTTGAATTAGGTTTTTGGCATTTACTTTTTATTAAAGATTTTTTTTGCAAGCAGGTGTATCCATGATCTAGTATCTGTGACATTTATCCCCTTATTTTAGTTTTGAAAAATTTGTTTCCTTTCTTTTATCATGTATATCATGTTCCATTATCTTACCCATTTATTTTGGAAATCTTTGTTAAGTGGTTAAATTTCATATCAACTGATGCCAACCTTTTACTCAGCAACCAATTTTCTTTTTGAAATATACAACATTTCTTAAAATTCAAGTATTAACTACAAATATATAGGCAACTAAATTAGTTTGTTACTTACCGTAATAGAAACCTTATTGTTATCATTAATTATACACTTTCAATATTTTTCAGCATCTGGGATTTATGTTTTAGACCAGATGGAAGTCAGTTAATTGTTGCTGCTGGGAACCGTGTCCTAGTTTATGACACCAGTGATGGTACCCTGATACAGCCTCTAAAGGGTCACAAGGACACTGTGTATTGTGTAGCTTATGCCAGAGATGGGAAGAGATTTGCATCAGGATCCGCAGACAAAAGTGTCATTATATGGACCAGTAAATTAGAAGGAATTTTAAAGTACACGTAAGTTATCCTAGCTGAGTAAAATGTCAGCATTTACAATAGATGTCAAGGTCATCTCGGCAAATAGAACAATTTTCTAAAGTTTAGCAGATTAATGCTTTGATGAGTATAATTTTTTTTAAATAATGGTATCAAAAACTGAAACACAAATTATACACAATTACATTTCAAGCAGATTCACTTCAAAAGTTGACAATTTATAACGAAAACATATGATGAAACTATATAAAATACATTGGTAAAATGAAAAAAAAAAACAATCTCAAAATATCTGATTGAAATTAATTTCAACCTATGTAAACATCTTATGACATTTTTACACTTTTTACACGTTAAGACATTTAAGAATGCATTGAAATATAATGAATTATCTCTTCAATTTAAATTTTAATATGTTATACCATTATCTCTTTATATAATAAACAGTTCTTTCCACAAAAGTTTTCAGCCATAATTGTTTTGACAAACTAACCTTTGCCATCTTTAAAATATTTAAAAAAAAGATGGACTGCCAATAAATGACCCCCTTTTGTGAAAGACCATTTCTTTTTTAAAGGCTTGGGTTTATACTTTTATTTACCCTTTTATAAGATGCTTCCAGTGTTCTCCCCAGGCCGTTTTAGCTATAATTATTTTGAGGATGCTATTTTTCTTGTCTCTATATCGCAAAATCATGTCCTAAATTTTGAACTTTCATCTAATTACCGCTTGTGATCATCAAAATTATATCACCTTTAATTGTAATCCCTCCAAGTCGGACAATAGAGGCAATTTAGAGTGATTAAATAGGTGTTAATTTTCCTTTGGGTGATAACTGAATGGATACGAATACCCCAAGCTGACACTTGTGACATGACTAATACCACGTGGACCAATCGCAAATTTCGACATGGAAAAAATGTAATCAGAAAATCGAAAAACAATTCAAAATCTACGTTTGCATAATCCAAATTCAAAGATACAAACGATTTCTCTATTTAGAAAAGAGGTTAGGTCGTATTTTTTACAACTTTTAAAAAATTACTTTCTTTCATTTCCGGTACTACTAGTTTATTGAGAGCGTATATTAAACATTTTGATTTTGAGTTAAATAAGTTTGATACTTCTTTAGAAAGAGATCATAATTGGCTTTAGTTAATGTTTCGTCCATTTATTGCATTAAAAGCGGCATACTCATTCTTAATCTCTTGTCAAACATTGTTTATTTTCGTAAATATGACAAATTCCGCATTTTTACGATAATAACTACAGATGCACAAATAGCACAGTAGACGAAAAATTATCACAAAAGAGAAAACTACGCATTCCACACGCATTAACAGACTATTTACTAGATATCTTTGCTAAATGTATTCTTTTTGAAAATACATTGTTTTAATATACTGACTAAAGTAGCTTAACTTTGTTAAAAATATATATCATTTTGATATAAAGAAACAACTGGGACTAATTCATTGAGTACCATGAAACAATGAATTTCATAGACATGATAAAGAAAAAAGTTTTTTAATTGAAATGTTATTGCTACATGATACTTTCTCTTCACTTTTTATATAAAAACCAGTTCTTTATTTTTTGCTAGATATTTAGTATTGTATATATACAGGTTGTACTATAATAAACCATTCATTCATTTAGTTAAGTAGGTAGGGTAACTGGAACCACACATATATTTTTATTTGGCCCAAGAGGAAAAAATAATTCTGTAACTATAAATGAATATAGAAAACATAAACTGAAACAACTGTTATCATGGTTAAAGTATAATTGTATTCCCAGCTATGAATTGAACAATATAAACATATATAACGTAAAGGAAATAGAGCATCGCCGCCACACGTCAAATGACATTGAAAAAAATAGTTTATTTTTTTACGCCAAATGTGATGCTATCCAAAATTTCTGGGGAGAACACTGGCTTCAACTAATTACAATAGTAAAGTTATGTATTGATATTTTTTTGTTGTTTGAGGAAAATTGAATGTTTGAGGATATTTGATTCTGTATACAAGCCTATAGGAAATTTGTACAATATTGAATCCTTAAATTTGTTGTTCAACCATATCAAGAAAATCCATGAATGTTAAGAACCCAACGAATAGCAATGAATACAGTAATTGTTTTATACTTGGTATCATTTAAGTATTTGTCAAAATTAAATTGGTTTACTAGAATATTTAATGTAAAAAGAAAATATAACCTTTAAATTGATTTATTTTCAGTCATAATGATGCTATACAGTGTTTAGCATACAATCCTGTAACACATCAGTTAGCTAGTTGTGCTGTTAGTGACTTTGGTAAGTTAGTACATACTAGAAGAAGATTAAGATATTTAATTGCCAAAATCAGGGTTTTTTAAATAACTTGGTTATTACAATGATATTGTATATATATACAGTAAACCAACTTATTTTCGCGGATACTTTTATTTCTCGTTAAGCCCTTTATATCCCACTTCCTGGTGATTTAATTTTCGTGATTTTTCAAATTAACCTGATGTATTTAAGTAAGGGAAGATACAAATTTTATATATTTGCGGCGATTTATATTTGCATTATTTTTTCTACTCACGAAATTCTAGAAATTAAATTGCTTGCAGAAATTAGTTGTTATACAGTATTTAATAAAACAAGCATAAAATTTTAAATGTTATGACATATGTAATAATTTTTGACAAAATGGAATTTTGAAAGCATTCATGGAAACTAATTTCATGGAAAAATGGCCAAATTGAATCTTGAACTTAATGTATGTTATTGAGTAATAGATATAACAAGCAAAACCATTGGATTAATCCGTCAAAAATTTGTTGATCATCTAGTGCTTGTTGTTCTCACCTTGAGTGTGGCATATCATGGGTTCAATCCCAAACAGGGTCAAACCAGCAATTTTAAATTAGTTTTTGTTACATCTACACTAAACACATGGCATTTAGGAATAAGATCAAAGACTGATTAGCTTTGAGTAAGAATATTATCTTTGGGTGATCAGACATGTCTTCCGGCAGGCTTTTACCTTGTACCTAGCACAAAGTTAGCTACCATGATCAGAATACAACTCACAGTGTTATTCTAGTACAAAGTAACGTTTGTTTTCATATTACACCAACATATTCATGCCCTGCATAGGGTTAAAAGGTTACCAGCTTGAGATTAAACATCCACCTGTCAGAATATACAGCAACTAGTCTCAAAAGAATTGCTGTCTGTTTTTACTTACCATATTAGAAATCAAACGGTGCTATCAAATTTTCACAAAACATGACATTTAAAAAGACAAATTCTGAATTTAATATGGAGTTTTAGAATCTTCCTTTCTAAAACAAATAACAGGAAGATACTGGAAAAAAATAATATGAAGATGTATATACAAGCATTGTATTGCAGGTTTGTGGTCCCCTGAACAAAAGAATGTGTCCAAACACAAAGTAAACAGTCGTATAACTTGCTCTAGCTGGACTAATGATGGACAGTACCTAGCACTTGGGTTGTACAATGGTCTGATTAGTATAAGAAATAAGGTATTGTATATTGCTATACTTATTAAATATTTATTGCACTTAATCAAATATTCAATTGTGCTTAATGTTTTTTTTTTAAAGAAAAACTTATTTTTCAATAAGTTTGTTAAAGTTGAAATGTGCAGAAAAATTATCAAGATAAATGTTTTTTTTTAGAAAAAAATCACAAAATATTTAATTTCTGAAGAATTTCCTGTAGTATGATATATCTTTTTTTAAGAAGACTGTTGAAGTTACTGGGATCACTTCTATAACTATCTGAAATTTAATACATTTTGTCCTAATATATGTGTATACTTATATTGTACACATAATTTATAAAATATTACAAATTGAACTATTAAGCCCAACATTTATTGTCTTTTCTCATGTTGATAATATTATATTGTGTAGGGTGGTGAAGAAAAGGTGAAGATTGAAAGGCCATATGCAGCAGGAAGCCCTGTATGGTCTTTGGAATGGAATCCTAGCAGGTGACAAATATAAAAATTACTTCAAAAACATACAGATTCAAGTTTATTTTAAACTTTATCCATTATCATGCTGTCATACAAAATTGTTGATGAATCACATGTCTTTAACTTTTGATTTACAATTCAGAGTGCTGTTGTCAAAAAGTTTAAAAAAAAATAATTATACCGTGTGCTTCAATGATGGCTCTATTCAATTAAAATCATAATATTTTAATTGAAGAACAATCCAAAATTGCACAAAACAAGTGGGATAACCATGCTTTTATTGGAAATGAAAATAAAATTTTGAATCTGCATGGTAAATTTGCATTGATATTGCATTTATAAAACAGCTTCTTTGGATATTTTTACAGGAAATCTTCCATTTGAAAAAATTACTAAAAATGGTCCTGAAATAAAATTTGAGTAATGTTTGTGATAATTTTATAGCTTCTTTGGAGCTAATTTTTAATATTTTTTAATGATTAATATATTTTTTTTATTTAATGAAGGGTTGGATTTACTGTACTCAACAGTAACTTGTAATGACTACTTAATATATACATGATAATAGTAGATTAATATAACAACAATATTATGCTCTAGTATAAAAAACTAGCAAAAACGGACCTCAAACTGAAAAAAACTGCGGTAGCAAAAAGGGACCTTAAACAGAGTAACAAGCCCTTCAAAGGGCTTGTCAATTTTCAGACTAATATTTCTTTGCCAAATTTGGTGCATAGGATAAGTTCTTCAAACCCAATAAAGAAAAATTTAAAGAAAATATTATGATTGAAGATTTCATATGATTACCAGTGGTATTGTAATTAGACTTATATTACAGAAAAGGTGCTGTTACTCCCCACTCACATTTCTCAAAGTAAGTGGTTTGAATGGGACAGGATTATAAGCTAGATATACATATGTGTTTTGCTAGATGTGTCACACACACAATAATTGTTTCACTATGCAGAGAAGGCTTTCATTCTGGCAGTTTACCTGTTATACTTTTATTTTCTTAAAACTGAATAAAAGTGTTGTAATTTGTCCTTAAATAAACTGCCATTTTGTATCTTTTGAAAGGCTAAATTTAAAAAACATACATTATTACAGATCATTACATACTATAAATGAACTTTTTTATGAGCACACAATTTTATGCATTGTAAAAACTTCAATGGATAATGGGTACAAATTAGATATAAATAAATGGCAGAATTGTATTTCAGTGGATCAAGATTTTCTTACCACAGAAACCATGAAACTTTGATGCACCATGGATGACAGTACTCTTAATTACTATTATATTATCAGTCCTTATACCAAATGTGAATCAGTATATGATTGATTCGTGATCAGTAATTAATAAGTTTATCTGTTTGCTCTTAGTTTTGTCTTGGAGAAGCCAAGCAATCTGATTCCTTTTCAGTTGAAAGAATGACATGAAACATGAATTAAGTATTTTTCAATTTGCACATGGAAATAACTGATTATCGAAACTTTTGAATTATTAGATTTCACATTGTATTTTCTGTTTTGTTTTGGAACCTATGCATAATATGTACAGCTGTTAAAGGAATGTAAATTTTGAGAAACCCTTAATCTAAACAGGCTTGCATTTAGTAAAAGTGTCAATTTATTTTCCAATTCCACTTTGTCAAGTTAATGTCCAGAGCAGAAAATAAAGTAGGTATGGTCAGTTTTCAGCACTAAAAGTGGTGTAAGTTAATTTGATGTTCCAGGTAGTATAAAGTGAGAAAAAATATTTCCCCTACTATCATATGCTGCTTTACTTGTTTTATCCACTCAATGTTATGTTTCTATCCTGGTTTTGAACTATTTTACATTGTCTGAATTGAACTGATTTTTTTATTTATCAGCCTTCCTTGTGTCTGTATCCCTCTTCTTTGACATCTCTTCATAAAATTGCTTATCACAGCTTTGTGACATCAAATATGCTTGACCTAGCCTTAATAACTTTGATCCTTGCTTATCACCAACCTTGTAATGTTTGACCTGACGTTGATAAGTTTGACCAAAACTTATTAGGTTCTCTTACAGTTTGCTGGTTTAACAATAGAAGAACTATTGTTTATATCATGAAAAACACACACAATCCTGTAAACTGATTATCAGATTTTTATGTCCCACATATGATAGTAGTAGGGGCATTATGTTTTCTGGTCTGTGCGTCCGTTAGTTCATCTGTCCGTCCGTCCGTCTGTCCCGCTTCAGGTTAAAGTTTTTGGTCAAGGTAGTTTTTGATGAAGTTGAAGTCCAATCAACTTGAAACTTAGTGCACATGTTCCCTATGATATGATCTTTCTAATTTTAATGCCAAATTAGAGTTTTGACCCCAATTTCACAGTCCACTGAACATAGAAAATGATAGTGCGAGTGAGGCATCCGTGTACTATGGACACATTCTTGTTTTCATATATTTTAAAATATCAGCTGCTCTACCCAATATAAATCCTTTTTCAACTACTGCTCTCACTCAACAAAAAGCTTCATATTGTGACACACAGATATGCAGAAAACAAGATTATCTATAGATGGAATAGATATACATATTCTGTTTACCGAAAGGAAAAACATTATGAAAAGTTTCAATCTTATAAAATGATTGAGATTTATATTACTCAGTGGTAAAGTATGTAAAACCTAATTTACTGGTGAAAGAATTGATTTATGACCACTGGATATGCCCAATTTTTCATTCAGTTTTTATTTTTGCCGAATTGAAGTTTTTGGTATATAAAGCAATAAGTGATGACAGTTTTATTTTGGTGAATTGACACAATAGAAATAAAACTGTTACATCTTACGTCACAGTGTACCTGCTTTGTTCTAATATTTCATACAGATTTGATGATTTTTTAATTGAAGTTTGAGATATATTTAGATTTTGACAGTACAGATTGATTTTTTAGGGATGAACCATATGATATATTGTCTGTTGCTGACTGGGGACAAAGATTGTCTTTCTATCAACTCTCTGGTAAACAGGTAAGATCCTTCTATCAACTGTCTGGTAAACAGGTAAGATCTTTCTATCAACTCTCTGGTAAACAGGTAAGATCTTTCTATCAACTCTCTGGTAAACAGGTAAGATCCTTCTATCAACTCTCTGGTAAACAGGTAAGATCTTTCTATGTTTGTGACAATAATATGTTGTATTATAAAATAAATGTATGGATTTTCTATAAAATCTGCTTTTCCTGTATTGAATCAAACTCATTAACTAAATAAGCCACCTTTGTACCATTTAGATTACAAAGGAGGAGATGGTCAAGCAATTATTTACCCATGTATTTTTCAATTCTTCGCTTTAGGAATTTGATAATTTTATTTTCAAATGAGTTATATGGCTTTTTCAGTCTATATTTTAACATTTAAAAATGTTCTTGACAGAAAAAAGCAAGATTTATGCAAAGTTTTACTGAGCAATTACATTAAAATCATCATTGAAGACATCTTGTACCAATATGTCTAATTTGTTAAAGCTTTTACTCATATTACTGTTTTTGTGTTTCAGATAGGAAAAGATAGATCACTTGGTTATGACCCGTGTACACTAGGTTGGTTTTCTAAAGGAGAATATGTAGTAGTTGGAGGTTCCAACAAGCAGTGCTGTCTTCATACCAGAGAGGGAGTTAAGCTGGGTGTTATTGGAGAGCAGGAATCATGGGTGTGGTGTGCAGCAGTAAAACCCGATTCCAATTATGTGGTAATTATTATCACCCATAATGCAATTTTTCAAATGACAAAATTAGATGTTGTTTTGTTTATTGCAGATTGAATAACGTGTAATACCATGGAAATTTTTCTTAAACAATGCGCCCAAACACATTTTTTTTTTTAAATCTTAAAATATGTTATACTATACAGGTGTTAATATTTGTACCCCTAGTTTATATGTAGGCGGTGGGTTGTCAGGACGGTACTATAGCATACTACCAATTAATATTCAGTACAGTACATGGTTTATATAAGTGATAATATTTGTACCCCCAGTTTAGTTGTAGGCTGTGGGTTGTCAGGACGGTACTATAGCATACTACCAGTTAATATTCAGTACAGTACATGGTTTATATAAGTGATAATATTTGTACCCCCAGTTTAGTTGTAGGCTGTGGGTTGTCAGGACAGTACTATAGCATACTACCAGTTAATATTCAGTACAGTACATGGTTTATATAAGTGATAATATATGTACCCTCTGTTTTGTTGTAGGCGGTGGGTTGTCAGGACGGTACTATAGCATACTACCAGTTAATATTCAGTACAGTACATGGTTTATACAAAGACAGATATGCTTACAGAGATAATATGACTGATGTGATCATACAACATCTAATCACAGAACAGAAAGGTTAGACATAATATCATCAAATTAGACAGTACATTGTAGAACCTTCTTTCCACCATAATAATGTGTTTCTCCAGTCTTGTGATATAATTCACATTGATATTGTAGTAAAAAATATCCTGATCCAACTTTTTTTTTATGGAAGTTGTTTAAGAATTATTGCAAGTTTCAGTTATAACAAGATCGAGAACCCTATATCAGGAAATTTCATGTTTGTCTAAATTTTTGCTATGCATTTTACTGCAAAAATTTAATTGAACAAAATCTTCACTGTCCATTTAATTGCCATGTAAAAGGCTGTAAAACAAGAAAAGTAAACAGGATGAAGATTTAATTGTTCCTTTTAAAATCCAAACAAAAACCTGATGTGCACTTTGATTTGGATTAAATAAGATTGCCTTTTTATCCTTATCATGACTTCCTATCTATAACATGCTGCTAAATATCACAAATTGTATGCAGTTGAAATTAAAGTAAGGGTTGTTGAATTATATTTATCTGGAGAGGAGATAAATTCTATGGTTTCCATCCCCTTTTATCCATCTAAGAAAAAATATGTAAAGTTCTGCTGTATATAATCTTCTGTCCCTCCAATATTGAAAAAGAATAGCCACAAGAAAGTTAATAACTCAAAATGTTAAAATTAAATTGTCACACCGGTTTATAATATTTCACCAGTGAAAGGAGTTACTCAGATAAACTTGATGAGATCAATGACCCAGATTTTGGACAGTATTTATTTTGACGATTCTGATGTTGAAGAAGATGAAGACAGGGCAGCCAAAGAGATCAAACGCGCTCTAGGGACATTAAGTCCTGTTTTCAAAACTGCTAGAGGTTTATTGTTCATCCAATTGTTCAATATTTACTACTTTCCATTGTTTTTTGTCTCGCCTGGCCTTGACAGAGTCAAAAAGGTGAGACATAGGTATGCTGTTTCCGGCGGCGGCTGCGTCAACAATGTATTAGTTTGTGATTAGGTCTAGTTTATGGTGAACCACTAGTGGTAGGTCAATGATATTTGGTATGCAGTTGTATTAGCATTGGCACATCTCATTTCCATGGAGATTATTTGGCCTTGCCCCCTCAGTCATGGTCTATTGACTTTGAAACTTTTGCTTAGTTGACATATATTAGTTTGTGATTTGGTCAGTTTATGGGGAACCATTAGTGATAAGCCAATGTTAATTGGTATGAAGTTTTATAAGCATTAGCACATCTCATTTCCATGGAGAATATTTGGCCCTGCCCCCTCAGTCATGGTCTATTAACTTTGAAACTTTTGCTTAGTTGACATGTATTAGTTTGTGATTAGATCAGTTTAAGATGAACTGCTAATGTTAAGGCAATGATATTTGGTATGCAAATGTATTGGCATTTGCAATTCTCACTTCTATGGATATTATATAGCCCCACCCACTCATCATGGTTCATTGGCTGAAACTTTTACATAGTTTACAAGTTAATGTTTGTGTTTAGGTTTGTTTAAAGGGAACAACTTATGATACGTCAATGGTATTTGGTATGCAGTTGTATAGCATTGGCACATTTCATTTCAATGGAGATTGTTTAGCCAGGTACCTTCAGTCATGGTTCATTGACTTTGGATATTTGCATAACTTACTTGCTAAAGTATTGCTATTTTAATTTCAACATTTGCATTATCAAAATTACAAAAAAAGGTGAGACATATCTCTGTGTTAACAGTTTATGTTATATTTTTATGATTTGTGTTAATATTTTTGTTAAACAAGGCTTTTTCGTGTTATTTTATATTTTTCTTTGATGAAGCATTATTCATTTATTATTGTTGATAAACACAGTTGTTATATTGTCATAGAAAATGCTTACTATAGTGGTTAATGTCTTAGTTATTCCATCCATTTGTGTTTCCATCACTCTTTCCATCCATGTGTCTTTCCCATGACATTTTGTCACTCATGAACTACTAATCAAGACTTTCTGAAATGTGTATTCAAGTTTCATGAGCATGCCATTATGTGTGAGGTGTTTCTACATCCATTGCTCATTAACTTCTTGTTAATCACAAACTGATTGCGAGAGTATCATTAGTGAGCAATAGCTCACATTTCAACTTGTCATGGGTTGCCTCACTTAAATTCAGATAGACTGTTTGGATACCCTTGGTGTTCATTTTTTTGTTTGTTTCTAAAACCATACCGTAGAAAGGCTTGTATAGTCCGCGGTTTTATTCTCCAAAATTGGACCTTCAAGACGGGGTGCGGACTATAGAGTACAATAAGCAAGAAATAAGAGAAAAATTTCAATTCGCGGTCGAGGTGGTTTGTTTACGTTCCGCCATCTTTGTTATTTCTATTGTAGAGGGCGCTCTTATCATTTTTCAAACTAATAATTTTAACTCATCCATATTAATAAGTTATTTCTATTCAATATCCAATTAATACTGATAAATATAAAAACTAAACCTTTCATTACAAATTTCTCGTTTCTTTTCAATGCATTGGTTGAAATAAACTGGTATCTGCTCGATTGAAACGATACAAACATAGTGAAAAAGACAACCGTAAACCAGCTTAGAATTTGTAAACTACAAAACGAAATCGGTTATTGTTCGTTCCGTTTAGGTGTTTCATACTGACTAATATTGTTTGTATTAGCTTAAGACCCTTCAAACATTAATGTGATAGATATATTAAAGACTGTTTTAGGTATAAAACCACTAATTCACAGCCCCATTGCTTTCTATGTTAAATTCTGCAATTTCAAGCATAAATGGCTACTTTGTCTGAAGTTCAAATAAAGTGGCAGTCATTTCATGTCAAAGCTGTACTTTATGCTGACTTGTGCTGAAAAAATCAACATACCTTTAATTGCATATTAGAGCGTACTGGTTCCCGGAAGTTTGATAGTACAAAAACAGGAACTTCTGATCTGAACAACAGGCCAAATGAGCCCTCCTATTAAAATTGCATATACTTCTTTATTATTCAAATAAAACTTTCAACAAGGGTTCTACAGTGATCCCAAGTCCCCAAGCTTTCATTTGATACTAAAACTACCCAAATATTCCCACTATTGACAAAGATACAGCTATGCGTAGGAACTATTTTGTTTAAAATATGTACTACTTTCTTGTATGTTCTTTCCGACCGGGCCTGAATTAGTGGTTCTATACCTATAACAGCACCAAACTTGTTATATTGACTTCTGCTTGACTTAATTTCCTTCTATGATCTATTTCTAGCATAGAAAAACACATAAAGCTTTTGTCAAAACACTATATCACTGAATTCAAGCTCAAATTGGACTGGTAGTAACATATGCGTTAAATAAAGAAAACTACATATGGATACCAATAGTGACAGATATGACACTTTTTCAATTTTTACCAGTTCTGATTTGTTAATATCTACTCAAATAACAGTGTTCTTACCTATATGTCTTATTTTTATCAGAAATTCTTCCTTGAATATAAATACAGTGGTCCAAACATGAAATATAATTGATAATTTTGTCCCCCCTTTTTTCTACATGTTGGAAAAGGAGAGTGATTTGGTAAAAAAAATCATACTTTTATGTATAAACATGGATCAACAAGAGCAATTTATGTATCTCCAAGCTAGACAACTTGCTAAAATGGTTATTAAATGCATTTCAAGAGAGATTTTGGAATTCCCATATAAGTATACACCAATTTTCCTTGAAATAAATAATTCACCAAGAAACACAATAAAACTTGAACACTCACTAGATAATTTGACCAAAAACAATATTTATACTATAAACTAGTCATAATATACAAGTTTCATTGGTTTCAGTGTTAGATAATCCAAAAATTTAAATTTCAGGTAAAATCTTAACTGTGTGCATGCTAAATGACCAAAAAAGGCTAAACTACCTTATTGTAGCAATTTGAGGGCTGTAATTTGACACTAACATAATTGTTACATAAAAAAAATAATGTAACATGATTTCTGACAACAAATGTGACCAGTTTTCACTGTAAAGGGTATGATTTCTAAAAATAGAATTTCACATGCCTGTCAGTAATAGGTATAAAACCACTAATTCACAGCCCCATTGCTTTCTATGTTAAATTCTGCAATTTCAAGCATAAATGGCTACTTTGTCTGAAGTTCAAATAAAGTGGCAGTCATTTCATGTCAAAGCTGTACTTTATGCTGACTTGTGCTGAAAAAATCAACATACCTTTAATTGCATATTAGAGCGTACTGGTTCCCGGAAGTTTGATAGTACAAAAACAGGAACTTCTGATCTGAACAACAGGCCAAATGAGCCCTCCTATTAAAATTGCATATACTTCTTTATTATTCAAATAAAACTTTCAACAAGGGTTCTACAGTGATCCCAAGTCCCCAAGCTTTCATTTGATACTAAAACTACCCAAATATTCCCACTATTGACAAAGATACAGCTATGCGTAGGAACTATTTTGTTTAAAATATGTACTACTTTCTTGTATGTTCTTTCCGACCGGGCCTGAATTAGTGGTTCTATACCTTTACAAAAGGATGGAACTGTTTTACTTTCAAAGTCGTATTATAGTGATATCTGTTATGTACGGATTGGACTCTCACTGGTTAATTTCTTCTTTTACACGTGCTTTTTAAACTTCCTGTTTAAACATACACAAGTTTCTGAATTGTTTTTTAAGTGAATTAAACTTATTTTAACAATCATGAAGCGTTCTAGAATCATTAACAAGCAGTTTCAGCTTCTGTTTGATGATGGAAAACAGGTTTTTCCAAGAAAATACCGCAAACGACCGCACAGGATTTGAAATTACCGGAGTTTCATTAGACCTTTTCTAACAGTTACAAAAAGTTTTTTTACCTAAAATTTCGTGGGGAGAAGGGGGTGCGGACTATGTACCACTGCGAACTATACAAGCCTTTCTACGGTATATATATTAGAAACTATGAGATACTAAAAACCATATTATTTTAGCAGATACGTTTTTCTTGCTAAGCCCTTTTTAGAAAATTATTTGATAATTTATTTTCATGACTATTTACCTGTTTCCTATTAGATAAGATCAAAGTTTGTTGTGTTCACAGTGATTTTCTACTGGTGAAAGGTTTTAATCATTGGCATAGTTGATAGTTTACAAGTTTAGGTTATGCCATTTGATATTCAACATTTGTATTTTACTATTAGAGAGTACTCATATGAAACATATCTCTGTGTCAACAGGTTATTAATTTTAATTTTACACATTAGAACTGAAAGATATAGGATCAATAAACCATATTTTGAGCTGCACTAACTGCATAAGACAATTTTTGTCGAGTCTGTGACTTCTGTCACAGAAAGCTCGACATAGGGATAGTGATCCAGCAGCGGCGTTCACTAACTACACTAATGCTTTATATTTTAGAAGGTGGAAGACCTGGATGCTTCATACTTTGTATATAGATGCCTTATATTATGACATTTCAGTCCACTGTCCTTGACCTCATTTTTATGGTTCAGTGACTACTTGAAAAAAAAGTTCAGATTTTTTGTAATGTTAATTTCTCTTTAATTATGAGTAATAGGATAACTATATTTAGTATGTGAGTACCTTGCAAGGTCCTCATGCCTGTCGGACAGTTTTCATCTGACCTCTACCTCATTCCATGGATCAGTGAACACGGTTACGTTTTCGAGGTCAAGTCCATATCTCAGATACTATAAGCAATAGGTCAACTGTATTTGGCGTATGGAATGATTGTTAGATGTATATGTCTGTCTGGCAGGTATCATCTGACCTTGACCTCATTTTTATGGTTAATTGGTCAATGTTACGTTTGTGTGTTTTGGTCTGTTTTTCTTAAACTATAAGCAATAGGTCAACTGTATTTGGTGTATGGAATGATTGTAAGGTGTATAGGTCTGTCTGGCATGGTTCATCTGACCTTGACCTCATTTTCATGGTTCATTGGTCAATGTTAAGTTTCCTGGTTAAGTTCGTTTCTAAGAAACTATAAGCAATAGCTCAACTATATTTGGTGTATGGAATGATTGTAAGGTGTACATGTATTTCCAGTTTGGTTTATCTGACCTCGACCTCATTTTCTTGGACCATGTTAAGTTTATGTGATACTTGTAGTAAAGCTTTATATTTAGGACTATCAACATAAAATCAATGGTCAGTAAAGCAGGAGAGACATTTCAGCGTGTGCACTCTTGTTTTATTTAATCAGGAAGTTAGTATGATGTACTTTGTAATTATATATGACTTATACTGTTAGAGAAACTTTCTTGTCATGTGATACCACACACAGAGGAAAACGATTATTGGAGAATTAATAAAAACTAATTTTACTAAAGAAATGTTTTTGATTATTTTATTGCACAATTTTGTCAATTTGAATTTTATTCAAATAAAAGATTGTCACTATATTTGATTTAATATAGCAATTCAGAATAAGTGTGAAAGTGTATATCAGATATAATTGTATTCAAAAGATTATTTAACTTTTGTTCTCTCATATTAATATTTAAGGTATTTTATCAATCTTGTTTAATCCTTTTTTTCTTTTTTTTTCTCACAGTAAGAATTAAATGTCGTGATCTAGTGAAGAAAATAGCTATATACAGACACAGACTAGCAGTAAGTATCAGTTTAGGCATGTCACTGTTTTACCATTGTAAATCTGTTATTTTGAATTAAATATATGAAGTTAAATGTCATTGTAAATCACACATATAAAGTTAAATGTCATTGTAAATCACACATATAAAGTTAAATGTCATTGTAAATCACACATATAAAGTAAATGAAGTTAAATGTCTTGTAAATTACACATATAAAGTTAAATGTCATTGTAAATCACACATATAAAGATAATGAAGTTAAATGTCATTGTTAATTACACATATGAAGTTAAATGTCATTGTAAGTTACACAAATGAGGTTAAATGTCATTGTAAATTACACATATAAAGATGATGAAGTTAAATGTCATTGTGAATTACACATAAATTTAAATGTAATTGTAAATTACACATATGAAGTTAAATGTTATTGTTAATTACACATTTGCAGTTAAATGTTATTGTTAATTACACATATGAAGTTAAATGTTATTGTAAACTACACCTATGAATTTAAGATAAAGATAATTAAAAAAATTAAATGTAAAGCTGAGAAAGAAAATGTTTTGGTACTTAATCATAATGATAGATTTTATTTAATTTGAATGTTTTAGGTTCAGTTACCAGACAAGATAGTTATATATGAACTCTATTCTGATGACTCAGCAGACATGCATTACAAAGTGAAAGAGAAAATAAACAGGAAGTTTGAATGTAACCTGCTGGTTGTGTGTTCACAAAATATCATATTATGTCAGGTAAAATAACATGAGAAATAATTATGGACAACTGAGTAAACTGGTACTTGTCTGTTCAGGTGTTATACCACCAAATCATAGTACATCACATCCAGTTTCATACAAAAAAGGGGTAAAAAAAAACATTGCCTTGAATTTGACAGTTGTAGGAAATTAACCGTGCATTTCATGGCAGAAAAAATTTCTGAGTCATAAACATATATCTTGGATATTGCAAAGCACAATTCTTTTTTTATTTGGTGTTTCTATAAAATATTTTGGAAACTTGAGATGACATGGTTGCTAAAGCTTGTTAACAGGAAAAAAAGGGGTGAAAATTTGATTGGTTTACTTCCAGTGATGGTTATTATCTTATATGCAATGAAATGTTATGTGAAATTTTCACTAGTACTGGACAGGATAAAACTTTACTCATGCCAAGTGTTTCTTAATTTGAAACAAAGATAAATTCTGCACAATTTTTTGAAAATTGCCAATTTAACAAAGACTAATAGGGCCAAAATAAATAAATGGTGTGTTTCCGGTTTCCCGACCCTACCTCCGTTTCCGACGCCGACCCTAAACATTTTATTGACAAAAATAAAAATAAAAATTCAAAATCCGGATTTTTCAATCTGTCCGGATCCGATTATTTGTTTAGAATACTATTGATCTTCAAAGCGTTTGATAATAACGACCAATATGGATAAGTAAAGCGTTTCAAGGACCAAGATTTTAAATAAACAAGCATGGCTTTTTGGAAAACGTGTAGCGTATTAGCTGTCAAATATGCGAAATGTGTTCACATTGACGCAAAATATAATGACATCGATTCCGGATAATAACGATATGATAAATCTTTTTGAAGAACATCATGATGGACCTATAGACGAAAAAAATACGAAGTTGACGCACTTTGCTCAACAGTCAACTTCTTTGAACAGGTACAAGCGAGATTTTTTAAATATTTGTATATATAACGAATAGAGTATTCAGTATATATACATATATTAACAAAATCTCGTCTTGTACCTGTACTTCTTTGGACCAAAAGTCAGAATCGTTTCAGTTTGGACAGTAAAATGAGTTCAAATTTACTGCTAAAATCAATCCAGATTTTGTTGTAAAGCATGCTCTTACGAATGTTGTACAGAATTGTGCTCAGGACGCAACATAAACGGCTGTTAATGCTTTTTAGTTTATGATGGCCAGGGGACAGACAATGCTTTTTAGTTTATGATGGCCAGGGGACAGACAATGTGGAACAAGAAAGATGAAACTTGAGAAGCTTTCCCCAGTAGGCAGACATGGTGTATGATTCATATTCATTTATAAATAAATCTGCCCCAGCACCATGTCTACTTTTATTCTTTTTTATTTCTCTGGCTGGTCCCATAACAATTTATACAAGAAAAGGGAAAAAAATCATGTCATAATTACATCTGCAATTTATTTGACCAGTAGATTAATGAGGGTCGTAATTGGGGTACCTTCATGACGAATTGCCACGAAATAGAAGTTCCTTCATAATAGAAGTTCCAAATGGAAAAAGTGTTCTGGAATAAATAGTACAGTATATATGTTCCTAACGGAATGAATGGTATAGAATATTTGTTCCAACAGGAACAGATATTATGACATTGTTTATAACAAACTTCGGTTTTCAGTGGAACTTCTGTTAGGCAGAACAAATATACGTAAACAGAATAACGATAAAAAATAGATAAAATGTACACTTTCTTTTAGACGGTAAAAAAATCGACTGATTTTGAGGAATCACGTAAATTTTTTTCCAAAAATAACAGTAACGATAATTATTTGAGACCTCTGACCAAGGATTTGTATAGTATACAAATCATTGCTCTGACGAATCACGATAAGGATATTTTGACGAATTAAGGTAAAATTTTAACCAATTTGACGCTAACGGTAGCCGAAAATGACTGTTTGACGCCTGACGGTAAAGGGCATTACTACCCTCATTAATAAGACAAAGATTTCACATTCTCACTATTCTCAAAACCTGGAATTTTAATATTGTCAGAACCACCCAATCTTCAATCAACATCACATTCTGTCAAACATCAACCACATCTGTATATCAAATAAAGAGGGTGCAAGGGCAGAGTATTAACCCTCAAAAAATCATAATTAACTGCTGCTTAGCATCGGTTCACAGTGTTTTCAAGGGGTACTTATCTGCTTCCACATGTAAACCCTGTGTGACATTTACATTTTTAGGTTCAACGAGGCCCAACATAATAACATACCATGCCAGATTTTTCACTGCCATTTTTTATTTAAGATAATTAATTGGGAAGAACATACACTTTTCCTTTTACGACCAATGAAATGCATAAAATTTTCATTAAAGTTTATTTTCATATTTCTGAAGCAGAACAAAAACAGAAAATTAAAAAAGCTGTAGATATAATTACTATTCTAAATATCAAAGAAGCCCGCACATCAAACTATTTGATTTGGAACTTTTTTCTGCTGTCGACCCTTCAATAGAAAAAAAAAATAAAATGTTTTCATAAAATAAAATGTTTTACCTACCTACCCTACCTATTTTTTTTGGAGGTGAAATAGGAAACACACTATTAATTTATTTTGGCCTAGGGGAAAAACAATGGTGGTATTACACCTTCAGAGTAAATCAATTTTGCTTTTGGTTTCTGTACACCCAGAACTCATCATACTGTAAACTAATTTTTATGTATCTGGTCAATTATATCTTTAGACCAAAGAAGTGTGATACATTGTTTTATTTCAATTCTGTTTCTAATGTTATTGTTCTCCTATTGTGGACCTTAATTTGGAAGGTTTATAAAAAAAAAATAATGATTGGGTCAGTTTGTGCAATTAATTTCAGGTTGGCCGAAATAGTTTCATTTTCTTCAATTCCTCTGTCCATATCAAGAATTTGAATATGCATGATTGCTCGTTTTGAAGTGTAGACATTTACATTTGTGGGGTTAAATTTTTTATGTACGAAGTATAAATTGATTCTCTGTAATTTTTAATTCCATGAGAAAGCTTATATGGTGCGGCTTCAACAAATAAAAAAATCCTATTTTCAAACAATTTAAAAAAATCTCTGGAAATTCAGTTCTTTACAAACCTTTGATACGTCCATAGTTTTTACATCTGTATTATATTGTCTTCTGCTCTTCAAAAAAGGACAAATGGATAAGCTTAGTCAATTTTTAAAAATAGCACCATGTCCAATATCTTTGCACAGAGATTTTTTTACTTCTAATTATAGCTGTGTAAGATATTAAGTCAATTTACTTCAATATTTACCTGCCAGAATTTCCAGAACTGCCATATTTTGCCTATTTTAAAAAGATAATATTTCAAGTACTACCAACATATAGATTTAATGTTTGTCCTCAAGTATGCATGTTTGGATCTGAAATTTGTGTCTAGTGACATAGAATTTTGTTATTAAGCATAACGATGTATTACCTAAGGCTGTGCTTTAATTACCAGCATGCCTGGTGTATGAGCTGATATTTGACCTCAGGGCAAAATTATTTTTTTAAAAGTTTAAACTTGACCAGGCCAAACCTATTTTTTATATATAAACCAAAAGAGCATATGAAGTAAAAGTCAGTGAGACAGCCACCCACCAACACCATGAATATCATATAATTCAGACCAATCTGATAATTACTTTTCATGGGTAAGAGTACTTGGTACAGTTCTTGATGAAAGTATTAAAGGAGTTTTAACTTTGTTCATTGCATAAAGAAAATTGTTCCTAGATTATAAAAATATTTCAGACAACTGTAATATCAAGGAAAATTTTGCATTTGACCTGATGGGGACTTAGTATTGCTATGTTTTATGTCTTTCAGGACAAGAGATTACAGTGTTACTCATTCCAAGGTGTAAAGGAACGTGAATGGATGATGGAGTCCTTGATACGATATATCAAGGTCATTGGTGGTCCATCTGGTCGTGAAGGCCTTCTGGTCGGGCTGAAAAATGGACAGGTAAATTGTACTGTAGGTCCACATGGCAGAGAGGGGCTAATTGTGGGCCTGAAGGATGGACAGGTAGGGTGGTCTTTCTATATGTTTAGATGTGGCACCAACCTGTGTGGTCTTTGTAATAAGAAAATAACAGTAAGTATATGGACATGAAAACAGAGATCAGAATAAGTTTGACAGGAGTTAACAGGGATTTTAAATTCATTCTTCTTTTAATTAAGTGGAAAATATTAGATATAGATATTGCTGTTCTGTTAATAATAATTATGGTTCAAGTTTGTAAAATTTATAAAAGAAAAGAAACCAAAAAAAAAATGCAAATTCACAAGGGGTTCTATGCTTATTGTCTTGCCTCAACAAAGTCATGAAGGCAAGTCTCAGGTGTATTGTGTCAGCATTGGCATTGATGTCCACTGCATCTAGGATTGTTAAAGTTTGGTTTAGGTCTGTTAAGGGGGAACTTCTAATGGTAAGTAAATGATATATAACGGGCAGTTTTATTACTATTGGTACATTACTGTTTGGTCCTCACACCCTCAGTCATTGTCCATAGACTTTGAAACTTTGCAAAAGTTTCAAAATTTTCTTTGGTGAAAAACCATAATGAAATTAAATGAATAACTTATGATTCCTATTATATTTTAGTTTGCATTTAGTGCTGCTTATATTTCCAGCTTGGTCATGATGAGGAACTAAAAATGTATTGTGAAAGTGGACAAATTATTATTAACTATATCACATTAAGACTTGTGTCAGTACACTTTGCATGTAACAGCTTAGTCATACCTCATGTATTTCATTTTCATGTTCATGTTTTATCAAAAAAGATAAGAAAAATAAATCTAAAAAAAAAATGTAAAAAATCAAAGTGAGCAATGAACAAGACATTTTGTAATAAATAAAACAACAAAAAACTTTGATGGTCTCTTGCAATGATTGTTGCTTTTGTGGACACAAACATTTAAAACATTTATTATGAAGTAAGTTATTTTCTTATTATAAAGCTTTCTCTTTTCAGTTTTATAACTGTCAGTCTTGATATTTAAACAGATATACCTACATAATATGTTATCAATATATACATACACAACTAACATGTTAAATCATCAATACTCATGTGTTATATAAACTCTATTGAAATGTCTACCTGTTGTCTAAGGACGAGTCTACCTGTTGTCTAAAGACAATGTAATGTTTATTATAGGATGGCGGTAGCGAGGTATATCTGTTTGGTTAATGTGTTGGGAGTGATTCAGAATATCTGTTATAGTTCTGTATCCATAGTAACCTATGTAGACATTTCATCATCAAATTCATCATTAACTTTAAATCTAACCTCATTTCTTGTGTCTTTGATCTTTTAATTTCAAGAAACTGAAATATTTATATCAAATTTTATTTTCAACTCGTGTATTTCTTCAATAGATGTCTCATTAAATTGAAATTGGTTTTTTTTACATTAAAAAATGGAACTCATAACTATAACAGAAAAAGATTTAATGGTGGTCAGTATTTGGTGAAAAATGGGACCAGTTGTTTTTATTACTTATTAGTAGAGTGAAAAAAATCAAACACAACAGTTTGCAATTAGTATGCACAATATCTCTTTCTACAAAAAATAAATTCAATTCCACATTTTATAAATTGGAAATCCTATATGTGAAAAGCCTGAAAATTGAAAGAAGTAGGTTCCCAGTTTTCATTGTACAATGTGCTAAGGCTATGTATAGACTATAAGTCTAGTTAACAGTAGTTCTTAGATATCAAGTATATTATGTATCTTCAGTATAGTACATAATTAAATGGCATATTTAATAAATATACACAAAGCAACCACTATTTCAGTCTTATATAAAGCAGCTTTGTTTGATCTATTAAAGTAATTTTTATATGCCCTTTTACGGGACGTATTATGGTATACTGTTGTCCATCCGTCCGTCAACAACATGTCCGACAATAACTCAAAAACTCTTTAACCAATTTGCATGAAACTTTAGTGAATTGTTAATATCTATTGACGTGAGCTCCCTTTCGATTTTTATAAATTTTAGGATTTTCCAGTTTTCGGACAAAATCCTCAAAAATTCTTTGAGCAGTTTTCGTGAAACTTTGGTGAATTGTTTTTATCTATTGACGTAAGCTCCCTTTCGATTTTTATAAATTTTAGATTTTATGTTTCCGAATTATGGTATTTTATTCATAAAAAAGGGGGGATTTTCCAGTTTTCGGACAATAACTCAAAAGTGCTTTGAGCAGTTTTCATGAAACTTTGGTGTCTGGTTTATATCTAATAAAATAACCTCCCTTTAGTTTTTTATGAATTTCTGATATGACATTGAGGAGTTATGGAACTTTATTCTTTGAAAAAGCAACGTGCGTATCATATGCTCATGGCGCAGCTCTTTATTTTAGATTGCAAAGATAAATATATAAAACAAAACAGAACACTTCCTAATGTTTTTATCACCTTTTACAATCAGAAATCATTTAATAACATTCTTCCCAGCTTAAAATATTTTTTATGCCCCGTCATGGATGAAGGCCACATTAACACAGATCAAATTTGAATTTGGGTGGTTTCACTTTCACTGTTCTTGTGTTATGCCCCTTTATAAATGAAAAATTGACGAATATGCTGTTTTGCGTACTCATCATACAGAAACAAATGTCATTAAGTTTCAAAGAAAAGAAAATGTCAAGAGGCTTGAATTAGAACATTGACTCTTGCATATTTAAAAACAGGGGTATTCTTCTTATAATTTTAACGATCAAAAGAAAATACATTTTGTACAATTTATCAATACAAAAATGGCAATACCAATAACCAGTTATTGGCATAAAGATTGCGAGCAATGGGATCAAAACCCTCATGTCACTATCTTAGTAGATATATCTTCAAGACATCATCTCAACTTTAGCCTTTATCCTGTATTAAAACATATTGTTTGCTGTGATTTCTTTATATTTTATTTCTTTTTTGTAAAACTTTTGCAGTATTTAGTCAACTCTGATCTATTTATTATCAAAATTAAGTTAACCTGTGCATTGTAGGTTTTGAATAATGCTCAATAAATCAAACCAAGAACTTTGTGATTCGGTTATCCCCCTTGTCTAAATTTTACGCCTCATTTTACCTATTTTGGAATGTGTTTGCACAATGAATGAAGGAGAGTTCTTATTTGTGTGACAGGTGGTGGAAAGTTGGGGAACTAATTGTGTATTTAACTCCTCTTATGGTTGCAATCCTGATCCTTAGAAATTTGAATTTCATTGTATAAAAGGGGCGTTTATTTTGTATACTACAATTTTGTTACATGTATAAAAACATTTGAAAGTATAAAAAGATACAAAATACAATTGGCATGTTTTCTATATTATGCTATTTACATTAACCTCTGTATCAAGGTATCTAAATGAATCAATACTCTTGTCTTGACTTGTGTAACCGGAAAAGAGAAGTTTGCCCTTCATGATGCATGAAAAGACAAATTTCAAAGAATTGATCACATACCTGCCAATTTTTTCAAACTCTCCATCAGCAGTTCAATCTAACATTATATGAGCCAGCCCATGCAAAAAGGTATAAAAACAAAATTCTAAAAATTGTGCATAATTATTGCTAGCACACTTGTGATCTATAAAACACTGTTACTTTTCCTCATACAATTAAGCTGCAAGCTATACACACCTTTCAGTGCTTATAACCCTCTCTCCCCCACCCTGTCTAAGTACAAAAATTCAGATATCTCTACGTTTTTTTCCATTTTAACTGACAAAGGAGAAGGGGCTATAATGGCCAATATTGGCCTCAATTTCGAGAATTTTTCAAATTCTACTTATTCGTATGTGTATGGCTTTCTTTTTGCGTTGGACATATTCATTTTATGAAAAAAATGTTTTTTTGTAGTTATGACGTCACAATGCTGTGTTTTGACATCACTTCACGTGCATATTTGCTGGCTTTTCGCAATTTTTTTGTCATTTTCACTAAGTTTTTTTACGAAAAAAGTACCAGCGCATTCTTGCCCCAACAAAATATTTTGTCAGAGCCATAATATCAACAAAAAGCATCTTATGTTGAAATATTTTCATGGGGCAAAGCTGCGCTCATACTGAATTTCAATTAAAAACTTGCTCAAACCGGCATCAAAAATCTAAAATTATCGTCCGTTTTTCATATATACCGGTACGCAAATTTTGTCAGACTAAGAGTTGACCAGGAACAGATGTATTTTTTTAACAGAATTTTTTGTCAATGGTTGATAACAATAAAGTTTGGCTATAGATAGTAAATAACAAAGTGTTTGTCTTCATTTTTTTTTGGTATATATATATATATAACATAGCCTCTCAAGCATAGCCTAGCCCTTGCGTATATTTTTTGTAAACGATTACGGAACTGACGCACGGAATTTTACTAGAGCTGTTGTTAAGAAGCTTTTTATAGCGGAATAGAAATCAGCGTATCATTCGTTAAATACTTGATATTACCAGACAGAATTGAAAGAACTTAATATAATTTAAAAGATGTGATCATATTTTTGAAAATGGTGGAATTCGTACTCCGTGAAAGGTAAGTTATGCATAAACTACACCATGAACATGTCACGTAAATTCTTCCATCTTTTCATATAATTATCTCTAAGAAAAATCGAAATAAAAACAAAATTTTAATTATATGATTTATTTTCTATTAATTGCTTCAAAGTTATTCAAAATTAAGTATTTAAAACGGAACACAGATTACTAAGCACGTATAAAATTCCACGGCACAGCAGACGAAAACTTCATTTTCATTTTGCACGTCTGTTTGGTAAAACAAAAATAATTCAGACCATGACATAATCAACAATTATGAAATGGCCATATCAATGATATAAACAATTAAGTTGAATCGTAAATAAGTAGTAAAGAAATGAAAACGAAATAATATTGTTCCGTCCGTTTATGAATCAAAATGATAAATAAGAGTTATTAACGTTATGTAGTTAATGTGGCAGTGTGGTTCATATCGCCTACACGCTACGTTAGAAAGATAAGGATTTACGTTCGAGTCTCATCTTGACCAAATTTTTTTTTCATCGTTTCGTAATTTTTTACATTTGTCGTTTTAAATCATATTATCATTTATCAATAATTTTGTAAAGACACCTTAAACAACAAAAAATTAAAAAAAAAAGATAAATAAAAGTATATACCCGAACTTTGTTAATTGTTAATTCTCAAGCTACATGTACTATAGTATCATTATCGACAGATTTGCACGTGTTTTACCCATGAAGAAATGGTATATGTGCTAAAGAGGAAAGTTCCTTCTGTTGACTTTCATGATAGATATGAAAAAAGAAACAAAATCAACATGCACCAATATATATATAAAGACGTGATTTTTTTTTTTATTTTTAGACATAAATGGATTCTGCAGACAGTGGACCTAAATTATTACATGATAATTTCCTTGTAGAATTAAAAATGAGTAAGTATCTATATAGTTTTATGCAATCGATTATTTGATACTGAGTGCAGAAGATTAATAGTTCAATTACAAGCATTGCGAAACCAGATTTAAAATTAGATATTTATGCGCAGCATCCAGAAGTAAAAGTATAAAATATGGATTACATTATGTTATAGTCTGAAAATGTATGAAATATTTGCCACTGGATGTCAATACATTCATTTAATATTCATATAACCAAATACATCAATGAATTTGACAACTTAGAATGTTATTTCTACTATGGAAAATCTTATGAAAATTTCATGTGATGCACTGGCTTGCATAATCTACGCTATTAAGAAGAGTGGAAGACAGAGTTTCATCTTCAAAGGAGTTTATTATATTTGATCTAAATTTTGTGTTATGTGAATAACAAACATCAAACATAAAACCTCAACATGACTGTTACTTAAAAAAGCAATTTATGCTGAACAGTCATTACAGTACCGGGCTTGTCTTATGTCGAAAATGTTCTGGTTTTTTCTGTAGTTGGTTTGCTGTCTTATTTATTCGCCTCCCCATTTAATATGGCTATTCTGCACAACACATTGTAAAATGTATTCCGCCTATATTCATAAACGGTTATTTCTTTTCTTTTCTTTACAATAATAATTATTAAATTTAATCATGTTATTTCACCAATATTCTTTTAGCACAGGCTAATGTTAGATTTTGCAAAACAGTTAACTCATATATATTTAACAAAAACAGATTGCAATGAAATTGTTTAGGAGTTGAATAGATTTTGCAATTGAATGTACCAAATATTAATTGTATCCTCTTATGTTGTTTTTTTTTTCAGAATGGACATCATAAGAAAGGGACGAAAAGATTTTAAATGCATATTGTGTGAAAAAAGAACAAAACCTGGAAAAAGAAGACCTTTGTGTGGAGAAGCAAATAAAAATCTGCGCAATTTTCTTAGTAAGAGTTTCCTTGTTTTACCTAATGATGATGACGTTATATGTGATACTTGTCGACGGAAATACTACAGAGAAGAGCAAGCACAAGTAAATACACCAACTGTTCTTACAACTGATACAAATACAAATGATCCTGATTTTATGCCACCATCCGCACCTAAAAGAGCAAAATTAAGTTCTCCTTTATCAATATCGCTTCCTATTTCTTCAACAATTAAAGGTCATGCACAATGTTGTCTTTGCAAAAAGCGTGGTCCAAAACTTATGGTTGTTCCCCAAGAAGCACGATTTAACACATTTTTGGAAAAGAATATAATTATTCCTGCCGGATCACGTTGCTGTCCTCGTCATTTATGTACTGAAGGTTTTACAAAAGAAGCTAACGAAGACATAACAAGTGTGTATACTGTTTCTGACTTCAATCGCAGCGGACTACTTGAATTGATCGATACAATTAGAGAACATGCTTTAAAAAATAAAAACGCTAGAATTGACTTTGATAAATCTTCTTCTTTAAATGACACAGATTTTCGAAATTTGACTGGCTTAACAATAACTGATTTTGAAGACTTATGTTCTCACATTCCAAACTCAGCTATAAGAGATACTCGAGTACGAAGCATGAGAACATGCATTGGTATATTTTTGACCAAACTTCGTTCGGGGATGTCTAATAAGATATTAGCAACTTTGTTTAATATAAGCAAAGATTCTATCAGGAAAGCTATATCATCCGCAAGAGATGCAGTTAAACAGCACTTTGCACCAAAATATTTAGGTTTTGATCATGTATCCAGAGAAAGTGTTATACAAAACCACACTCGTCCACTGGCACAAACACTATTTGGTGATATCACAAACACAACTGCTATACTCGTAATTGATGGTACTTATATTTACATACAAAAGAGTGGACAATTTAAATTTCAACGTAGTACATATAGCATGCACAAATACCGCAACCTGATTAAGCCAATGATGTTTGTAACTACTACTGGATACATTGTAAGTGTGATTGGACCCTACCTTTGTAACAGCAAAAACAATGATGCCAAAATTTTGAACTCAATTTTTAAAAATAACTTGGAGAAAATTAAGGAATGGTTTGAAACAAATGATGTTGTTGTGGTTGATCGGGGATTTCGGGACAGTATTGACCTCTTAGAAGAATTTGGTATTCAAATTAAAATGCCAAGCTTTCTCAAACGTAACGAGAAGCAACTTTCGGTTGAAGATGGTAACACAACACGTCTAGTAACAAAGATCCGCTGGGTTGTTGAGTCCGTTAATGGTAGAATCAAGCAGTGGCGATTGCTTGACAAAGTATTACCCAATTCCCTTATACCGTATGCTGGTGAATATACACGTTTTGTCAGTGCCATATGTAATAAGTATAGACCACCACTTAATTCTGGTAATGAAACTGAAGACCTTCTCTTAGGTACAAAAATGCTTCACATGTCAAAGAAGAAAAATGAGCTCATGGAACGAGTATCAAATGAAAACTTGCATTCCAGAAGTGGTAGGTGGCAAAAAATAGACGGCAACGATTCAGTTGAAGATTTTCCGAAGCTATCGGAGGATGACATCAGGGACATAACGCTCGGTGTATACCAGCTTAAACTAGCTAAGAGTTATACTGAGGAACATTTAGAAAATGACGAATACTATGAAGTCATGCAACAGGGACATCAACTCATTAGGGTTAGAATGGCAAGTAGGCATACAAGCAGCAAATCGCATAATCTATGGATTACATACGATGACTGCTGCATAAAGGCTTGGTACTGTACTTGCAAGGCCGGAGCTCGAATTGTTGGCACTTGTAGTCATATTTCCTCAGTGATATGGTTTCTCAGTTTTTACCGGCATCAAAGTTGCAAAGGAAATCAAGCAAAGCAATGGAGGGACTATGTCCATGATGCTAATCAGCCGGAAGTCATTGATGATAGTGACAGTGAACCCGAGGAGTAAACATTAAACATTTGTATTCTATACTGAACAATTACTTGGCCATATAGGGCATATCGTATAATGTCAATTTTGTTTTGTATGTCATTGTTGGAAATGAAACTAACGTACGTCGGTATCAGGGTACCACTATGTGGAATATTAGCAACAACTGTCAATTTTATATAAAAAAACAGCAGTTAAAGTGTTTTTGCCTGATATATACATGTACTTCCTTTAACATTTCTAAAGCAAAAAACAAATGTCAAATATGATGGCTTGACTGAGATTTTTTCTAAATTTTTTAATGGTGATACTTAAGAAGTTTTTCCATTATATTTAATATTCAATCATGCTTAATTTCAGTACGGAAAATCTTAAACAACAATTGAAATGATTTTAATTCAAGTTTCATGTGTATTTGCAGATGTCGAATATAGAAGGGAAGACATTTATTGCAATAGTTAAATTGGTAAATTCGAACACTGAATTGTTACACCAAACTGGCATAATTATTATTGATAGCATAATACCTGAATTTGTGATAACTGTTGCTTAAAAAAAAATCATAATCATTGTCTAGTAAGACGAGTTTCTTAAATCAACAGTTTTGTTGATCTGATATACTATCTCCTGATGTAGCACTTGTAACCTTGGCAACATTTAAAAAAGGAAGGTTGAGGTAATAAAAAAATGGGGTGGGGGTGGGGTAGGGGGATGCACATTATATTTTTTAATTTGATATGAAGAACATGTGAAATGTTTATAAAGATAAACGTGCTAAGAATATTTCAGTTTTTAAGAAGGTTGAGAAGTTGTTGAAATGTATAGTTTATGAAATTGCGAACTTTATTCATATATTATCTCTATACTAGTACTGTACGATTTAAATGTTATACCTTCTTTGTGTTTTTATCAACAGACTACATAAAAGTACACACAATACTCATTTTGGTAATTCAAGGTAAAAGAATACACAAACAATACTTGCTGATTCTCTCTTGTGAAAAAAATTCTGTAATTTAGCCATGCATAGAACAAAATGTTAACTTTGTTGTTACCATAGCAACTATATTACTGATATTAAATAGTTAAACTTTATATCAACTTTGTTCTTCATTGTATTAATGCAATGTTACACTAGTAATAATGTATTCACGTTGATTATTTAAGGTTTAATCTATTGTAAAAAGTACACAATTCATAAAAAAAGGATAAAATATGCAAAAACCTGATATTTTAGCTTAGTCGGCATACCATTTTTATGACGTCATAACAAGAAAACGGCAAAAGATAACTATTAAATCCTTGGTGTTTTATAAGCTCCATATCATAGATATCAATTGAAAGAAATATCAATAGATTTGGAAGTGGGGCCAATTTTGCCCCTTAGAGCCCCTTCTCCTTTGGGGACAGAATTGACCATTTTATGAATATTGACATTAATACCATTTTTTACAGATAAATTGTTTTTAAAAAATGTTTTAATGAAGTTTAACAATTTGTCCTGTAAAGTTTATCAAAAACACTTTTTGTACCTTTTAGCATGGAGTGGCTCATACGGTTTTGAACTATTATTTATATACTGAAATGTATTTTAACTCATTTGGATGCCTGTTTTAAGGTATTTTGTTGTTAAGTCAGCACTTATGTGGGATTCCCCTATAAACCAGGAAAGTTTTCAGGTCTGGATTGCATCATCAGCTGTTTCCACACAAAACTAAACTGATATATATATTTCCAGATAATGAAGATATTTGTTGACAATGCATTCCCGATCATGTTACTTAAGCAGAGTACATCTGTCAGATGTTTGGATATGAGTGCTACCAGAACCAAGTTAGCTGTCGTTGATGAACACAATACATGTCTTGTGTATGATCTCAACACTAAAGATTTACTCTTCCAGGTAAACTTTCGTTTAAATATGACAAAATTTACTGGCAATATGTATTTAAATTGTGTTTTAAATATTACTTTTGGAACATTCTTGCTCATAAGCATAGTTGTAGTGTTTAAGTCATTATTTCATGTTTGTTCATATAAAGGTCATTGTAAATTGTAATGAAATGTATAGTTGTTTTATTAGATTTTTCTCAATTGATAATTTTGAATTACTATTGATTTGAGGTAATTGTCTGTTGCTCAAGGAGAAATTTTTCATGAGATGGTTTAAGGTTAATATCTAGGTCATAACACCTATTGGATTCAACAAGGGTATATGAAGGAATATTCATATTAAGACAAATAAAACAAATTATGTTTATTTTAACAAAAACGTACATTATAACATATTGTACCCACGTTAAACTTAAGAAATGTATTCCAAAACAAACTTCCTCTCAAATTTGTTGACTAAAAGGAAGTTAAGAATTTGCAATGGAAAATTATGTTCGAGTAAAAACATTTAAGATTGTGAAAATTTTAAAAATATGACTGAACTACTGATGACTCAAACAGTTTTTGTTTCTTTGAGAATTTTGAGCCATGGATGTTTGACTGTGTCTATGTGATATTGAACCTAAAAACAATATCATTTAAAAAGGCATCTGCTGTAAAACAAAAAATCAAACAACATTGAGATCAAAGTACAGTTTCATCTATTTATAAGTGTCTATATATATATATTCCATCTTCATGCCTTATATATCATGTACTGTGTTACAACGCTAGATAAAAACTGACAAGGAAAGGTAACACCCGGCCACCGAAAGCTTGATTTTAGTCGAGCCTAGGTGGTCGAGTGGTCTAGCGAGTCGACCTTAGTGCAAGGCGATTTGGTGCCACAATATCTCAGTAGCATGAGTTCGAATCCCGGCCATGGGAGAACAAAAAATTTGCAGATCTAACATTGTTGGGCTGTTATTTAGATGAATTATGTATACAGAATGTTGATTTTTTTCCCCAGTCAAACATATGAATCTATTACAGTTGGCTGTTATTCAATGCTATGTAATTATTTTTATGTTGACACCAAAACTTTTCATCATATATTGACAGGAGCCCAATGCTAACAGTGTTGCCTGGAATACTCACTATGAAGACATGTTATGTTTCTCTGGGAATGGTTTACTTAACATCAAAGCTAGTAACTTTCCTGTACACCAACAGAAATTACAGGTAAGAAATCAGTTGATATATAACATCAAAGCTAGTAACTTTCCTGTACACCAACAGAAATTACAGGTAAGAAATCAGTTGATATATTACATCAAAGCTAGTAACTTTCCTGTACACCAACAGAAATTACAGGTAAGAAATCAGTTGATATATAACATCAAAGCTAGTAACTTTCCTGTACACCAACAGAAATTACAGGTAAGAAATCAGTTGATATATAACATCAAAGCTAGTAACTTTCCTGTACACCTACAGAAATTACAGGTAAGAAATCAGTTGATATATAACACCAAAGCTAGTAACTTTCCTGTACACCTACAGAAATTACAGGTAAGAAATCAGTTGATATATAACATCAAAGCTAGTAACTTTCCTGTACACCTACAGAAATTACAGGTAAGAAATCAGTTGATATATATAATCAAAGCTAGTAACTTTCCTGTACACCAACAGAAATTACAGGTAAGAAATCAGTTGATATATAACATCAAAGCTAGTAACTTTCCTGTACACCAACAGAAATTACAGGTAAGAAATCAGTTGATATATAACATCAAAGCTAGTAACTTTCCTGTACACCAACAGAAATTACAGGTAAGAAATCAGTTGATATAGAACATTAAAGCTAGTAACTTTCCTGTACACCAACAGAAATTACAGGTAAGAAATCAGTTGATATATAACATCAAAGCTAGTAACTTTCCTGTACACCTACAGAAATTACAGGTAAGAAATCAGTTGATATATAACATCAAAGCTAGTAACTTTCCTGTACACCTACAGAAATTACAGGTAAGAAATCAGTTGATATATAACATCAAAGCTAGTAACTTTCCTGTACACCTACAGAAAATACAGGTAAGAAATCAGTGTAGAAATTGTGATGTACCAATGGAAGTTACTGAAAATTATAAATTTCCTCTGTGTGGATTACCCTTTTAAAGTTTTTGTTTCTCTGATTCCGTGTAAGGTAAACGGGTTTCACCATAAAAATAATGCACTATAAAGAATATCTAAACATGTCTGTATGACATTATTTTACAGTAGTAAAATTGGTTGAAATACTTTAGGGAAACTTTTTTTTCAAAATCAAATGATGTCATGCATGAATTTACAGTTTTCTTAGAAGTTCCCTTATAGACAGTAGTCCTTCAGAATGGTATCAAAAGACTTAAACTTTAAAATAATTTACTGTTATCTTTTTCATGATGTTTTCCTTCAGTAAAAATGAAAAATGACTGATATGTACTTACACAATAGTGGAAATTAAAGTTTTTAACACAGATGTGTCATGGCTTTAACTATTTTCCTATTTCAGGGTTTTGTTGTTGGGTTTAGTGGATCTAAGATTTTCTGTCTCCACGTGTATTCCATGTCATCTGTAGATGTCCCTCAGTCAGCACCTATGTATCAGTACCTTGAAAAGAAACATTTCAAGTAAGACTTTTAAACCTCGTTCACATCTCATTAAAGGTATCTTTACCACAGCTGTTGTTGATAATGTAATGGTTTTTTATGCTGTTTGAAAATCATAATTTTATGATGGAGCACATGACATATTCAACTGGACAGTTATTTTATACAGTAACTACATTTTTTCGTTTATTTTGATTTTAATATTAAAGGTTATAATTTGTCGACATCATAATGTCAAATGTTCAATGGTTTTATTCAGAACCTATTTCCTTAACTGTTAAACTGAATGCAATATGTGTAATCTTTTAAACGAATCATAAAAGAGTATTGAAATAAAACAATTAGATAAAACAAACTCTATGGATTTATGATATTTTACCTAATACACTACAGGTACATTAGCCTTTTTCCACCTGTCCACATTGGTATTGAGGACAGAATGGACAAAACTTCTAGCTTGTTTATTTCCCCCCTTCATAGGGATTGACATGCTGTTTCTTTTTACTAATTATGAAACTTTTATGTACAATAAATATATAGTCAAACACTTGTTTTGTATTTGTTTTCCTTATTTTCACAAAATAAGATCAAGAATTGACTTGACTTGGGCTGTGGATTGCCCACTAGATCTGTAGATAAGTTTATAAATAGTTTTGTTCTTGGCTTATTTCTTTTTTGTTAACTTTACAGGGATGCATATAAAGTTGCTTGTTTAGGGGTAACAGAAGGAGATTGGGAAGCATTAGCTCACGAGGCCCTTGAAGGATTAGATTTTGATACTGCAAAGAAAGCGTTCATTAGGATTAGAGACTTGAGATATTTAGAACTTATACACAGTATAGAGGTAATGAAAATTCAGGTTTTACTTTATCAGAATATCATGCATCTTATTGCTGCGAATTATAAAACATCTGTAGATTATAAGACACAAATTGTTATTCACACAGAAAATAAACTTTGAAGTAAGATCAGGAAAGAACAGGTGTAAAATAAACTTTATGGATATATATGCTACAAAAACTGGAAATTCAGAAATTGCTGCGATTGGTTTTATTATTGTGAAAATTGCAACAGGATAGGTTGTGCAAAAAATAAAAACTGTATAAAGTTTTGATAGCAAATATTTGTATACAACATTTTCTGTAATGTTATAATTGATTTCACATTTTGTCCATTGTTCAACAGTCAATATAATAAATGAGCACTAAAATTTCTGAATTTACAGTTCTCATTGAAGAAATTACAGTTCTCATTGAAGAATTTACAGTTTTCATTGTAGAATTTACAGTTCTCATTGAAGAATTTACAGTTTTCATTGTAGAATTTACAGTTCTCATTGAAGAATTTACAGTTCTCATGGAAGAATTTACAGTTCTCATTGAAGATTTACTGTTCTCATTGAAGAATTTACAGTTCTCATTGAAGAATTTACAGTTCTCATTGTAGAATTTACAGTTCTCCTTGAAGAATTTACAGTTCTCATGGAAGAATTTACAGTTCTCATTGAAGAATTTCAGTGATATTGTTGTCTTTTTTCAAAACTACCTCTACCGTTTTTTATTGGGAAAAATGCATATTTTTTATTGAAATTGGGAAATTTGTATATTTTATTCTAAACACATCTCCGATTTTTTGCTGACCTTTGCTGTCTTTTTTGCACTGTTGTTTTCATGTATATTTTGGTTGTCAGACATTTTCAACCTGAAAGGTACTTTTCGGAGAGGGGAAAGAAACAGAAGCAATGATGGTACTTAATGCATTGAAAACCACATGTGTTACAAACACCATGATGATTCTGATCAGAAAACCGGATCTCAAAAGTGCTTTCTAATATCAAAATAATAACATGAATACGATATTTACAAACATTTCTACCAATGCCATCACTTTTTGGGGAAAATGAAAAACTTTATGGGAGGAATTTTAAGCCATTTTTTTTAGTAATTGGGAATTTTCTCTAGGGGAAAAAGCCGAATTTCGGCTGTAATTTGAGGCAAACAATATCACTGAATTTACAGTTCTCATTGAAGAATTTACAGTTCTCATTGTAGAATTTACAGTTCTCATTGAAGAATTTACAGTTCTCATTGAAGAATTTACAGTTCTCATTGTAGAATTTACAGTTTTCATGGAAGAATTTACAGTTCTCATGGAAGAATTTACAGTTCTTATTGAAGAATTTACAGTTCTCATTGAAGAATTTTCAGTTCTCATTGTAGAATTTACAGTTCTCATTGAAGAATTTACAGTTCTCATCTCATTGAAGAATTTACAGTTCTCATTGAAGAATTTACAGTTCTCATTGAAGAATTTGTAAGCATTTTTACAGTTCATTAAAAGATTTATTTTTCTTTGTTTGTAGGAAAGGAAGAAGAGAGGAGAGAATGACAACATGATATTCCTTGCTGATGTTTACAGTTACCAGACTAAGTTCCATGAAGGAGCCAAGCTATACAAAAAAGCTGGACAGGAACAAAGAGCTATGAATATGTATACAGATCTCAGAATGTTTGATTTTGCTAAGGTATCCAATATGTCAAGTTTGGAGCTTTTTATTTTTTCTTGTTTTGTTCAGTTATTTTGCATGTCTACAGTGTCTGTCCAGAAAAATATCTGTATAACTGGTAAACCAGTAAAAACTGGCAATTCAATTTTAATGATAATGGAAGTGATTTTTGTAAATAAGAGAGAGTATCTTTCTCCTTCCAATGATATGTTAGTGCATAGTCATTTTATCTAGTAACTAAAAGGTATACAATTATGTGTATCTAACTGTGTAAATGTTACTGAATGTTTTCCTCATTTGATACTCTTTTATCAACAAGTTTGAGTAAATAGTCAAATGTTCTATGATTTATCTAGAAAGTATTTCTTTGCGATGGTAAAACTGATTGTGTGTATAAAAATATAAAACAGGTAAACTTCTACCCTAAGTAAGTTAGACATGTTTATTTTAGGAATACATTGGTTCTGGAGATCCATTGGATAAGAAGATGTTGATTACTAAACAGGCAGACTGGGCCAAGAGTAGCAATGAACCTAAAGCAGCCGCGGAAATGTACATCTCAGCTGGAGAATTCTGTAAAGCTATTGATATTATAGGGGACCATGGCTGGGGTGACATGTAAGTGTAATAATTAATAAAATGGCCAAACATATTATTCAATGTGGTACATATGTATGTTTTGGGTTTTATGTTTTTAAGGTTCCATTTAAGAAAATATAATCAGTGAGTCACTTCTACTTAATTATCAATTAGATTATAAGAGTCCATTTTCTTTAAAAGAAAAAAAATCTGCTCATTTTGATAGCAGATTGAGACATGAATTGTTTTTGTTCTGTTGCAAAGGACTTTAATATTACTTACCATGCCGTACATTATTATATATATAATTATTGTATTATGATTATAGGTTGATAGACTTAGCCAGGAAGTTAGACAAGGCAGACAGAGAGGCATTATCTAGAGCAGCCATGTACCTAGCTAAGTTAGAGCAATATCCATACGCTGCTGAAGTCTATAGTAAGATGGGAGACATTAAATCTCTCATATCACTCCATGTAGAAGCTAAACACTGGGAAGATGTAAGTGCATCATTAAATCTCTCATATCACTCCATGTAGAGGCTAAACACTGGGAAGATGTAAGTGTATCATTTAATCTCTCATATCACTCCATGTAGAGGCTAAACATTGGGAAGATGTAAGTGTATCATTAAATCTCTCATATCACTCCATGTAGAGGCTAAACACTGGGAAGATGTGAGTGTATCATTAAATCTCTCATAGCACTCCATGTAGAGGCTAAACACTGGGAAGATGTAAGTGTATCATTAAATCTCTCATACCACTCCATGTAGAGGCTAAACACTGGGAAGATGTAAGTGTATCATTAAATCTTTCATATCACTCCATGTAGAGGCTAAACACTGGGAAGATGTAAGTGTATCATCAAATCTCTCATATCACTCCATGTAGAGGCTAAACATTGGGAAGATGTAAGTGTATCATGAAAATCTTTCATATCACTCCATGTAGAGGCTAAACACTGGGAAGATGTAAGTGTATCATTAAATCTTTCATATCACTCCATGTAGAGGCTAAACACTGGGAAGATGTAAGTGTATCATTAAATCTTTCATATCACTCCATGTAGAGGCTAAACACTGGGAAGATGTAAGTGTATCATCAAATCTCTCATATCACTCCATGTAGAGGCTAAACATTGGGAAGATGTAAGTGTATCATGAAAATCTTTCATATCACTCCATGTAGAGGCTAAACACTGGGAAGATGTAAGTGTATCATTAAATCTTTCATATCACTCCATGTAGAGGCTAAACACTGGGAAGATGTAAGTGTATCATTAAATCTTTCATATCACTCCATGTAGAGGCTAAACACTGGGAAGATGTAAGTGTATCATTAAATCTCTCATATCACTCCATGTAGAGGCTAAACATTGGGAAGATGTAAGTGCATCATTAAATCTTTCATATCACTCCATGTAGAGGCTTAACACTGGGAAGATGTAAGTGTATCATCAAATCTCTCATATCACTCCATGTAGAGGCTTAACACTGGGAAGATGTAAGTGTATCATTAAATCTCTCATATCACTCCATGTAGAGGCTAAACATTGGGAAGATGTAAGTGTATCATTAAATCTCTCATATCACTCCATGTAGAGGCTAAACACTGGGAAGATGTAAGTGTATCATTAAATCTCTCATATCACTCCATGTAGAGGCTAAACATTGGGAAGATGTAAGTGTATCATTAAATCTCTCATATCACTCCATGTAGAGGCTAAACATTGGGAAGATGTAAGTGTATCATTAAATCTCTCATATCACTCCATGTAGAGGCTAAACATTGGGAAGATGTAAGTCCACAAAGCTGAACAATATTAGCCCTATTATATCCCCACACTAGGAGCGGGGCTATATTGCATTCATCTTGTCTATCCATCCTTCTGTTGGTTTGTCAATTGAATATTTTCATCACACTTTTCTCAGGTACAACTGAACTTATGATGGGGTGAGAAGCTGTAGCAATCATTATTACACTATTTCATGGAGAGGTTAATAAATTTGACAAATATCTGATGCATTTACTACAGTGAATAAATAGATAATCTGATTAGTTTCAGATACTTTTGATTCTATCTCCATTTGAATTTTAAGAATAGTCAGACAAGGCATTTTAAAGTTATTAACCCTGAAATGAAAATTTTTTGCACATTTCGAAGTTTTTGGTTTTTATCTTGAAAATTAAAAAAGATAGAGAGCATTTTTAACAGTAAAAATGACCAGAACAATAAGATCTACAAGTAAGTCAGCATAGAAGAAATCATCAATTGACCCCTTATAGGAGTTATTGCTTTGAAAGACAATTTTTACCTATTTTTTGCAGATACTATAATTAAATGATAGAAACTGTAATCAGCAAAAATGTTCAGCAAAATAGGATCTACAAAATTATCTAGGAAATTGTAAATTGACCCCTTATAGGAGTTATTGCCCTTGAAAGATAGTACTTGAGAGATCAGTAATAATGTTTTGTATTGTTGAATTTCAGGCATTCACATTGGTAGAGAAACATCCAGAGTATAAGGAGGAAGTTTATGTTCCGTATGCACAATGGTTAGCAGAAAATGACAAATTTGAAGAGGCCCAGCAAGGTTTTTTACTCTTATTTATTCTTTAATTGAATTTAATTAGTAGGCATTAACTGACATTTTTTGAAGATAGAAAACATCTTCCCATACCTATTGCTTTTAATTCAGCGTAATCTGTTCCACCATGGTCCCTTTTATAGTACAGTCAAATCTGCTATAAAGGTCACCTCGTATAAGTGAAAACCTGTCTTGGCAGGTCACCCTCTTCCTATCCAGCTGTAGTCAAATCTTTTCAAATCAAAGGTTGCCTCTCTTATAAAGTCAGTTTTCTCTTGTCCCGAGGGTGACCTTTATATGTAGGTTTGATTGTTTTTGGAATATATTTTTGAAAACTTGATGACAGAATCTGGTGAATCTTTGACAAGTCTAATAAATATTAACATCACTAGAAACAGAGTGAAAACCGTCCAAGTTGTACATTTTTGTCGAGCCTTCGACTTTAGTCGAAAAAGCGAGACATAGCGATCCTACATTCCATCGGCGTTGGCGGCGGCGGCCACAAATATTCACTCTGTGGTTAAAGTTTTGGAAATTTAAATAACTTTCTTAAACTATCCTGGATTTCTACCAAACTTGGACAGAAGCTTGTTTATGATCATAAGATAGTATTCAGAAGTAAATTTTGTAAAAATAAAATTCCTGTTTTTCCGTATTTTACTTGTAAATGGACTTAGTTTTTCTGCTGGGAAACATAACATTCACTCTGTGGTTAAGTTTTTAAAATTTTAATAACTTTCTTAAACTATCCTGGATTTGTACCAAACTTGGACAGAAGCTTGACAGAAGATCATAAGATAGTATCCAGAAGTAAATTTGTTAAAAAAATATTTCATTTTTTCCGTATTTTACTTATAAATGGACTTAAAATTTTAATAACTTTCTTAAACTGTCCTGGATTTGTACCAAACTTAGATTGAAGCTTGTTTATGATCAAAAGCTAGTATCTAGAAGGAAATTTTGTTAAAATTTTGTTAAAATTTTGTACCTGTTTATCCGTATTTTACTTATAAATGGACATAGTTTTTCTTCCAGTTAACATTAAATACAGTCTGCAGTTAAAGTTTTTAAAACATTTATTAGATTCATAAACTATCCTGGATTTATACCAAACTTTGACAGAAGCTTCTTACAATCAAAAGATAGTATCTAAAGGAATATTTTTATTGATTTTTTTCCTCATTTTTGTTGAGCCTGCGATTAAGAGCAAAAGTAGGCGAGACACTGGGTTCCGCGGAACCCTTACGAATTTTTTTCAAGCAAGTGTTAAAAGTACTTCATTTTGATATTTTTAGCTCATTTTGTTCATTCATGAACTGGTTACATACATCAGAGTTATTGGTATACAAATAGAAAATGATTGCATGTACTGATTTATTTCTGTATGTTTCAGCCTTCCACAAAGCTGGACTTCAGACAGAGGCTGTGAAGGTGTTAGAACAGCTTACCCACAATGCAGTGCTAGAGAGTCGATTCAATGATGCTGGATATTACTTTTGGAAACTTTCCATACAGTGCATAGATATTGCTCGAGGTAAGAAATATCATATGTTAATTTATCTTTATTATTGAAATTAAGAAAAGATAAAACATTATTTAATAGGTGAAGTTCAAATGTCATTTACATTTTGTTATTCTAAGAAATTTCATCAGTTTTAAGAACATTAACAGGAAGGTCTCCCGTTATTAGCTTGTCGTAAGTTACCCAGATTTACTGTATGTTTTAAACAATAATCTGTTTGAAAATGCTTCACTATTCCCCTAAGAATGAGGAGGACTTAGAATGCATCACCTTGATCACTAAGTCTATTTTCATATTTTACAGAGGAATCAGATAAAAGAGAAGAGATGTTAGAGAAATTCCATGACTATCAGAGAAGAGCAGACATGTATTTTGCTTACCATTCTATACAGCGGTATACTGTAAGTCTATTTTCTGTGAATGCTAGCGTATATTGATATCAGAGAATAAATAAATTACTTATGATAATACATGGTGTAATAGTATAACACTGTCTGTGTTAGGTATCTTCTGATAAGTTGTATGTACAGGTTTGACTGTACCTTTTCTTACTTGATTGTTATTTGTGTAGCTTGTTTTTATACGACCACGGTCGTATATTGGTATGACGTTGGCGTCGATGTCCGAAGACACATTGGTTTTCGCACTATAACTTTAGTTCAAGTGAATGGATCTCTATAAAATTTTACCATAACATTAAATACCACAAAAGGAAGGTTGGGATTGATTTTGGAGGTTATGGTACCAACAGTTAAGGAATTAGGGGCCAAAAAGGGGCCAAAAATAAGCATTTTCTAGTTTCAAGACAATAACTTGTGGAACGGTGTATGGATCTCTCTGAAATTAAACCACAAGTTTCCATACCACAAAGGGATGGTAAGGATTTGCTTTGGGGGGTCATGGCTCAAACCGTTTAGGAGTTAGGGGCAAAAAAGGGGGGAAAAACAAGGTTGTCCTGGTAAATGGACAAATACTTTAGTACAAAACACAATTTAAAACAGTGTAAGGGAGGTAATCCAAATACAACATTTTGATTACTTCCCTTACACTGCTTTGAAATTATGTTTAAAGAAATGCATATTTATAAAGGAAGACCAGTAAAAATATCTGCAAATGTTGCATCTTTTTTTTTTTTACAAAAAAATCAATATGAAAGATTTGACACCATATTTTAAATTCTATTATAGAATAGATTAAGTTAGCAATATGGTAATTTAAATGGGTAATTATGGTTGCAAACTCCATTGGAAATTTGAATTGAGATTATGACCATATATTGAGGGAAAGATTTTTTTGGGGGGAAAGGGGGGGGGGGGGGGGTAAAAAGAAAAATGTTTGGGGTCAATTTTTTCTCATTTCAGATTTCAGAAATTAAAAAGAATTATTCTTCAAATATTTTTTTTTTTTCAAATTTCAAATATTGAAAAATTTCAAGAAGTAATCTTTAATTGCACAGTATGGCACATTAGATTTGTAAAATCTTTGACCACATTTATTTTTTTGTTATGCCGAATCTGACCGTGTATTTAGATTTTTAAATTTGGGTCCAGTTTTCAAATTGGTCTACATTAAGGTCCAAAGGGTCCAAAATTAAACTTGGTTTGATTTTAACAAAAATTGAATATATGGGGTTCTTTGATATGCTGAATCTAAATATGTATTTAGATTTTTGATTTTGGACCCAGTTTTCAAGTTGGTCCAATTTGGGGTCCAAAATTAAACTTTAAACTTGAGAATGGAAATGGGGAATGTGTCAAAGAGACAACAACTCGACCATAGAGCAGACAACAGCCGAAGGCCACCAATGGGTCTTCAATGCAGCAAGAAACTCCCGCACCTGGAGGCGTTTGATTTGAACAAAAATTGAATATATGGGGTTCTTTGATATGCTGAATCTAACCATGTATTTAGATTTTTTATTTGTGGGCCCTGCTATCAAATTGGTTCATATTGAGGTCAAAAGGGTCCAAAATTAAACTTTGTTTGATTTCATCAAAAATTGAATTATTGGGGTTCTTTGATATGCCAAATCTAACCGTGTATTTAGATTTTTAATTTTGGGTCCTGTTTTTTAAATTGGTCTACATTAAGGTCCAAAGGGTCCAAAATTAAACTTAGTTTGATTTTAACAAAAATTGAATTCTTGGGGTTCTTTGATATGCTGAATCTAAACATGTGTTTAGATTTTTGATTATGGGCCCAGTTTTCAAGTTGGTCCAAGTTGGGGTCCAAAATTAAACTTTGTTTGATTTCAACAAAAATTGAATATATGGGTTCTTTGATATGCTGAATCTAACCATGTATTTTGATTTTTGGGCCCCGTTATCAAATTGGTCCACATTGAGGTCAAAAGGGTCCAAAATTAAACTTTGTTTGATTTCATCAAAAATTGAATTCCTTGGATTCTTTGATATGCTGAATCTAACCATGTATTTAGATTTTGGATATTGGACCATAATAGATAAATTAAAATTTTTAAGTTCTTAGACCACATTCATTCTGTGTCAGAAACCTATGCTGTGTCAAATATTTAATCACAATCCAAATTCAGAGCTGTATCAAGCTTGAATGTTGTGTCCATACTTGCCCCAACTGTTCAGGGTTCGACCTCTGCAGTCGTATCAAGCTGCGCCCAGCGGAGCATTTTATTTCTTGTAGGTACAGGTTTGACTGTACCTTTTCTTACTTGATTGTTATTTGTGTAACTTGTTTTTCCTTGTAGGTACAGGTTTGACTGTACCTTTTCTTACTTGATTGTTATTTGTGAAGCTTGTTTTTCCTTGTATGTACAGGTTTGACTGTACCTTTTCTTACTTGATTGTTATTTGTGTAGCTTGTTTTTACTTGTATGTACAGATTTGACTGTACCTTTTCTTACTTGATTTTTATTTGTGTAGCTTGTTTTTCCTTGTATGTACAGATTTGACTGTACCTTTTCTTACTTGATTGTTATTTGTGTAGCTTGTTTTTCCTTGTATGTACAGGTTTGACTGTACCTTTTCTTACTTGATTGTTATTTGTGTAGCTTGTTTTTCCTTGTATGTACAGGTTTGACTGTACCTTTTCTTACTTGATTTTTATTTGTGTAGCTTGTTTTTCCTTGTATGTACAGATTTGACTGTACCTTTTCTTACTTGATTGTTATTTGTGTAGCTTGTTTTTACTTGTATGTACAGGTTTGACTGTACCTTTTCTTACTTGATTTTTATTTGTGTAGCTTGTTTTTCCTTGTATGTACAGATTTGACTGTACCTTTTCTTACTTGATTGTTATTTGTGTAGCTTGTTTTTCCTTGTATGTACAGGTTTGACTGTACCTTTTCTTACTTGATTGTTATTTGTGTAGCTTGTTTTTCCTTGTATGTACAGATTTGACTGTACCTTTTCTTACTTGATTGTTATTTGTGTAGCTTGTTTTTACTTGTATGTACAGGTTTGACTGTACCTTTTCTTACTTGATTGTTATTTGTGTAGCTTGTTTTTACTTGTATGTACAGGTTTGACTGTACCTTTTCTTACTTGATTGTTATTTGTGTAGCTTGTTTTTCCTTGTATGTACAGATTTGACTGTACCTTTTCTTACTTGATTGTTATTTGTGTAGCTTGTTTTTCCTTGTATGTACAGGTTTGACTGTACCTTACTTGATTGTTATTTGTGTAGTTTGTTTTTCCTTGTATGTACAGGTTTGACTGTACCTTTCTTACTTGATTGTTATTTGTGTAGCTTGTTTACTTATCTATTGACAGTAATATTTATACCCCGGCTTTAAAAAAGTGGGGGTATACTGTTTTACCACTGTCTGTCCGTCCATCCATCCATCTATCTATCCGTCAGTCCGTCCGTCCGTTCGTCCATCCCATGAATATGTTTCGTCACATCTTTCTCAGGAACTACATAACAAGGATTTCTGAAATTTGGTTTAAGGGTTTATATGAGTCACCTTTACTGTGTGATGCGTTTTCAGAATCATCACTCAACAACTTCCTGTTTACCTTATACTTTTAGCAGGGCGGGGGTATCATTAGTGAGCAGTAGCTCACAGATTCACTTGTTTATGCTGTATGTTTGTTGTATATTTCAGGATGAGCCTTTCACATCACATTTACCTGAAGCCTTATTTAATATATCCAGATACCTTTTACATATGATGCAGGGAGGAATTCCTTATGGTATATCCAAAGTGTATCCTTTGATATCTAAGTAATTAAGAGTGTCTGTTTAAACTCAACTGCAAGTTAATGTGCCTGCTCCACCTTGTCAGTGTTTACTCAATCAAACATTAATGTGCCTGCTCCACCTTGTCAGTGTTTACTCAATCAAACATTAATGTGCCTGCTCCACCTTGTCAGTGTTTACTCAATCAAACATTAATGTGCCTGCTCCACCTTGTCAGTGTTTACTCGACCAAACATTAATTTGCCTGCTCCCGTTGTCAGTGTTTACTCAACCAAACATTAATGTGCCTGCTCCCGTTGTCAGTGTTTACTCAACCAAACATTAATGTGCCTGCTCCACCTTGTCAGTGTTTACTCAACCAAACATTAATTTGCCTGCTCCACCTTGTCAGTGTTTACTCAACCAAACATTAATGTGCCTGCTCCACCTTGTCAGTGTTTACTCAACCAAACATTAATTTGCCTGCTCCACCTTGTCAGTGTTAACTCAACCAAACATTAATGTGCCTGCTCCCGTTGTCAGTGTTTACTCAACCAAACATTAATGTGCCTGCTCCACCTTGTCAGTGTTTACTCAATCAAACATTAATTTGCCTGCTCCACCTTGTCAGTGTTTACTCAACCAAACATTAATTTGCCTGCTCCACCTTGTCAGTGTTAACTCAACCAAACATTAATGTGCCTGCTCCTGTTGTCAGTGTTTACTCAACCAAACATTAATGTGCCTGCTCCACCTTGTCAGTGTTTACTCAATCAAACATTAATTTGCCTGCTCCACCTTGTCAGTGTTTACTCAACCAAACATTAATTTGCCTGCTCCACCTTGTCAGTGTTTACTCAATCAAACATTAATTTGCCTGCTCCACCTTGTCAGTGTTTACTCAACCAAACATTAATTTGCCTGCTCCACCTTGTCAGTGTTTACTCAACCAAACATTAATTTGCCTGCTCCACCTTGTCAGTGTTTACTCAACCAAACATTAATTTGCCTGCTCCACCTTGTCAGTGTTAACTCAACCAAACATTAATGTGCCTGCTCCCGTTGTCAGTGTTTACTCAACCAAACATTAATGTGCCTGCTCCACCTTGTCAGTGTTTACTCAATCAAACATTAATTTGCCTGCTCCACCTTGTCAGTGTTTACTCAACCAAACATTAATTTGCCTGCTCCACCTTGTCAGTGTTTACTCAACCAAACATTAATTTGCCTGCTCCACCTTGTCAGTGTTTACTCAACCAAACATTAATTTGCCTGCTCCACAAACTTTAATAGATTTATTTTGACCTTTGCCAGACGATAAGTTAAACAATAGGTCAATTGTAATTAGTATAAAGAATGATTGATAATATTAAGTTTATTTGAGACCTGTAGTAAAAACCTTCATCTTTAAGCCTTTCAACATCAAATTTAATCATGTTTAGTAAAGCAGGCAAGACATTTCAGCTCACATTGCTTTTGGATACGGGATAATTGTAATTTTTCTTATTTTCTGACCATATTCACATAAATACTTTATTTATCTATAAATACTATATACATTAAATTTTTCAAGACAAAGTGTTAAATCACAATTATGTGGATGGAATATGAAGTTTATGGTGAGAAGGAACAATTTTAAATTACATTTGAGCCTTAACATTGAATCAGTGGCACATTATATGCTCTAGCCAAACAGAGTAAAAACTTAAATGGATTTAAACTGGCAAGATATGCTTATGAGAAATTACATACACTGAGGATTCCTAGCAGATTTCAGGAGGCAGTGGATCTAGGCAGTGTTATTATAAGATCTAAACCATTCCAGGATGCTGAGGTATGTGATACAGTATCATAAATCTATGTTAAAACCATTCCAGGGTGCTGAGGTATGTGATACAGTATCATAAATCTATGTTAAAACCATTCCAGGATGCTGAGGTGTGTGATACAGTATCATAAATCTATGTTAAAACCATTCCAGGATGCTGAGGTAATTGATACAGTATCATAAATCTATGTTAAAACCATTCCAGGATGCTGAGGTGTGTGATACAGTATCATAAATCTATGTTAAAACCATTCCAGGATGCTGAGGTATGTGATACAGTAACATAAATCTATGTTAAAACCATTCCAGGATGCTGAGGTATGTGATACAGTATCATAAATCAAACCATTCTAGGTAAGTCTATCTGGTGACATGATGGCTTAAGGTAATTGTTTGCATAAAATTATAATGATTGCAAATTGTTGATTCAAATAAATTAATATATTTTGCTCAGAATATTGATTACACTAATAAAAGAAGAAACATCAGTCAAAACATATGAAAAAGGAGGCAGATTAATTATTGATGAGTTCATTTTATATGGTTCATATTTATTAACTGTGGAATCACTGATTTTTGTGGAAAATAGTAGATATTTGATTTTGTGGTTTCCCAAAGTCTGTATACAAACCTATAGAAAATGTGTACCTTGTTGAACATTTAACTTCCTGGTTTACCTTTACCCACAAAATCCACAAAAATTGGTATTCCAAGAATAAAACTATGAATACACACTATTTTATTATACGACCGCAAAAAAATTTTGTGGTCGTATATTGGTATGACGTTGGCGTCGTCGTCGTTGTCGTCCGGCGTCGTCGTCGTCAGAAAACACATTGGTTTTCGCACTCTAACTTTAGTTTAAGTGAATGGATCTTTTTGAAATTTGACCATAAAGTTAAATACCACAAAAGGAAGGTTGGGATTGATTTTGGGGGTTATGGTACCAACAGTTAAGGAATTAGGGGCCAAAAAGGGGCCAAAAATAAGCATTTTCTAGTTTCCAGACAATAACTGTGGAACGGTGTATGGATCTCTCTGAAATTATACTACAAGTTTCCATACCACAAAGGGATGGTTAGGATTTGCTTTGGGGGGTTATGGCTCAAACCGTTTAGGAATTAGGGGCTAAAAAGGGGGAAAAACAAGGTTGTCCTGGTTAATGGACAAATACTTTAGTACAAAACATAATTTAAAGCAGTGTAAGGGAGATAAATCAAATACATCATTGAAATTATCTCCCTTACACTGCTTTTAAATTATGTATAAAGTAATGGTTAATGAACAATAAAGATAATTTAAAACAGTGTAAGGGAGGTAATCCAAATACAACGTTTTGGTTACTTCCCTTACACTGCTTTTAAATTATGTTTAAAGAAATGCATATTTATAAAGGAAGACCAGTAAAAATATCTGCAAATGTTGCATCTTTTTTTTTACAAAAAAATCCATATGAAAGATTTGACACTATATTTTTAATTCTATTATAAAATAGATTAAGTTAGCACTATGGTAAATTTAAATGGGTAATTATGGTTGCCAACTCCATTGGAAATTTGAATTGAGATTTTGACCATATCTTGAGGGAAAGAATTTTTTGGGGGAAAAAAGGGGGGGGGGGGGATAAAAAGAAATTGTAGGGGGTCAATTTTTTCTCATTTCAGATTTCAGAAATTAGAAAGAATTATTCTTCAAATATTATTTTTTTTTCAAATTTCAAATATTGAAAAATTTCAAGAAGTAATCTTTAATTGCACAGTATGGCGCATTAGATTTGTAAAATCTTTGATCACATTTATTTATTTGTTATGCCGAATCTAACAGTGTATTTAGATTTTTATACGACCGCAAAAAAATTTTATGGTCGTATATTGGTATGACGTTGGCGTCGTCGTCCGAATACATATTGGTTTTCGCACTCTAACTTTAGTTTAAGTGAATGGATCTTTTTGAAATTTGACCATAAGGTTAAATACCACAAAAGGAAGGTTGGGATTGATTTTGGGGGTTATGGTACCAACAGTTAAGGAATTAGGGGCCAAAAAGGGGCCAAAAATGAGCATTTTCTAGTTTCCAGACAATAACTGTGGAACGGTGTATGGATCTCTCTGAAATTATACTACAAGTTTCCATACCACAAAGGGATGGTTAGGATTTGCTTTGGGGGGTTATGGCTCAAACCGTTTAGGAATTAGGGGCAAAAAAGGGGGAAAAACAAGGTTGTCCTGGTTAATGGACAAATACTTTAGTACAAAACATAATTTGAAGCAGTGTAAGGGAGATAAATCAAATACATCATTGAAATTATCTCCCTTACACTGCTTTTAAATTATGTATAAAGTAATGGTTAATGAACAATAAAGATAATCTAAAACAGTGTAAGGGAGGTAATCCAAATACAACGTTTTGGTTACTTCCCTTACTCTGCTTTTAAATTATGTTTAAAGAAATGCATATTTATAAAGGAAGACCAGTAAAAATATCTGCAAATGTTTTCATCTTTTTTTTTTACAAAAAAATCCATATGAAAGATTTGACACTATATTTTTATTAATTCTATTATAAAATAGATTAAGTTAGCACTATGGTAAATTTAAATGGGTAATTATGGTTGCCAACTCCATTGGAAATTTGAATTGAGATTATGACCATATCTTGAGGGAAAGAATTTTTTTGGGGGAAAAAGGGGGGGGGGATAAAAAGAAATTGTGGGGGGCCAATTTTTTCTCATTTCAGATTTCAGAAATTAAAAAGAATTATTCTTCAAATATTATTTTTTTTTCAAATTTCAAATATTGAAAAATTTCAAGAAGTAATCTTTAATTGCACAGTATGGCGCATTAGATTTGTAAAATCTTTGATCACATTTATTTATTTGTTATGCCGAATCTAACAGTGTATTTAGATTTTTAATTTTGGGTCCAGTTTTCAAATTGGTCTACATTAATGTCCAAAGGGTCCAAAATTAAACTTTGTTTGATTTTAGCAAAAATTGAATATATGAGGTTCTTTGATATGCTGAATCTAAACATGTATTTAGATTTTTGATTTTTGGCCCAGTTTTCAAGTTGGTCCAAATTGGGGTCCAAAATTAAACTTTGTTTGATTTCAACAAAAATTGAATATATGGGGTTCTTTGATATGCTGAATCTAACCATGTATTTAGATTTTTTATTTGTGGACCCCGTTATCTAATTGGTTCATATTGAGGTCAAAAGGGTCCAAAATTAAACTTTGTTTGATTTCAGCTAAAATTGAAATATTGGGGTTCTTTGATATTCCAAATCTAACCGTGTATTTAGGTTCTTAATTTTGGGTCCTGTTTTTTAAATTGGTCTACATTGAGGTCCAAAGGGTCCAAAATTAAACTTAGTTTGATTTTAACAAAAATTGAATTCTTGGGGTTCTTTGATTTGCTGAATCTAAACATGTGTTTAGATTTTTGATTATGGGCCCAGTTTTCAAGTTGGTCCAAGATAGGGTCCAGTATTTAAACTTTGTTTGATTTCAACAAAAATTGAATATATGGGGTTCTTTGATATGCTGAATCTAAACATGTATTTAGATTTTTGATTATGGGCCCAGTTTTCAAGTTGGTCCAAATTGGGGTCCAAAATTAAACTTTGTATGATTTCAACAAAAATTGAATATATGATGTTCTTTGATATGCTGAATCTAACCATGTATTTAGATTTTTTATTTGTAGGCCCCACTATCAAATTGGTTCATATTGAGGTCAAAAGGGTCCAAAATTAAACTTTGTTTGATTTCATCGAAAATTGAATTATTGGGGTTCTTTGATATGCCAAATCTAACCGTGTTTTTAGATTTTTAATTTGGGTCCCGTTTTTTAAATTGGTCTTCATTGAGGTCCAAAGGGTCCAAAATTAAACTTAGTTTGATTTTAACAAAAATTGAATTCTTGGGGTTCTTTGATATGCTGAATCTAAACATGTATTTAGATTTTTGATTATGGGCCCAGTTTTCAAGTTGGTCCAAGTTGGGGTCCAAAATTAAACTTTTTTTTATTTCAACAAAAATTGAATATATGGGGTTCTTTGATATGCTGAATCTAACCATGAATTTAGAATTTTATTTGTGGGCCCCGCTATCAAATTGGTTCATATTGAGGTCAAAAGGGTCCAAAATTAAACTTTGTTTGATTTCATCAAAAATTGAATTATTGGGGTTCTTTGATATTCCAAATCTAACCGTGTATTTAGATTTTTAATTTTAAGTCCCGTTTTTTAAATTGGTCTACATTAAGGTCCAAAGGGTCCAAAATTAAACTTAGTTTGATTTTAGCAAAAATTGAATTCTTGGGGTTCTTTGATATGCTGAATCTAAACATGTGTTTAGATTTTTGATTATGGGCCCAGTTTTCAAGTTTGTCCAAGTTGGGGTCCAAAATTAAACTTTGTTTGATTTTAACAAAAATTGAATATATGGTGTTCTTTGATATGCTGAATCTAACCATGTATTTTGATTTTGGACATTGGACCATAATAGGTAAATTAAAAAAATTCAAGTTCTTAGACCACATTCTTTCTGTGTCAGAAACCTATGCAGTGTCAAATATTTAATAACAATCCAAATTCAGAGCTGTATCAAGCTTGAATGTTGTGTCCATACTTGCCCCAACTGTTCAGGGTTCGACCTCTGCGGTCGTATCAAGCTGCGCCCCAGCGAAGCATTTTATTAATTTTTGGGTCCAGTTTTCAAATTGGTCTACATTAAGGTCCAAAGGGTCCAAAATTAAACTTTGTTTGATTTTAGCAAAAATTGAATATATGAGGTTCTTTGATATGCTGAATCTAAACATGTATTTAGATTTTTGATTTTTGGCCCAGTTTTCAAGTTGGTCCAAATTGGGGTCCAAAATTAAACTTTGTTTGATTTCAACAAAAATTGAATATATGGGGTTCTTTGATATGCTGAATCTAACCATGTATTTAGATTTTTTATTTGTGGACCCCGTTATCAAATTGGTTCATATTGAGGTCAAAAGGGTCCAAAATTAAACTTTGTTTGATTTCATCTAAAATTGAATTATTAGGGTTCTTTGATATTCAAAATCTAACCTTGTATTTAGATTTTTAATTTTGGGTCCTGTTTTTTAAATTGGTCTACATTAAGGTCCAAAGGGTCCAAAATTAAACTTAGTTTGATTTTAACAAAAATTGAATTCTTGGGGTTCTTTGATATGCTGAATCTAAACATGTGTTTAGATTTTTGATTATGGGCCCAGTTTTCAAGTTGGTCCAAGATAGGGTCCAGTATTTAAACTTTGTTTGATTTCAACAAAAATTGAATATATGGGGTTCTTTGATATGCTGAATCTAAACATGTATTTAGATTTTTGATTTTTGGCCCAGTTTTCAAGTTGGTCCAAATTGAGGTCCAAAATTAAACTTTGTTTGATTTCAACAAAAATTGAATATATGGGGTTCTTTGATATGCTGAATCTAACCATGTATTTAGATTTTTTATTTGTGGACCCTGTTATCTAATTGGTTCATATTGAGGTCAAAAGGGTCCAAAATTAAACTTTGTTTGATTTCATCTAAAATTGAATTATTGGGGTTCTTTGATATTCCAAATCTAACCGTGTATTTAGGTTTTTAATTTTGGGTCCTGTTTTTTAAATTGGTCTACATTGAGGTCCAAAGGGTCCAAATTAGTCTTAGTTTGATTTTAACAAAAATTGAATTCTTGGGGTTCTTTGATTTGCTGAATCTAAACATGTGTTTAGATTTTTGATAATGGGCCCAGTTTTCAAGTTGGTCCAAGATAGGTTCCAGTATTTAAACTTTGTTTGATTTCAACAAAAATTGAATATATGGGGTTCTTTGATATGCTGAATCTTAACATGTATTTAGATTTTTGATTATGGGCCCAGTTTTCAAGTTGGTCCAAATTGGGGTCCAAAATTAAACTTTGTTTGATTTCAACAAAAATTGAATATATGAGGTTCTTTGATATGCTGAATCTAACCATGTATTTAGATTTTTTATTTGTAGGCCCTGCTATCAAATTGGTTCATATTGAGGTCAAAAGGGTCCAAAATTAAACTTTGTTTGATTTCATCGAAAATTGAATTATTTGGGTTCTTTGATATGCCAAATCTAACCTTGTTTTTAGATTTTTAATTTGGGTCCTGTTTTTTAAATTGGTCTTCATTGAGGTCCAAAGGGTCCAAAATTAAACTTAGTTTGATTTTAACAAAAATTGAATTCTTGGGGTTCTTTGATATGCTGAATCTAAACATGTGTTTAGATTTTTGATTATGGGCCCAGTTTTCAAGTTGGTCCAAGTTGGGGTCCAAAATTATATTTTTTTTTATTTCAACAAAAATTGAATATATGGGGTTCTTTGATATGCTGAATCTAACCATGTATTTTGATTTTGGACATTGGACCATAATAGGTAAATTAAAAAAATTCAAGTTCTTAGACCACATTCTTTCTGTGTCAGAAACCTATGCTGTGTCAAATATTTAATAACAATCCAAATTCAGAGCTGTATCAAGCTTGAATGTTGTGTCCATACTTGCCCCAACTGTTCAGGGTTCGACCTCTGCGGTCGTATCAAGCTGCGCCCCAGCGAAGCATTTTATTTTCATAACATTAAGATTTTCCATTTTTTTCTTGTGATAAGTTATTGTACATAAACTAATGTTAGCTGCATTATATTTGATTTTTGATTTAGAACACTGAATTATTCACAATAACATAGTCAACACTCATAACTTTGGCAACTAGAAGGGTATAAACAATATCATTGCATCATACCATCACAGATAATATTCATTCCAATAATTTTGATTTTTGCAGGAACTATTACCGATGTGCTATAGATGTTCTACTACCAATCCTTTGCTGAACAATGGAGGAAATTTCTGTATCAACTGTAGACAGCCTTTTGTTCATTCCTTTGTTTCATTTGGTAATTTTGAGTTGAGCTAGTTTAAAAAATGTGTGAGACATTTTCAGTATTTGCTTACATGTAAATTGGAAAGCAAAAGAAAATTTCTGTATTTATATACACCAAATATTATCTTTAATAATAATAATAAAGCAACAGGGATTAAAAACCACTTTGTTGCAGTGAAGCATTTCTACTTCCAAACAAGGGTAATAGCCTACTTCAAATTATAATTTTAGAGTAAAATTCATGATTTCGGAGATGAGTTTCGAGAACTGACTATATCAATCCAAGAATTAAATATCTGTTTTCATGAGTTCAAATTTCATGAAAAAATACAGCACAAATTGGAAGATATTTTATACTTTTAACTATTAATATCTTGGATAATAATGACATCATCACACCAGAAATTGCTTTTATGATTTCTTTTCTTCAGGCATATATATTTTACTCAGTTACTGATCGAATTGTTCAAATTTTGTGTCCAAAAATGGGTTGTATCACCTCAACCGTTTATGTTATTCCAATAATTTTGACCTTGTAATTATTTCATACAACAGAGGTCTTACCATTGGTTGAGTTTGTGATAGAAGAAGGAATCACGGATGAAGAAGCTGTGCAAATTTTAGATTTATCTATACCTAAAGAGAAGAAAGAAGAGAAGAAATGGCATGAAAGTCGTATGGGGCGTATCCTTTATAATAGTTTTAATAAATGTTTCACAGTTCTGAAATGTTCTATTACTATAAAATGTTCAATAAAAAACGATTCTTGAATTTTTTTCAGGAATGACTGTAATATATTTTTGTCTATGAAGAAATAACATCAAAAATGTGATGCACACTGAATAACCCATGTAGCATGTTATTTAAAAGTGTGCACCACATTTTTTAAGTTATTTCGAATAGACAAAAAAAAATATTACAGTTATTCCTTATTATTTAATTCTAAATTCCATTTTTAAGGAGTAAATCATGAAAAAAACATTGATGACGTCACGGTCACATGACAAAATTATGTCTATGAGCTGATAGACCAAAAACTTTCAGCCAATCAGAAGACCTGTTGAATCCAAAATTAAATTATTGATTAATAAAAATTTAAATATCTTGAAACATTGTTTCAATCCATAAATTTTGCGACACTCATTTAATATTTTGTTCAATTATTCCATTCATTATTCTTTGGTAGAAAGAACTCATCACACAATTAATAATTTATGAAAATTTCATTTCATATCAAGCTATAGGGAGTGGTCTTTTTCACTTTAATGATTTGTATTTAATAAATAGAAGCAACTTATTTTTCCTTAACATGATATAGAGGCTCAAACATTGCGACTTGGTGATGAAGCAGATGAACCAGAGGAGGATGATCCATTCACAGCTAAACTACATTCTTTTGAAGTAAGTACATATACTTTAATGTGATGTAATTCTAAATTGCCATATTGGAGGCTTAAGTGCACAAATTCCTTCATAAATCAGCCAAATTCATTGTTATAGTGACCACCAGACTTAAGAAAAAGTTGTTTTCTGAACAATTTATACACTTTTGGCATTGCTTAATTCATCACTACAATCTAGTAAGGATCTCTTATCAGACTTGTGTGTATAGCATGTTTCAATCTAGTTGGTAAAATAATAAAATAAACCATTTATTCCTCCAGAATCGAGGCCAAGGGATATTACTCACTCAAATTACATCATATCGAAATCTATCTATTTGTATAAAGTGGGCAAAGCACTTTTCTGTAAGAGAACATGAAAATTATTTCAGAGAAAAAAAAGAAGTAGTTGTAGTAAACACAATACCATAAGGTACAGAATATTTATAGTAGAGTCAATTAAATATGAATAATAGCTTAGGGAGAAAATGATGTTACAAAATTAAGAGGGAAGAATAGGAACAGATAAACAGACAAAAAACACTTTACTTACTCCACTTCAATAAGTCAGAAAAAAAGGGTTAACTCTGAGAAATTAGTCCACCATCCAACAGCGAAACAATCCATTTATATTTTATACTACATGAAGTTTCATACACTTTCTGTAAAAATTAAGTTGAAACAAACTTTTCATTTACCCTTGACAAAATTAATTGATAGTAAAAAGAAATTAATATCAAATTAGTCATAACTACAAATTTGATTGTATACTCATTTATGCTTAATTAATTTCTATCAACTTGTTTACATATCATGTATGGTTTGAGTAAATTAATCTCTGAATAAAATCAGAAAAAAATAGTTCTTTTTATTAAGACTGTTAAGTGATGTTTGTATAATAAAATGATTTTATTGTTTTTCAGCAAGGAGGAACAGAATTTAAGCCTGTTAGAGTTACACGATCTGTACTCCAGTCATTATCAAGATCTGAAGTTTACGTTCTAAAATGGCCCAAACCTTTAAGATACCAATTCTTCAAGTCTTTACTACCTGATGTTACAATAACACAGTGTCCATTCTGTCATAAGGTAAATATCAATATATCTACAACAAAATGGCCCAAACCTTTAAGATACCAATTCTTCAAGTCTTTACTACCTGATGTTACAATAACACAGTGTCCATTCTGTCATAAGGTAAATATTAATGTATCTACAACAAAATAGGCAGGTAGTCTTAAATGCTAAAATAGGAAATGAAAAACATACTCAATGTGTAATACAGGTTTTAATACTCATCTACCACAACCAGTTCTTTATGGAACAGCTGAAAGTAATTCAGTCGGGTAAATATTTAACCAAAGATGAGTGTATAGTTTACAATATCAATTACATATAGATTCTACCACTAGATTGAGTGTGATGCAATATTTTCCCACTCAAGACAGTTAAATTTTCAAATTTAAAATCTGAGGCTTGCCAAGCATTTAAATACTTAAAATTGAACTTCTGAGAGTGGAGAAATGTCTTCTTGCACGAGATTTGGTGGAAGAATTTGTTTCTCTAATGATTTTTAGACAATTTGCAGACAAACTTAATCCTTCTTTTCCAATGATCTGCAAAAAGATATGTTCTTTCTATGTAATGTCATCAATCATGGTCACCTTTTTAGCTCACCTGGCCCGAAGGGCCAAGTGAGCTTTTCTCATCACTTGGCTCCGTCGTCCGTCGTCGTCGTTAGCTTTTTACAAAAATCTTCTCCTCTGAAACCACTGGGCCAAATTTAACCAAACTTGGCCACAATCATCATTAGGGTATCTAGTTTTAAAAATGTGTCCGATGACCCCGCCAACCAACCAAGATGGCCGCCATAGCTAAAAATAGAACATATGGGGTAAAATGTAGATTCTGGCTTATATCTCTGAAACCAAAGCATTTAGAGTAAATCTGAGACGAGTAAAACTGATTATCAGGTCAGGATCTATCTGCCCTGAAATTTTCAGACAAATCTGACAACCTGTTGTTGGGTTGCTGCCCCTGAATTGGTAATTTTAAGGAAATTTTGCAGTTTTTGGTTATTATCTTCAATATTATTATAGATAGAGATAAACTGTAAACAGCAATAATGTTCAGCAAAGTAAGATCTACAAATAAGTTGTCATGACCAAAATTGTCAGTCGACCCCTTTAGGAGTTATTGCCCTTAATAGTCAATTTTTAACAATTTTTCGTAAATTTTTGTAATCTTTTACAAAAATCTTCTTCTCTGAAACTACTGAGACGAATTTAACCATACTTGGCCATAATCATTATTAGGGTATCTAGTTTAAAAAACTTGTCCGATGACCCCGCCTTCCAACCATCATGGCCGACTTGGTTAAAAATAGAACATAGGGATAAAATGCAGTTTTTATACGACCGCAAAAAAATTTTGTGGTCGTATATTGGTATGACGTTGGCGTCGTCGTAGTCGTCGTCCGGCGTCGTCGTCGTCGTCCGAATACATATTGGTTTTCGCACTCTAACTTTAGTTTAAGTGAATGGATCTTTTTGAAATTTGACCATAAGGTTAAATACCACAAAAGGAAGGTTGGGATTGATTTTGGGGGTTATGGTATCAACAGTTAAGGAATTAGGGGCCAAAAAGGGGCCAAAAATGAGCATTTTCTAGTTTCCAGACAATAACTGTGGAACGGTGTATGGATCTCTCTGAAATTATACTACAAGTTTCCATACCACAAAGGGATGGTTAGGATTTGCTTTGGGGGGTTATGGCTCAAACCGTTTAGGAATTAGGGGCAAAAAAGGGGGGAAAAACAAGGTTGTCCTGGTTAATGGACAAATACTTTAGTACAAAACATAATTTAAAGCAGTGTAAGGGAGATAAATCAAATACATCATTGAAATTATCTCCCTTACACTGCTTTTAAATTATGTATAAAGTAATGGTTAATGAACAATAAAGATAATCTAAAACAGTGTAAGGGAGGTAATCCAAATACAACGTTTTGGTTACTTCCCTTACACTGCTTTTAAATTATGTTTAAAGAAATGCATATTTATAAAGGAAGACCAGTAAAAATATCTGCAAATGTTTTCATCTTTTTTTTTTACAAAAAAATCCATATGAAAGATTTGACACTATATTTTTATTAATTCTATTATAAAATAGATTAAGTTAGCACTATGGTAAATTTAAATGGGTAATTATGGTTGCCAACTCCATTGGAAATTTGAATTGAGATTATGACCATATCTTGAGGGAAAGAATTTTTTTGGGGGAAAAAGGGGGGGGGGGGGGGATAAAAAGAAATTGTGGGGGGCCAATTTTTTCTCATTTCAGATTTCAGAAATTAAAAAGAATTATTCTTCAAATATTATTTTTTTTTCAAATTTCAAATATTGAAAAATTTCAAGAAGTAATCTTTAATTGCACAGTATGGCGCATTAGATTTGTAAAATCTTTGATCACATTTATTTATTTGTTATGCCGAATCTAACAGTGTATTTAGATTTTTAATTTTGGGTCCAGTTTTCAAATTGGTCTACATTAATGTCCAAAGGGTCCAAAATTAAACTTTGTTTGATTTTAGCAAAAATTGAATATATGAGGTTCTTTGATATGCTGAATCTAAACATGTATTTAGATTTTTGATTTTTGGCCCAGTTTTCAAGTTGGTCCAAATTGGGGTCCAAAATTAAACTTTGTTTGATTTCAACAAAAATTGAATATATGGGGTTCTTTGATATGCTGAATCTAACCATGTATTTAGATTTTTTATTTGTGGACCCTGTTATCTAATTGGTTCATATTGAGGTCAAAAGGGTCCAAAATTAAACTTTGTTTGATTTCATCTAAAATTGAATTATTGGGGTTCTTTGATATTCCAAATCTAACCGTGTATTTAGGTTTTTAATTTTGGGTCCTGTTTTTTAAATTGGTCTACATTGAGGTCCAAAGGGTCCAAATTAGTCTTAGTTTGATTTTAACAAAAATTGAATTCTTGGGGTTCTTTGATTTGCTGAATCTAAACATGTGTTTAGATTTTTGATAATGGGCCCAGTTTTCAAGTTGGTCCAAGATAGGTTCCAGTATTTAAACTTTGTTTGATTTCAACAAAAATTGAATATATGGGGTTCTTTGATATGCTGAATCTAAACATGTATTTAGATTTTTGATTATGGGCCCAGTTTTCAAGTTGGTCCAAATTGGGGTCCAAAATTAAACTTTGTTTGATTTCAACAAAAATTGAATATATGAGGTTCTTTGATATGCTGAATCTAACCATGTATTTAGATTTTTTATTTGTAGGCCCTGCTATCAAATTGGTTCATATTGAGGTCAAAAGGGTCCAAAATTAAACTTTGTTTGATTTCATCGAAAATTGAATTATTTGGGTTCTTTGATATGCCAAATCTAACCTTGTTTTTAGATTTTTAATTTGGGTCCTGTTTTTTAAATTGGTCTTCATTGAGGTCCAAAGGGTCCAAAATTAAACTTAGTTTGATTTTAACAAAAATTGAATTCTTGGGGTTCTTTGATATGCTGAATCTAAACATGTGTTTAGATTTTTGATTATGGGCCCAGTTTTCAAGTTGGTCCAAGTTGGGGTCCAAAATTATATTTTTTTTTATTTCAACAAAAATTGAATATATGGGGTTCTTTGATATGCTGAATCTAACCATGAACTTAGATTTTTTATTTGTGGGCCCCGCTATCAAATTGGTTCATATTGAGGTCAAAAGGGTCCAAAATTAAACTTTGTTTGATTTCATCAAAAATTGAATTATTGGTTTTTTTTGATATTCCAAATCTAACCGTGTATTTAAATTTTTAATTTTAAGTCCCGTTTTTTAAATTGGTCTACATTAAGGTCCAAAGGGTCCAAAATTAAACTTAGTTTGATTTTAGCAAAAATTGAATTCTTGGGGTTCTTTGATATGCTGAATCTAAACATGTGTTTAGATTTTTGATTATGGGCCCAGTTTTCAAGTTTGTCCAAGTTGGGGTCCAAAATTAAACTTTGTTTGATTTTAACAAAAATTGAATATATGGGGTTCTTTAATATGCTGAATCTAACCATGTATTTTGATTTTGGACATTGGACCATAATAGGTAAATTAAAAAAATTCAAGTTCTTAGACCACATTCTTTCTGTGTCAGAAACCTATGCTGTGTCAAATATTTAATAACAATCCAAATTCAGAGCTGTATCAAGCTTGAATGTTGTGTCCATACTTGCCCCAACTGTTCAGGGTTCGACCTCTGCGGTCGTATCAAGCTGCGCCCCAGCGAAGCATTTTATTGGTTTATATCTCTGTAACTAAAGCATTTAGAGCAAATCTGACAGGTGGCAAAAATGTTCATCAGATTTAGATTTATCTGCCCTGAAATTTTCAGACGAATCCGACAACCCGTTGTTGGATTGCTGCCCCTGAGTTAGTAATTTTACAAAAATTTTGCAGTTTTTTGTTATTATCTTAGATATCATTATAATATCTAATATCTAATACTATTAATTATGATTTTAACCTTATTTTACATGATTTCCAAAGCATCAGTAAATACAGGTGAGCGACACAGGCTCTTGAGAGCCTCTAGTTTCTTGATGTCACAATAGGCATTCAGAGGAAAGCAAGAACATTTGACGTCATAATTGAATTTAACCAATTAAGAACTTAGATCAAAGAACCACACATTGATTAAATAAAAATAATCAACAGGTCAGGAACAGTATAAATCCGCTAAGATTTATAGAAACTTATTTAAACGATTCAAATCTTAAAATCCTGAAGCAATCACATAAAACCATGGATCCAAAGAGAACTAATTTGAATAGATTTAACTTTTTGGTTACAAAATAAAGTGCAATATAAAACTCATCACCGAGTAATCATGTTTTGAAAAGAAACCGATTAAAAGATAAACACTTCATATTCATTTACTTATATCCTTGTCAAATTCAACAGAACTAAAAATATTTAAATGTGACGGTGAAAGGTGTAGTTAGGGCTGTTCCATTAAAACATACATGGTACCCAGGGAAGGCACTTTAAACATAGGGTAACCAACTAGAGAGGCAATTTAGAATTTCTCTTTACATTACATGTTCAAAATAACTTTAACACCCACCCATAGTTGAGATTTTAAAGTGCCTTCCCTGGGTCCCATATATGTTTTTATTGAACAGCCGTTATAAAAGAAAACTGTACGCAAACTAGTAAAAGAATATGTAAATTAATAAATAAATTCTTTTTGAATGAATAAAAAATATTTTGTTATTTTGTTTCAGTTGTTCCACACAGATGATTTTGAACTACAGTATTTACAGAAAGGCCATTGTCCATTCTGCAGAAATTCGCAGGAGGATTAACCTAAGATTATGAATTATGTTGTTTTAATTTAATGTTATAAACATCTGCTAATGTATGTTTGATTGTTTTCACATTCTTGCAAAAAAGTGAAATAAATGAAAGAATGACTCATAACTAGGTAGCAGTTTTCTAAACAGATTTGATATGAGAGGCTTGATATTCATGTTTTAACATGCACAATATTACTGTTACCTTATCTTGATTGTCAATATAGAAAGCATGCAAACCAATCATTGCTGAACAACTTAATGATCATGAAAGTATTGGTGTACTCTTTATTCCGTCCATTTTATATTAGTTTTTATTTGTTGTATGACTGCCATTCTAAACCATGCTTTGTTTTTTTCTAAGGTTTATGATTGTTACAAAATAAGTTTATCTCATTGACATCAATGTTTATACTACAGAGAACATGAAATATTATTACGTAAAACATTGAATAACGTTTTGGAAAAGACTTTCTATTACTGTTATATGTTGTACTTGACAAAATTGTATAAAATAAGAAAAAATTGTTCATGTAGTTTTTAAGAGTAGTATGAAGTATTTGTTATCAGTACATCTGTGATTTTCTATCTGTAAAGTATTTATTTTTTAAGATCTGAAATGAATGAGAATATGTTAAATTAAACAAATCTATTCTTAAGACTTTATTGCCATTTATCTACATGATATATTGATTTGTTGCCTAACCTGCACTGAATTTTAGGGTTGTGGAGTCCTTTGCTTAGTACCAATGGTAATTTTACAGTAGATTAAAAAAGTAAGGAGACATAGTATGATCGTCCATTAAAAAAATCTATGCACCAAAGACCAAAGGACAAGGATGTAAAAAACTATAGGTCACCTAAGGGCCTTCAACAATAAGCAAGACTTTACTGCATAACAAGCTCTAGTCCAATTATATAAAAAAAAAATTGTATCTAATCATTTCCTTTATTGCTTTATGAACTCTTTTTTTCACAGAATTTACTGTAAATAGTCAAAAGATCAACCAGCCGGGTCAAATCAAAGACTTAATAATTTTTGTTTGTTCTGTAGTAAGATGAAAGACTGGTAGACTAAGAGTCAGAATAATGTTCCCAGGTAGGTTGACGTGATCCTTCAGACTTGGGAACTAGCACATTTTCACCACATTAAACAACAATTCATCATCATCATCATCATGTAACTTTTTACTAAATTTTACAAAGATACACTGCACAATATACAGCGTATATAAAAAATCTGGTAATTTATTTTTGGACAAAAGTTACCCACCACTACCAGAGTTATCTTGACTGATTCTTTATGGGCTTTATGACCTAGGCCTATTGCCATCACTTGGTATTTTTATGGCCTGTCTACAATTGTTCAATTCAATTTAATGTTTTATTAAAATATCATCTCCCAACAAGTACAATCAATATTTATAAATTGTCAAACAATACCGACGAAGTCGAAGGGGACTTAAGGTTTGCACTCCGTCCATCTGTCTGTCCATCCATCAGTCCATCTTCGCTAGCCAAGGGTTACGATCCACTTCCCTCCTCTCCACCCTTGGCAGATTAAGCCAACATTTGTGATAACAATGTTGCGCCATCTATCGGAAGATTAAAGTCATGCCTACTCTTAATTCATTATTCTTGACCAATGGTAGCACTTGAACTCTTCAATTTGGAGGTAAAAACATGGTAGCGTCTAGATTCTACACACTTGGTAAAGCAGGAAACAAAAATATACGTTGACATTAATGCATTTGTGCAAGAAACATACACAGGAACTTCTATTAGTTGATTAAAAACATTCAAATTGTCACTAAATATAGTCGTATGTTTAGGGATGTAAGGGGACGACCATTTGATATTCTGGGGGGGGGGGGGGGGGGGGGGGGCAGGAGGATTTTGAAAATAAATAACTCAGCCTTGATAATCACAAAAATAAATGGTTTGTTCTGTGGTAGTTTGAAAATAAATTACCTGACTTGCAATGTATTGAAAATAAATAACTCAGCAGGTCTAATCGAAAGTATGAGATGGCACCAGATTCTTCATAAATTCATCTTTTTTCCAAAAAAAAAAACGGGAAACACTTCCCATATCTTTTAATAATAAAAGTATAAATATTATTTAGATATACTTGAAATGTCAGAAAATTGGTTTCATTTAACTTGAGGTTAATTGTCTCAGGAACACTTACCTCACTTTTATTAAATCAAGGCCGTAACTACATTGAGACAAATGCCTCATGTAGGAAATTTCAAAACCAAACGCTTGTCTCCATATCAAATTGTGTTCACTGTGAGTGCCTTGCAAGAAGCAAGTTCTGTTCTCCCTCAGACATAGCCCCTGATTTTTTGGGATCAATGTTTCTTATTTATTTGTCTTTTGTTCATTGATTGCCCTTCTGTATTCTGTTAGTGTTGCATTCATTTTGTAATTTAGTAATTTTATTATTAACTTGATCATGAGATTAAAAAAACACAGCAGCCACAGACTTTACTATGTGAATAACATTTTTGCTTTATCATGCATATTCGTCTTTTGATGTTGTTCCTAGAAACTTAAGTCTTACACTGAATCTATAACGTGATTTTGCTTTGAGACCAACATATTGTCATAAGATTATTAAAACAGAACTTGCATTTTCAGTTTAAGAAAGGGTCTGGGGAACACCCAGAAGGCATGATTTTGCATCATTTGTTCTATAGCTTCTTGGGCCTTCAGCGGTTCGAAAACCCTTCAAAAAAATTTTGCCTCGCTCCGCTCGGCAAAACATTTTGCCAATACTTTTAAAAGAGCCTTAGTTACAACCAAACTTTAATACTGTGTATGTATGCAATACATGTATATGCATTGGGGGATATAGAAAATTCATTTCTGCAGAGGATAATAATTAATTCTGATTAAAGGGTACATAATGACTTGACTATACATGAATTATTTATAATAAACAATTTAAAAATTGTATGTTTTCGAATATTATAAATATAGTTGTGAAAATAAATAATCAGTCCCTTGCTTTAATGAAAATGAAAAATCTTGCTTCAATAGTGCAGAAAATAGATAATCTGTCCTCTTAGTTTACAAAAATAAATGACCGATCCAAAACAAATCCTCCTGGCCCCCCCCAGAATATCAAATGGTCGTCCCCTAAAGACTTGTTGCACAATAAGCACGTGGCAATTGTTTACATACACTTCTACATTTACATGTGATCATGTTATAGGTGCTTTTTGATTGGATGCAGTGAGTTTCGACTGCAACCAATGAAAATCATTACCTTGTGTCTCAGAAATTCTATCTCAATCAGCCAAGGGTGGAGAGTAGGGAAGTGGATCGTTACCCATGGCTAGCGAAGATGCCATCAGTCTGGCAAATCAGTTTTCCACAATTTTTTTCTTTGTGCTTGAAGAAATTGATTTAATATTTGGTGTATTGTTTTATCATGACAAGTTACAGATCAAGTTCAATTTTGTTCCAGTCTGATGATTTTGTGCAGAGTGATGGTCCTTGGACTTAGAAAATTCACTCAAATAATCAGTTTTCCGCACTTTTTTTCGTCATGCTTGAAGATATTGATTTGATAATTGGTATATTTTTGTATGTAGTTTTATCATGACAAGTTTCAGATCAAGTTTGAATTTTGTTCCGGTCTGATTATTTTGTGCAGTTATGGTCTTTTGACTTAGAAAATTCACTCAATCAGTTTTCCTCACTTTTTATATGACTGCAACAAACTTTGCGGTCGATAATGGTATTACGTCATTGTCTGCGTCGTCCGAAGACATTTGGTTTCCGGACAATAACTTTAGTATGTGTAAATAGAAGTCTATGAAATTTAAACACAAGGTTTATAACCACAAAAGGAAGGTTGGGATTGATTTTGGGGGTTATGGTCCTAACAGTTTAGGAATTAGGGGCCAAATGGGGCCCAAATAAGCATTTTTCTAGTTTCCAGACAATAACTTGTGGAAAGGTGTATGGATCTCTCTGAAATTAGACCACAAGTTTCCATACCACAAAGGGATGGTAAGGATTGGCTTTGGAAAACAAGGGTTTCCTGGTTAATGGACAATTACTTAAAAGTACAAAGTTATGTTTGGATTACCTCCCTTACACTGCTTTTAAATTATGTATAAAGAAATGTTGTATTGTCTTGAGGTGATTAGCTGTCAATTTATTAGAAGTTACTACATGTATTAAAAATGCTGATTAAGGAATATTTAATTTTAGCCATGATTATGTATGTCATTTTCTATTTTAAGACTTTTATGATGTATTTAAATGGGTAATTATGGTTGCAAAATGGGCGGGGGGTCAATTTGCAACAGCATAGTGTATTACACAAAAGCAAAAAAATTGAATATAAATTCAAATCATATAACCAATTCTAAGTTCTTTGACTACAGTTATTCTGTGTCAGAAACCTATTATGTGTCAAATATTTAATTACAATCCAAATTCAGACCTGTATCAAGCACGAATATTGTGTTCATTTTTGCCCCAACTGTTCAGGGTGGGCCTCTGCGGTCGTATCCAGCTGCACACGGCGAAGCAATTTATTTTCGTCATGCTTGAAGATATTGATTTGATAATTGTTGTATAGTTTTATCACGACAAGTTACAGATCAAATTAAAATTTTGTTCCGGTCTGATGATTTTGTGCAGAGAAATGGTCCTTGGACTTAGGAAATTCACTCTAAAAATCAGTTTTCCACACTTTTTTCATCACGCTTGAAGATATTGACTTGATATTTGTTATATTGTTTACACCATGACAAGTTATAGATCAAGTTAGCATTTTGTTCCAGTACAATGAATTTTTAACACGTAGGGGACTATGTATTGCCATGCAATACTCTCAAAATGCTTGTTTTGATAGTAAAATGCAAATGTTGAAATTAAAAAAGCAATACTTAACATGCAAGTTATGCAAAATATTCAAAGTCAATGAACCATGACTGAAGGTACATGGCCAAACAATCTCATGAAAATGAGATGTGCCAATGCTAATACAACTGCATACAATATATCATTGACCTACCACTATAGGTTCCCCATAAACTTACCTAATCACAAACTAATACATGTAAACTAAACAAAAGTTTCAAAGTCAATAGACCATTACTGAGGGGGCGGGACCAAATAATCTTCATGGAAATGAGATGTGCCAATGATAATACAGCTGCATACCAAATATCATTGACCTAATCACAAACTAATACATGTAAACTAAACAAAAGTTTTGAAGCCAATAGACCATGATGGAGAGGGCAGGGCTAAATAATCTCCATGGAAATGAGATGTGCCAATGCTAATACAGCTGCATACCAAATATCATTGACCTTCCATTAGTGGTTCCCCAGAAACTGACCTAATCGCAAACTAATATATTGTTGATGCCGCTGCCGACGCTGAAAACTGCATACCTGTCTCGCTTTTTGCATAGATATACTACATTAAACAATATGTATTTAAGGACTATTTACAATAAATAAAATTTCTATGTCTTCTTAAAATTAAATAACAGGTTTTGGCACACACATGTATCATATTTAGGTCTGAGAATACAAACACTTATTTTGGTTTTCATCTTAATTATTAAAATTTCATTAAAAGTTTCAGCAACATAATATAAATTGTTTCTAAAATCGTCATATTAAAAGAGGACATCATAAGGGGACGACCATTTGATATTCTAGGGGGGGCCAGGAGGATTTGTTTTGGATCGGTCATTTATTTTTGTAAACTAAGAGGACAGATTATCTATTTTCTGCACTATTGAAGCAAGATTTTTCATTTTCATTAAAGCAAGGGACTGATTATTTATTTTCACAACTATATTTATAATATTCGAAAACATACAATTTTTAAATTGTTTATTATAAATAATTCATGTATAGTCAAGTCATTATGTACCCTTTAATCAGAATTAATTATTATCCTCTGCAGAAATGAATTTTCTATATCCCCCAATGCATATACATGTATTGCATACATACACAGTATTAAAGTTTGGTTGTAACTAAGGCTCTTTTAAAAGTATTGGCAAAATGTTTTGCCGAGCGGAGCGAGGCAAAATTTTTTTGAAGGGTTTTCGAACCGCTGAAGGCCCAAGAAGCTATAGAACAAATGATGCAAAATCATGCCTTCTGGGTGTTCCCCAGACCCTTTCTTAAACTGAAAATGCAAGTTCTGTTTTAATAATCTTATGACAATATGTTGGTCTCAAAGCAAAATCACGTTATAGATTCAGTGTAAGACTTAAGTTTCTAGGAACAACATCAAAAGACGAATATGCATGATAAAGCAAAAATGTTATTCACATAGTAAAGTCTGTGGCTGCTGTGTTTTTGTTGAGCCTGCGACTTTTGTCGCAGAAAGCTCGACATAGGGATAGCGATCCGGCGGCGACGGCGGCGGCGGCGGCGTTAGCTAACTTCTTAAAAGCTTTATATTTTAGAAGATGGAAGACCTGGATGCTTCATACTTTGTATATGGATGCCTCATGTTACGAAGTTTCCGTCAGTCACATGTCCAATGTCCTTGACCTCATTTTCATGGTTCAGTGACTACTTGAAAAAAAAGTTCAGATTTTTTGTAATGTTAAATTCTCTCTTATTATAAGTAATAGGATAACTATATTTGGTATGTGCGTACCTTGCAAGGTCCTCATGCCCGTCAGACAGTTTTCACTTGACCTCGACCTCATTTCATGGATCAGTGAACAAGGTTAAGTTTTCGTGGTCAAGTCCATATCTCAGATACTATAAGCAATAGGTCTAGTATATTCGGTGTATGGAAGGACTGTAAGGTGTACATGTCCAACTGGCAGGTGTCATCTGACCTTGACCTCATTTTCATGGTTCAGTGGTTATAGTTAAGTTTTTGTGTTTTGGTCTGTTTTTCTTATACTGTATGCAATAGGTCTACTATATTTGGTGTATGGAATGATTGTAAGGTGTACATGTCTAGCTGGCAGGTGTCATCTGACCTTGACCTCATTTTCATGGTTCAGTGGTCAAAGTTAAGTTTTTGAGTTTTGGTCTTTTTTTCTAATACTGCATGCAATAGGTCAGCTATATTTGGTGTATGGAATGATTGTAAGGTGTACATGTCTAGCTGGCAGGTGTCATCTTACCTTGACCTCATTTTCATGGTTCAGTGGTCAAAGTTAAGTTTTTGAGTTTTGGTCTTTTTTTCTAATACTATATGCAATAGTTCAACTATATTTGGTGTATGGAAATATTTTATGATCTATATGTCAGTCACGCAGGTTTTATTTGACCTTGACCTCATTTTCAAGGTTCATTGCTCAGTGTTAAGTTTTTGTGTTTTCGTCTGTTTTTCTTAAACTATAAGCAATAGGTCAACTATATTTGTTGTATGGAAGAATTGTTAGCTGTACATGCCTGCCTAGCATGGTTCATCTGACCTTGACCTCATTTTCATGGTTCATTGGTCAATGTTTAGTTTACTTGGTTAATGTTAAGTTTATGTGACAGTTGTAATAAAGCTTTATATTTAGGACTATCAACATAATATCAATGATTAGTAAAGAAGGCGAGACATTTCAGCGTGTGCACTCTTGTTTTAATCTCATGATCAAGTTAATAATAAAATTACTAAATTACAAAATGAATGCAACACTAACAGAATACAGAAGGGCAATCAATGAACAAAAGACAAATAAATAAGAAACATTGATCCCGAAAAATCAGGGGCTATGTCTGAGGGAGAACAGAACTTGCTTCTTGCAAGGCACTCACAGTGAACACAATTTGATATGGAGACAAGCGTTTGGTTTTGAAATTTCCTACATGAGGCATTTGTCTCAATGTAGTTACGGCCTTGATTTAATAAAAGTGAGGTAAGTGTTCCTGAGACAATTAACCTCAAGTTAAATGAAACCAATTTTCTGACATTTCAAGTATATCTAAATAATATTTATACTTTTATTATTAAAAGATATGGGAAGTGTTTCCCGTTTTTTTTTTTTGGAAAAAAGATGAATTTATGAAGAATCTGGTGCCATCTCATACTTTCGATTAGACCTGCTGAGTTATTTATTTTCAATACATTGCAAGTCAGGTAATTTATTTTCAAACTACCACAGAACAAACCATTTATTTTTGTGATTATCAAGGCTGAGTTATTTATTTTCAAAATCCTCCTGGCCCCCCCCCCCAGAATATCAAATGGTTGTCCCCTAATAAAACTCTAATTTTCTCAAACTATACATGTATTTTCATATCCCCCAGTTACAATCCTCAGTGGGGCTACACTACATCTATATTTGGCGAAAGCAATTCTGTGACTGAAAGGCAAAGCCTTGTAGAGGGGTATCATGTTTTCCAAGTTTGTGCATCTGTCCATCCTCCAGGCTGTATCAGGTTAAACATCCTCCAGGCTGTATCAGGTTAAACATCCTCCAGGCTGTATCAGGTTAAACATCCTCCAGGCTGTATCAGGTTAAACATCCTCATGACTGTATCAGGTTAAAATTTTGGTTTAAGGTAGTTTATGGTTACATCAACATGAAACTTAGAACACATGTTTATTATGGAGTGGACTGTTTCATATATATATGCCAAATTAGGTTTTGAGGGGCTGAATTTGAACAGTATTGGTAACATTTTAAAAGTTGGTGACCAACATATTATTTGCACATACATAGAAGTTAGATGATCCTGGTATTCTAATATCTGAGAAGACAAAAAGAGGGAGATGATCAAATTGATGATTCCAAATAGTGATAGCCTTTACAAAAAATTTGTTAAAGTTAAACTTTACCTTGAAAGGGCCAACAGAATTAATAGATGATTCAGGACCTTGGTGGCATAGTGGTCTAGGAAGTTCATCTACAGTAATCACTAGCCTGTCAACAGTTAAATTGTGAGTTACAACCTGGCTCATGGAACAGTACGTTCGTCTACAATCTTATTTGACAAGGAGTTCCAGTTTTCCGGCCGAAGGTCAGGGGATCTCTCCAGGCACTCCTGTTTCCTCCACCAATAAAAACTGGTTCATATGTCATAGCCAAGTGTGCTGAAAGTCAACTGGTTCACATGTCATAGCCAAGTGTGCTGAAAGTCAACTGGTTCATTCACATGTCATAGCCAAGTGTGCTGAAAGTCAACTGGTTCACATGTCATAGCCAAGTGTGCTGAAAGTCAACTGGTTCACATGTCATAGCCAAGTGTGCTGAAAGTCAACTGGTTCACATGTCATAGCCAAGTGTGCTGAAAGTCAACTGGTTCATTCACATGTCATAGCCAAGTGTGCTGAAAATCAACTGGTTCAAATTTTTTTGAAGGGTTTTCGAACCGCTGAAGGCCCAAGAAGCTATAGAACAAATGATGCAAAATCATGCCTTCTGGGTGTTCCCCAGACCCTTTCTTAAACTGAAAATGCAAGTTCTGTTTTAATAATCTTATGACAATATGTTGGTCTCAAAGCAAAATCACGTTATAGATTCAGTGTAAGACTTAAGTTTCTAGGAACAACATCAAAAGACGAATATGCATGATAAAGCAAAAATGTTATTCACATAGTAAAGTCTGTGGCTGCTGTGTTTTTGTTGAGCCTGCGACTTTTGTCGCAGAAAGCTCGACATAGGGATAGCGATCCGGCGGCGACGGCGGCGGCGGCGGCGTTAGCTAACTTCTTAAAAGCTTTATATTTTAGAAGATGGAAGACCTGGATGCTTCATACTTTGTATATGGATGCCTCATGTTACGAAGTTTCCGTCAGTCACATGTCCAATGTCCTTGACCTCATTTTCATGGTTCAGTGACTACTTGAAAAAAAAGTTCAGATTTTTTGTAATGTTAAATTCTCTCTTATTATAAGTAATAGGATAACTATATTTGGTATGTGCGTACCTTGCAAGGTCCTCATGCCCGTCAGACAGTTTTCACTTGACCTCGACCTCATTTCATGGATCAGTGAACAAGGTTAAGTTTTCGTGGTCAAGTCCATATCTCAGATACTATAAGCAATAGGTCTAGTATATTCGGTGTATGGAAGGACTGTAAGGTGTACATGTCCAACTGGCAGGTGTCATCTGACCTTGACCTCATTTTCATGGTTCAGTGGTTATAGTTAAGTTTTTGTGTTTTGGTCTGTTTTTCTTATACTGTATGCAATAGGTCTACTATATTTGGTGTATGGAATGATTGTAAGGTGTACATGTCTAGCTGGCAGGTGTCATCTGACCTTGACCTCATTTTCATGGTTCAGTGGTCAAAGTTAAGTTTTTGAGTTTTGGTCTTTTTTTCTAATACTGCATGCAATAGGTCAGCTATATTTGGTGTATGGAATGATTGTAAGGTGTACATGTCTAGCTGGCAGGTGTCATCTTACCTTGACCTCATTTTCATGGTTCAGTGGTCAAAGTTAAGTTTTTGAGTTTTGGTCTTTTTTTCTAATACTATATGCAATAGTTCAACTATATTTGGTGTATGGAAATATTTTATGATCTATATGTCAGTCACGCAGGTTTTATTTGACCTTGACCTCATTTTCAAGGTTCATTGCTCAGTGTTAAGTTTTTGTGTTTTCGTCTGTTTTTCTTAAACTATAAGCAATAGGTCAACTATATTTGTTGTATGGAAGAATTGTTAGCTGTACATGCCTGCCTAGCATGGTTCATCTGACCTTGACCTCATTTTCATGGTTCATTGGTCAATGTTTAGTTTACTTGGTTAATGTTAAGTTTATGTGACAGTTGTAATAAAGCTTTATATTTAGGACTATCAACATAATATCAATGATTAGTAAAGAAGGCGAGACATTTCAGCGTGTGCACTCTTGTTTTAATCTCATGATCAAGTTAATAATAAAATTACTAAATTACAAAATGAATGCAACACTAACAGAATACAGAAGGGCAATCAATGAACAAAAGACAAATAAATAAGAAACATTGATCCCGAAAAATCAGGGGCTATGTCTGAGGGAGAACAGAACTTGCTTCTTGCAAGGCACTCACAGTGAACACAATTTGATATGGAGACAAGCGTTTGGTTTTGAAATTTCCTACATGAGGCATTTGTCTCAATGTAGTTACGGCCTTGATTTAATAAAAGTGAGGTAAGTGTTCCTGAGACAATTAACCTCAAGTTAAATGAAACCAATTTTCTGACATTTCAAGTATATCTAAATAATATTTATACTTTTATTATTAAAAGATATGGGAAGTGTTTCCCGTTTTTTTTTTTGGAAAAAAGATGAATTTATGAAGAATCTGGTGCCATCTCATACTTTCGATTAGACCTGCTGAGTTATTTATTTTCAATACATTGCAAGTCAGGTAATTTATTTTCAAACTACCACAGAACAAACCATTTATTTTTGTGATTATCAAGGCTGAGTTATTTATTTTCAAAATCCTCCTGGCCCCCCCCCCCCAGAATATCAAATGGTTGTCCCCTAATAAAACTCTAATTTTCTCAAACTATACATGTATTTTCATATCCCCCAGTTACAATCCTCAGTGGGGCTACACTACATCTATATTTGGCGAAAGCAATTCTGTGACTGAAAGGCAAAGCCTTGTAGAGGGGTATCATGTTTTCCAAGTTTGTGCATCTGTCCATCCTCCAGGCTGTATCAGGTTAAACATCCTCCAGGCTGTATCAGGTTAAACATCCTCCAGGCTGTATCAGGTTAAACATCCTCCAGGCTGTATCAGGTTAAACATCCTCATGACTGTATCAGGTTAAAATTTTGGTTTAAGGTAGTTTATGGTTACATCAACATGAAACTTAGAACACATGTTTATTATGGAGTGGACTGTTTCATATATATATGCCAAATTAGGTTTTGAGGGGCTGAATTTGAACAGTATTGGTAACATTTTAAAAGTTGGTGACCAACATATTATTTGCACATACATAGAAGTTAGATGATCCTGGTATTCTAATATCTGAGAAGACAAAAAGAGGGAGATGATCAAATTGATGATTCCAAATAGTGATAGCCTTTACAAAAAATTTGTTAAAGTTAAACTTTACCTTGAAAGGGCCAACAGAATTAATAGATGATTCAGGACCTTGGTGGCATAGTGGTCTAGGAAGTTCATCTACAGTAATCACTAGCCTGTCAACAGTTAAATTGTGAGTTACAACCTGGCTCATGGAACAGTACGTTCGTCTACAATCTTATTTGACAAGGAGTTCCAGTTTTCCGGCCGAAGGTCAGGGGATCTCTCCAGGCACTCCTGTTTCCTCCACCAATAAAAACTGGTTCACATGTCATAGCCAAGTGTGCTGAAAGTCAACTGGTTCACATGTCATAGCCAAGTGTGCTGAAAGTCAACTGGTTCATTCACATGTCATAGCCAAGTGTGCTGAAAGTCAACTGGTTCACATGTCATAGCCAAGTGTGCTGAAAGTCAACTGGTTCACATGTCATAGCCAAGTGTGCTGAAAGTCAACTGGTTCACATGTCATAGCCAAGTGTGCTGAAAGTCAACTGGTTCATTCACATGTCATAGCCAAGTGTGCTGAAAATCAACTGGTTCAAATTTTTTTGAAGGGTTTTCGAACCGCTGAAGGCCCAAGAAGCTATAGAACAAATGATGCAAAATCATGCCTTCTGGGTGTTCCCCAGACCCTTTCTTAAACTGAAAATGCAAGTTCTGTTTTAATAATCTTATGACAATATGTTGGTCTCAAAGCAAAATCACGTTATAGATTCAGTGTAAGACTTAAGTTTCTAGGAACAACATCAAAAGACGAATATGCATGATAAAGCAAAAATGTTATTCACATAGTAAAGTCTGTGGCTGCTGTGTTTTTGTTGAGCCTGCGACTTTTGTCGCAGAAAGCTCGACATAGGGATAGCGATCCGGCGGCGACGGCGGCGGCGGCGGCGTTAGCTAACTTCTTAAAAGCTTTATATTTTAGAAGATGGAAGACCTGGATGCTTCATACTTTGTATATGGATGCCTCATGTTACGAAGTTTCCGTCAGTCACATGTCCAATGTCCTTGACCTCATTTTCATGGTTCAGTGACTACTTGAAAAAAAAGTTCAGATTTTTTGTAATGTTAAATTCTCTCTTATTATAAGTAATAGGATAACTATATTTGGTATGTGCGTACCTTGCAAGGTCCTCATGCCCGTCAGACAGTTTTCACTTGACCTCGACCTCATTTCATGGATCAGTGAACAAGGTTAAGTTTTCGTGGTCAAGTCCATATCTCAGATACTATAAGCAATAGGTCTAGTATATTCGGTGTATGGAAGGACTGTAAGGTGTACATGTCCAACTGGCAGGTGTCATCTGACCTTGACCTCATTTTCATGGTTCAGTGGTTATAGTTAAGTTTTTGTGTTTTGGTCTGTTTTTCTTATACTGTATGCAATAGGTCTACTATATTTGGTGTATGGAATGATTGTAAGGTGTACATGTCTAGCTGGCAGGTGTCATCTGACCTTGACCTCATTTTCATGGTTCAGTGGTCAAAGTTAAGTTTTTGAGTTTTGGTCTTTTTTTCTAATACTGCATGCAATAGGTCAGCTATATTTGGTGTATGGAATGATTGTAAGGTGTACATGTCTAGCTGGCAGGTGTCATCTTACCTTGACCTCATTTTCATGGTTCAGTGGTCAAAGTTAAGTTTTTGAGTTTTGGTCTTTTTTTCTAATACTATATGCAATAGTTCAACTATATTTGGTGTATGGAAATATTTTATGATCTATATGTCAGTCACGCAGGTTTTATTTGACCTTGACCTCATTTTCAAGGTTCATTGCTCAGTGTTAAGTTTTTGTGTTTTCGTCTGTTTTTCTTAAACTATAAGCAATAGGTCAACTATATTTGTTGTATGGAAGAATTGTTAGCTGTACATGCCTGCCTAGCATGGTTCATCTGACCTTGACCTCATTTTCATGGTTCATTGGTCAATGTTTAGTTTACTTGGTTAATGTTAAGTTTATGTGACAGTTGTAATAAAGCTTTATATTTAGGACTATCAACATAATATCAATGATTAGTAAAGAAGGCGAGACATTTCAGCGTGTGCACTCTTGTTTTAATCTCATGATCAAGTTAATAATAAAATTACTAAATTACAAAATGAATGCAACACTAACAGAATACAGAAGGGCAATCAATGAACAAAAGACAAATAAATAAGAAACATTGATCCCGAAAAATCAGGGGCTATGTCTGAGGGAGAACAGAACTTGCTTCTTGCAAGGCACTCACAGTGAACACAATTTGATATGGAGACAAGCGTTTGGTTTTGAAATTTCCTACATGAGGCATTTGTCTCAATGTAGTTACGGCCTTGATTTAATAAAAGTGAGGTAAGTGTTCCTGAGACAATTAACCTCAAGTTAAATGAAACCAATTTTCTGACATTTCAAGTATATCTAAATAATATTTATACTTTTATTATTAAAAGATATGGGAAGTGTTTCCCGTTTTTTTTTTTGGAAAAAAGATGAATTTATGAAGAATCTGGTGCCATCTCATACTTTCGATTAGACCTGCTGAGTTATTTATTTTCAATACATTGCAAGTCAGGTAATTTATTTTCAAACTACCACAGAACAAACCATTTATTTTTGTGATTATCAAGGCTGAGTTATTTATTTTCAAAATCCTCCTGGCCCCCCCCCCCCCCCCCCCAGAATATCAAATGGTTGTCCCCTAATAAAACTCTAATTTTCTCAAACTATACATGTATTTTCATATCCCCCAGTTACAATCCTCAGTGGGGCTACACTACATCTATATTTGGCGAAAGCAATTCTGTGACTGAAAGGCAAAGCCTTGTAGAGGGGTATCATGTTTTCCAAGTTTGTGCATCTGTCCATCCTCCAGGCTGTATCAGGTTAAACATCCTCCAGGCTGTATCAGGTTAAACATCCTCCAGGCTGTATCAGGTTAAACATCCTCCAGGCTGTATCAGGTTAAACATCCTCATGACTGTATCAGGTTAAAATTTTGGTTTAAGGTAGTTTATGGTTACATCAACATGAAACTTAGAACACATGTTTATTATGGAGTGGACTGTTTCATATATATATGCCAAATTAGGTTTTGAGGGGCTGAATTTGAACAGTATTGGTAACATTTTAAAAGTTGGTGACCAACATATTATTTGCACATACATAGAAGTTAGATGATCCTGGTATTCTAATATCTGAGAAGACAAAAAGAGGGAGATGATCAAATTGATGATTCCAAATAGTGATAGCCTTTACAAAAAATTTGTTAAAGTTAAACTTTACCTTGAAAGGGCCAACAGAATTAATAGATGATTCAGGACCTTGGTGGCATAGTGGTCTAGGAAGTTCATCTACAGTAATCACTAGCCTGTCAACAGTTAAATTGTGAGTTACAACCTGGCTCATGGAACAGTACGTTCGTCTACAATCTTATTTGACAAGGAGTTCCAGTTTTCCGGCCGAAGGTCAGGGGATCTCTCCAGGCACTCCTGTTTCCTCCACCAATAAAAACTGGTTCACATGTCATAGCCAAGTGTGCTGAAAGTCAACTGGTTCACATGTCATAGCCAAGTGTGCTGAAAGTCAACTGGTTCATTCACATGTCATAGCCAAGTGTGCTGAAAGTCAACTGGTTCACATGTCATAGCCAAGTGTGCTGAAAGTCAACTGGTTCACATGTCATAGCCAAGTGTGCTGAAAGTCAACTGGTTCACATGTCATAGCCAAGTGTGCTGAAAGTCAACTGGTTCATTCACATGTCATAGCCAAGTGTGCTGAAAATCAACTGGTTCAAATTTTTTTGAAGGGTTTTCGAACCGCTGAAGGCCCAAGAAGCTATAGAACAAATGATGCAAAATCATGCCTTCTGGGTGTTCCCCAGACCCTTTCTTAAACTGAAAATGCAAGTTCTGTTTTAATAATCTTATGACAATATGTTGGTCTCAAAGCAAAATCACGTTATAGATTCAGTGTAAGACTTAAGTTTCTAGGAACAACATCAAAAGACGAATATGCATGATAAAGCAAAAATGTTATTCACATAGTAAAGTCTGTGGCTGCTGTGTTTTTGTTGAGCCTGCGACTTTTGTCGCAGAAAGCTCGACATAGGGATAGCGATCCGGCGGCGACGGCGGCGGCGGCGGCGTTAGCTAACTTCTTAAAAGCTTTATATTTTAGAAGATGGAAGACCTGGATGCTTCATACTTTGTATATGGATGCCTCATGTTACGAAGTTTCCGTCAGTCACATGTCCAATGTCCTTGACCTCATTTTCATGGTTCAGTGACTACTTGAAAAAAAAGTTCAGATTTTTTGTAATGTTAAATTCTCTCTTATTATAAGTAATAGGATAACTATATTTGGTATGTGCGTACCTTGCAAGGTCCTCATGCCCGTCAGACAGTTTTCACTTGACCTCGACCTCATTTCATGGATCAGTGAACAAGGTTAAGTTTTCGTGGTCAAGTCCATATCTCAGATACTATAAGCAATAGGTCTAGTATATTCGGTGTATGGAAGGACTGTAAGGTGTACATGTCCAACTGGCAGGTGTCATCTGACCTTGACCTCATTTTCATGGTTCAGTGGTTATAGTTAAGTTTTTGTGTTTTGGTCTGTTTTTCTTATACTGTATGCAATAGGTCTACTATATTTGGTGTATGGAATGATTGTAAGGTGTACATGTCTAGCTGGCAGGTGTCATCTGACCTTGACCTCATTTTCATGGTTCAGTGGTCAAAGTTAAGTTTTTGAGTTTTGGTCTTTTTTTCTAATACTGCATGCAATAGGTCAGCTATATTTGGTGTATGGAATGATTGTAAGGTGTACATGTCTAGCTGGCAGGTGTCATCTTACCTTGACCTCATTTTCATGGTTCAGTGGTCAAAGTTAAGTTTTTGAGTTTTGGTCTTTTTTTCTAATACTATATGCAATAGTTCAACTATATTTGGTGTATGGAAATATTTTATGATCTATATGTCAGTCACGCAGGTTTTATTTGACCTTGACCTCATTTTCAAGGTTCATTGCTCAGTGTTAAGTTTTTGTGTTTTCGTCTGTTTTTCTTAAACTATAAGCAATAGGTCAACTATATTTGTTGTATGGAAGAATTGTTAGCTGTACATGCCTGCCTAGCATGGTTCATCTGACCTTGACCTCATTTTCATGGTTCATTGGTCAATGTTTAGTTTACTTGGTTAATGTTAAGTTTATGTGACAGTTGTAATAAAGCTTTATATTTAGGACTATCAACATAATATCAATGATTAGTAAAGAAGGCGAGACATTTCAGCGTGTGCACTCTTGTTTTAATCTCATGATCAAGTTAATAATAAAATTACTAAATTACAAAATGAATGCAACACTAACAGAATACAGAAGGGCAATCAATGAACAAAAGACAAATAAATAAGAAACATTGATCCCGAAAAATCAGGGGCTATGTCTGAGGGAGAACAGAACTTGCTTCTTGCAAGGCACTCACAGTGAACACAATTTGATATGGAGACAAGCGTTTGGTTTTGAAATTTCCTACATGAGGCATTTGTCTCAATGTAGTTACGGCCTTGATTTAATAAAAGTGAGGTAAGTGTTCCTGAGACAATTAACCTCAAGTTAAATGAAACCAATTTTCTGACATTTCAAGTATATCTAAATAATATTTATACTTTTATTATTAAAAGATATGGGAAGTGTTTCCCGTTTTTTTTTTTGGAAAAAAGATGAATTTATGAAGAATCTGGTGCCATCTCATACTTTCGATTAGACCTGCTGAGTTATTTATTTTCAATACATTGCAAGTCAGGTAATTTATTTTCAAACTACCACAGAACAAACCATTTATTTTTGTGATTATCAAGGCTGAGTTATTTATTTTCAAAATCCTCCTGGCCCCCCCCCCCCCCCCCCCCAGAATATCAAATGGTTGTCCCCTAATAAAACTCTAATTTTCTCAAACTATACATGTATTTTCATATCCCCCAGTTACAATCCTCAGTGGGGCTACACTACATCTATATTTGGCGAAAGCAATTCTGTGACTGAAAGGCAAAGCCTTGTAGAGGGGTATCATGTTTTCCAAGTTTGTGCATCTGTCCATCCTCCAGGCTGTATCAGGTTAAACATCCTCCAGGCTGTATCAGGTTAAACATCCTCCAGGCTGTATCAGGTTAAACATCCTCCAGGCTGTATCAGGTTAAACATCCTCATGACTGTATCAGGTTAAAATTTTGGTTTAAGGTAGTTTATGGTTACATCAACATGAAACTTAGAACACATGTTTATTATGGAGTGGACTGTTTCATATATATATGCCAAATTAGGTTTTGAGGGGCTGAATTTGAACAGTATTGGTAACATTTTAAAAGTTGGTGACCAACATATTATTTGCACATACATAGAAGTTAGATGATCCTGGTATTCTAATATCTGAGAAGACAAAAAGAGGGAGATGATCAAATTGATGATTCCAAATAGTGATAGCCTTTACAAAAAATTTGTTAAAGTTAAACTTTACCTTGAAAGGGCCAACAGAATTAATAGATGATTCAGGACCTTGGTGGCATAGTGGTCTAGGAAGTTCATCTACAGTAATCACTAGCCTGTCAACAGTTAAATTGTGAGTTACAACCTGGCTCATGGAACAGTACGTTCGTCTACAATCTTATTTGACAAGGAGTTCCAGTTTTCCGGCCGAAGGTCAGGGGATCTCTCCAGGCACTCCTGTTTCCTCCACCAATAAAAACTGGTTCATATGTCATAGCCAAGTGTGCTGAAAGTCAACTGGTTCACATGTCATAGCCAAGTGTGCTGAAAGTCAACTGGTTCATTCACATGTCATAGCCAAGTGTGCTGAAAGTCAACTGGTTCACATGTCATAGCCAAGTGTGCTGAAAGTCAACTGGTTCACATGTCATAGCCAAGTGTGCTGAAAGTCAACTGGTTCACATGTCATAGCCAAGTGTGCTGAAAGTCAACTGGTTCATTCACATGTCATAGCCAAGTGTGCTGAAAATCAACTGGTTCAAATTTTTTTGAAGGGTTTTCGAACCGCTGAAGGCCCAAGAAGCTATAGAACAAATGATGCAAAATCATGCCTTCTGGGTGTTCCCCAGACCCTTTCTTAAACTGAAAATGCAAGTTCTGTTTTAATAATCTTATGACAATATGTTGGTCTCAAAGCAAAATCACGTTATAGATTCAGTGTAAGACTTAAGTTTCTAGGAACAACATCAAAAGACGAATATGCATGATAAAGCAAAAATGTTATTCACATAGTAAAGTCTGTGGCTGCTGTGTTTTTGTTGAGCCTGCGACTTTTGTCGCAGAAAGCTCGACATAGGGATAGCGATCCGGCGGCGACGGCGGCGGCGGCGGCGTTAGCTAACTTCTTAAAAGCTTTATATTTTAGAAGATGGAAGACCTGGATGCTTCATACTTTGTATATGGATGCCTCATGTTACGAAGTTTCCGTCAGTCACATGTCCAATGTCCTTGACCTCATTTTCATGGTTCAGTGACTACTTGAAAAAAAAGTTCAGATTTTTTGTAATGTTAAATTCTCTCTTATTATAAGTAATAGGATAACTATATTTGGTATGTGCGTACCTTGCAAGGTCCTCATGCCCGTCAGACAGTTTTCACTTGACCTCGACCTCATTTCATGGATCAGTGAACAAGGTTAAGTTTTCGTGGTCAAGTCCATATCTCAGATACTATAAGCAATAGGTCTAGTATATTCGGTGTATGGAAGGACTGTAAGGTGTACATGTCCAACTGGCAGGTGTCATCTGACCTTGACCTCATTTTCATGGTTCAGTGGTTATAGTTAAGTTTTTGTGTTTTGGTCTGTTTTTCTTATACTGTATGCAATAGGTCTACTATATTTGGTGTATGGAATGATTGTAAGGTGTACATGTCTAGCTGGCAGGTGTCATCTGACCTTGACCTCATTTTCATGGTTCAGTGGTCAAAGTTAAGTTTTTGAGTTTTGGTCTTTTTTTCTAATACTGCATGCAATAGGTCAGCTATATTTGGTGTATGGAATGATTGTAAGGTGTACATGTCTAGCTGGCAGGTGTCATCTTACCTTGACCTCATTTTCATGGTTCAGTGGTCAAAGTTAAGTTTTTGAGTTTTGGTCTTTTTTTCTAATACTATATGCAATAGTTCAACTATATTTGGTGTATGGAAATATTTTATGATCTATATGTCAGTCACGCAGGTTTTATTTGACCTTGACCTCATTTTCAAGGTTCATTGCTCAGTGTTAAGTTTTTGTGTTTTCGTCTGTTTTTCTTAAACTATAAGCAATAGGTCAACTATATTTGTTGTATGGAAGAATTGTTAGCTGTACATGCCTGCCTAGCATGGTTCATCTGACCTTGACCTCATTTTCATGGTTCATTGGTCAATGTTTAGTTTACTTGGTTAATGTTAAGTTTATGTGACAGTTGTAATAAAGCTTTATATTTAGGACTATCAACATAATATCAATGATTAGTAAAGAAGGCGAGACATTTCAGCGTGTGCACTCTTGTTTTAATCTCATGATCAAGTTAATAATAAAATTACTAAATTACAAAATGAATGCAACACTAACAGAATACAGAAGGGCAATCAATGAACAAAAGACAAATAAATAAGAAACATTGATCCCGAAAAATCAGGGGCTATGTCTGAGGGAGAACAGAACTTGCTTCTTGCAAGGCACTCACAGTGAACACAATTTGATATGGAGACAAGCGTTTGGTTTTGAAATTTCCTACATGAGGCATTTGTCTCAATGTAGTTACGGCCTTGATTTAATAAAAGTGAGGTAAGTGTTCCTGAGACAATTAACCTCAAGTTAAATGAAACCAATTTTCTGACATTTCAAGTATATCTAAATAATATTTATACTTTTATTATTAAAAGATATGGGAAGTGTTTCCAGTTTTTTTTTTTGGAAAAAAGATGAATTTATGAAGAATCTGGTGCCATCTCATACTTTCGATTAGACCTGCTGAGTTATTTATTTTCAATACATTGCAAGTCAGGTAATTTATTTTCAAACTACCACAGAACAAACCATTTATTTTTGTGATTATCAAGGCTGAGTTATTTATTTTCAAAATCCTCCTGGCCCCCCCCCCCCCCCCCCCAGAATATCAAATGGTTGTCCCCTAATAAAACTCTAATTTTCTCAAACTATACATGTATTTTCATATCCCCCGTTACAATCCTCAGTGGGGCTACACTACATCTATATTTGGCGAAAGCAATTCTGTGACTGAAAGGCAAAGCCTTGTAGAGGGGTATCATGTTTTCCAAGTTTGTGCATCTGTCCATCCTCCAGGCTGTATCAGGTTAAACATCCTCCAGGCTGTATCAGGTTAAACATCCTCCAGGCTGTATCAGGTTAAACATCCTCCAGGCTGTATCAGGTTAAACATCCTCATGACTGTATCAGGTTAAAATTTTGGTTTAAGGTAGTTTATGGTTACATCAACATGAAACTTAGAACACATGTTTATTATGGAGTGGACTGTTTCATATATATATGCCAAATTAGGTTTTGAGGGGCTGAATTTGAACAGTATTGGTAACATTTTAAAAGTTGGTGACCAACATATTATTTGCACATACATAGAAGTTAGATGATCCTGGTATTCTAATATCTGAGAAGACAAAAAGAGGGAGATGATCAAATTGATGATTCCAAATAGTGATAGCCTTTACAAAAAATTTGTTAAAGTTAAACTTTACCTTGAAAGGGCCAACAGAATTAATAGATGATTCAGGACCTTGGTGGCATAGTGGTCTAGGAAGTTCATCTACAGTAATCACTAGCCTGTCAACAGTTAAATTGTGAGTTACAACCTGGCTCATGGAACAGTACGTTCGTCTACAATCTTATTTGACAAGGAGTTCCAGTTTTCCGGCCGAAGGTCAGGGATCTCTCCAGGCACTCCTGTTTCCTCCACCAATAAAAACTGGTTCATATGTCATAGCCAAGTGTGCTGAAAGTCAACTGGTTCACATGTCATAGCCAAGTGTGCTGAAAGTCAACTGGTTCATTCACATGTCATAGCCAAGTGTGCTGAAAGTCAACTGGTTCACATGTCATAGCCAAGTGTGCTGAAAGTCAACTGGTTCACATGTCATAGCCAAGTGTGCTGAAAGTCAACTGGTTCACATGTCATAGCCAAGTGTGCTGAAAGTCAACTGGTTCATTCACATGTCATAGCCAAGTGTGCTGAAAATCAACTGGTTCAAATTTTTTTGAAGGGTTTTCGAACCGCTGAAGGCCCAAGAAGCTATAGAACAAATGATGCAAAATCATGCCTTCTGGGTGTTCCCCAGACCCTTTCTTAAACTGAAAATGCAAGTTCTGTTTTAATAATCTTATGACAATATGTTGGTCTCAAAGCAAAATCACGTTATAGATTCAGTGTAAGACTTAAGTTTCTAGGAACAACATCAAAAGACGAATATGCATGATAAAGCAAAAATGTTATTCACATAGTAAAGTCTGTGGCTGCTGTGTTTTTGTTGAGCCTGCGACTTTTGTCGCAGAAAGCTCGACATAGGGATAGCGATCCGGCGGCGACGGCGGCGGCGGCGGCGTTAGCTAACTTCTTAAAAGCTTTATATTTTAGAAGATGGAAGACCTGGATGCTTCATACTTTGTATATGGATGCCTCATGTTACGAAGTTTCCGTCAGTCACATGTCCAATGTCCTTGACCTCATTTTCATGGTTCAGTGACTACTTGAAAAAAAAAGTTCAGATTTTTTGTAATGTTAAATTCTCTCTTATTATAAGTAATAGGATAACTATATTTGGTATGTGCGTACCTTGCAAGGTCCTCATGCCCGTCAGACAGTTTTCACTTGACCTCGACCTCATTTCATGGATCAGTGAACAAGGTTAAGTTTTCGTGGTCAAGTCCATATCTCAGATACTATAAGCAATAGGTCTAGTATATTCGGTGTATGGAAGGACTGTAAGGTGTACATGTCCAACTGGCAGGTGTCATCTGACCTTGACCTCATTTTCATGGTTCAGTGGTTATAGTTAAGTTTTTGTGTTTTGGTCTGTTTTTCTTATACTGTATGCAATAGGTCTACTATATTTGGTGTATGGAATGATTGTAAGGTGTACATGTCTAGCTGGCAGGTGTCATCTGACCTTGACCTCATTTTCATGGTTCAGTGGTCAAAGTTAAGTTTTTGAGTTTTGGTCTTTTTTTCTAATACTGCATGCAATAGGTCAGCTATATTTGGTGTATGGAATGATTGTAAGGTGTACATGTCTAGCTGGCAGGTGTCATCTTACCTTGACCTCATTTTCATGGTTCAGTGGTCAAAGTTAAGTTTTTGAGTTTTGGTCTTTTTTTCTAATACTATATGCAATAGTTCAACTATATTTGGTGTATGGAAATATTTTATGATCTATATGTCAGTCACGCAGGTTTTATTTGACCTTGACCTCATTTTCAAGGTTCATTGCTCAGTGTTAAGTTTTTGTGTTTTCGTCTGTTTTTCTTAAACTATAAGCAATAGGTCAACTATATTTGTTGTATGGAAGAATTGTTAGCTGTACATGCCTGCCTAGCATGGTTCATCTGACCTTGACCTCATTTTCATGGTTCATTGGTCAATGTTTAGTTTACTTGGTTAATGTTAAGTTTATGTGACAGTTGTAATAAAGCTTTATATTTAGGACTATCAACATAATATCAATGATTAGTAAAGAAGGCGAGACATTTCAGCGTGTGCACTCTTGTTTTAATCTCATGATCAAGTTAATAATAAAATTACTAAATTACAAAATGAATGCAACACTAACAGAATACAGAAGGGCAATCAATGAACAAAAGACAAATAAATAAGAAACATTGATCCCGAAAAATCAGGGGCTATGTCTGAGGGAGAACAGAACTTGCTTCTTGCAAGGCACTCACAGTGAACACAATTTGATATGGAGACAAGCGTTTGGTTTTGAAATTTCCTACATGAGGCATTTGTTCTCAATGTAGTTACGGCCTTGATTTAATAAAAGTGAGGTAAG